ATCTGGAGAATATGGCGGGTCATGCAACATAATCACTTTTTCACAGCTAAATAAAGTCACTAATGTGGAAACGGAGTTTCTTTTTCAAATGTCTAGATTAAGTTTATCACGTTTTGGAGATATCAAAATCGATCACAACCAACTGCTGGATCCATCTATTGACAAATAGCAGAAACTTAGTTGCACAACAATACAAAAGTATTGGTTTTTTCTCTCAGTTAGCCCTTAAAGCGAAAATTCAAATAAATTTTTTCGTTTATACTCAAACATCTCTTTCTGTAAGATTTTTATTTGTTTACTAACCTTCCTTTTTATTTCCTAACACATCTGTAGGTCTTCCCTCCTTCGATGACGTGCTAAAAACTTTCCGCAATTCCCGACAATTTTTGGGTGAAATTCTATCCTCCTGCGAATTGATCGATGCCGCGTCCTTAGATGCCAGCGTTAATCACTTTAAACTCAAGTAAGCGCCAGCTTTTCGTCAAATAAACCATTATAAAGTAGTAACTCAAGATAATTTCCATCATTGCATCTTTAACCTGCAGCTCGCCAATCGAAGGCTATCCCTTCTACATGTTGATCGAGACGTCTGGTAGCAATGCTGAGCATGATATGGAGAAGTTCAATCGTTTTCTCGAAAATGGCATGGAGCAAGGACAAATCGTTGATGGCACCATCACCGGCGAGGTGAGTAAAATGCAAGAGATCTGGAAGTTGCGTGAATTGGTGCCTGTTGCGCTTATCGAGGATGGCTTCTGCTTCAAATATGATATCTCCTTGCCACTGCGTGAATTTTACCACATTGTCGAGGTGATGCAGGAACGTGTGGGAAACTTGGCGTCACGCGTTTGCGGTTATGGGCACTTGGGTGAGTTTTCATTAGTTTTGTGAGTTGTCTGCATGGTTTTCACCACAACAATGTTTGCAGGCGATTCGAATTTACATTTGAATATCAGCTGCCCCGAATTCACACAAGAAATCTACAAGTGCATTGAACCCTTCGTCTACGAGTATACATCCCAAGTGAGGGGCAGCATTAGCGCGGAACACGGTATCGGCTTCTTGAAGAAGAACTATTTGAAATACAGCAAAAGTCCAGCGGCCATTTCAAAGATGCGCGAAGTGAAGCAACTTTTAGATCCCAATAGCATCTTGAATCCGTACAAAGTGCTTAACTGAAACGAAGCTATTGATCTTGAACCTCTCGATATTTAAAGTAATAATCAATAAAATGTTATAAATATTAAATTGATATTGACATACTTTAGATAAGTTTAAATCTCAAATTTTGTTAAAAAAAAAGAAAATACAATTTTTTTTCTTCAAAAGTGTAGATATGAGTATTTGATAATAGTTTTGGAGTATTAAGTTACGGAAATGGGTGAAGCATGCATCACCGCAGCTTTAGTAGGTAAAAAATATATGTAAGTGTTGTGGTCAAAGCGCTCTCGAGATACATAAGTCGGTGGTAAGTTAGATTGCCAGATATGCTGAAAAGTTCGTCTGGTTTTAAAGCAAAATGGTGGATAGGCAAGGTGAGAAACCAGTTCATAACGTAATTCCTTATATTTATCGGTTGTATCACAAGGATCTTCACATTTTTTTCTTTGCAAAGTTTTTTTTGTTCGTAAAAATTCTAATTACTTATGCATCAATTTTACGATTAACGGTTCCACAAGATAATTTCACGAATTTTCGCGAGGTTTTCTACCGTTATTGACTCTTCTGGCCTCCCTAAACAGCATGCATCATTTGTGCTTATAAAGTTAGAGCGAAATTCAGCATAGCAATACTTGAGCATTGCATAATTTGGAGAAAAATCTGTCATAACACTTATCAACCCATTGTTTTGCATCAACAGCGCTTTTTTTTATCAGGAAACTATATTTTGTCAAAACACGAAATTACCATAACTTTACACTCAGTATTCAAAGGCTGATACTTTAAGGGGTTACATGGGTTTCACGACTTCAAAAAACAAAAACAAATTTTATTGTCTTATTTAATTTTATAACATCTCTAGAATATTGTCCTAAATTCTCAAGTTGAAATTTTTGCTCGACGAACGCCGTGTAACCCCTTAAGGACTTTTGGTTTGTGATGTGATTTATTTTTCGTTCATGTAGTAACTGATTGAAGGCGACAACTAGAGCTTAAGTAAGTTTTTAGGGAATTACCTTATGATCAAATACTACCTGGACAGATCCTCTTAATCTGCGCTGTGTGCCGAGCATAAAGATTTTTATTCTAAAAACCTATAATTTTCCAAACACCAATGTATGATTTATTCTATTGACGCTATTCAGCGATGTGAAATCATTGAGTACATTTTCTATATGGAAAAGTTTTTCCTAAATTACAATTTTACTAAAACTTGTAGCTTGTTTTCTGAGAACTCGACCAAAATTTATCAAAAGTGTTGTTGCTTTTTATATTTTATACTCCCCGCGAAGAAGGGGAAGTTCACACCTGAACTACACCGCCCTACTCCTCTCTAGGAGTATTGTTTAAAACTATTGAAAGTACGATAGCTAAACTCTAAACTTTAAATAACTTTAGAAACATAGAATTATGGTAGGGACGTTGCAAAAGTTCTGCATACATATATATAACAAAGTAAAGTTTGCAATTCTCACCGCTGAGTACCAATTTTTGTACAGGCAGTTGGCAACATTTGTGTTTAATACAATACGTGTGCTCACAGCTCAGTATTGACAAAATATTCTTCCACCCACAAAAACATCGAATTGATGAACTAACAACTCACATTGCTTATTAAACACCTCATTAGTTCTTTTTGGCTCAGCACTTGAAATAAAAAAAGTAATAAACCAGAAAAACCGTTAACTTGTAGCTGTAATACCCTGCACGGGTGCTAGATTTGAAAACATAACGGACCAACGGTTTGCTGGTTCTTTCTAACCACGTTGTTTGATATACGGGTTGGTTGAAAAGTAAGTAGTGTTCACCAAAAAATAGCACTATTAACTCCAAATTTTTTTTCTCAAGTTGGTATATCTGTCGTGAGAACACATGCTAAGTTACAAGTCATTCTGTCAATCATTTCTTTATTCCCAAGCCAATTGAAGTTGACGTGTCAGGGTATTCTGTTAATATGGAAAAAATTGAATATCGCGCAGTGATTAGATTTTTTGTTTTGAAAGGTGTGAAAGCAAAGGAAATTTATGAACAATTTTTAGGAGTGTATAAGAAGTTCTAACCTTCAAAACGCACAGTTGAATTGTAGGCTGGTGAATTTAAACGTGGACGTACTAGGCTTGAAGAGGTTTCACGCGAAGGACGACCAAAAACCACAACAAAAATCATTTAGCAAGTTCATAATATTGTTAGTGAAAATCCAAGTTTGATTAAGAGAGAAATTGCTAATGCCATAGACATCTCAGACGAACGAGTACTTCATATATTACATGGAGTATTATATATGGAAAGCAGTTTGGAAAGTTAGTGCCGCACACAATTCAACAAAAACTGGATCGAAAACAAATTTCTCAGCATAATTTGGAGCGTTTTAAGCAGAATAAACCCGATTTCTTGCGTCTTTTTATAACTATAGATGAGACTTGGATCTACCACCATAATCCTAAATTGAAACAAGAACGCTTACAGTGGACCGAAGCTGGTTGTTCAGCGACAAAGTAGGTGAAGTCACAATGATCAGCACAGAAGATTATGGCATCAGTTTTTTTGAGATGCAAAAGGAATTTTGTTGATTGATTAACTGCAGAAGGGTAAAGCAATCAACTCTGAATATTATTGCAGCCTTTGGATCAGTTGGATGAAAAAATTCGTGAGAAAAGACTTGTTCTGCAACACAAAAAAACTATTTTTCATCAAGACAATGCACCTGTTCACAAAGGTGTTTTAACAATGACAAATTTCAACGAATTAAAGTACGAATTGGTTGAACATATAGATTTGGCTCCGACTACTACCTCTTCAGAAACCTGAAACAATTCCTTCGTGAAAAACGTTTTTCGTCGAATGAAGAAGCTATTACAGCCGTAAACGGGTATTTTGCAGAGCTCCCGGAAAGTCATTATAGAGATGGCATAAAATTATCGGAGGATCATTGGAATAAGTGTATTGAAGTTAAGGGAGATTGTAATGAATAAAAAAATGTATTTCGTACCAAAAACATTATTTTTTCATTTCGAGCGCAGAAATTTTTCAACCAACCTGCATGGTATACAACATTCAAGTCTCTTATGAAGATCTTTAACTTGATTTTGATCGGTCCGTTTGTATAGCAGCTATATGTTATAGTGGTCCGATCCGAATATATATATTCGGAGATTATGGCATTGCCTTGGACAATAATATACGCGTATATAAGCATGTGTGTAAGCGCGTGAGATATAGCTTTTTGAGTTATGCATAAATCGAAAAAAATTTTAAATAAAAAATTTCATGCGTTAATGAAACATTATTTCTGACGAAAACTGACGAGAAATGTTAGTGATATTTTTGAATTTAGTTGACCGTATAATATGCTTGATGGAGTTTCGACACATTAACTTTAACACGTTAAAATTATCAAAAGCACGTGATAGACTTAACGTTCACGAATATTTGGGTATGCATAATCGTTCGATTCACTGTATCATAGTAAATCAATAAAAATGGCAGAAAAATTGCATGAATCAGGTTTCGAAATGTATTCGCATTCACTGTAATTGCAGGGTATGATCGACAGCTATTGACTCTAATTTTAAGTCTTTAAATAATTGCGAAAATTAGTTGTTCTTGTTGTTGTAGCGGCAGAAAACATTTCTGAAGTAATTTCGGTGCCGAGTTGACAGTCCTTGGCCGGATAAAAATCCGGGTCCGTTTCGGTTACTTAGACCCGACTGTCGTGGGAACGAAAATTAGTCATAATATACGCTCGATTTTATTTGCAGAATATTATATTTTCTTGCAGCACAAAAATCGGCTAATATAGTCAAGTACAACAGTAGTTATCAGCAAAATTTGTTTAAACTTTTAATAATCGCTATTTCTCTCTCATTTGTGCGCTCAATTATTAAATTTTTTGATTATTAAAGCTTTCTTGTCGAAATTCTTCTAGTTGTTGAACTTCTGCATAGTACAAGAGTGAAGTAAAGTGCCTCTCAAGTGACCTCTAAACTAAATGAAGCAAAAACTATTTCTAACTAATGCACATGCCACAGCTCATAGATTTTTAATTTTGATTTTGTAAGCTATTTGAAAGCTCCACTGCAATTAATTGACTCTCTTTTGTTTGCATAAATAATTTTAATTTAAATTTTAAATTTGTAAACTAAAATACAAAATTCTAATAAATTAATTTGAATGCTTTTTGGGGCCAAAAAAGCACAGTCAAACGTCAAAGCTCAACACCAAAACTAAAGCTCCCCATTATCGGTGTCACCTTTTAGTTTCCTCTTCCATGCGCATGCTGTTGAGTACACTACTTTTGCCAACTGCCATGCTCGTATGACTTTTCAACCGATTTCAATGTTCAGTAATCGCGCGATTGCCAACAAGTAAGGTACGCCAACTGAACGCGAAAGTGAGCTAAAAAAAAAACCAAAAGCTAATAGCTTAGAGTGAATAAAGGCTGCAGAAAAAAAACGGTGTTGTGATCAATAAACGGTGTGGAAAGGGCCGAACGTGCAATAATCGCCTATCTTAAAAGCAATAAGTTGAAGCAACAATAATAAAAACAACATGTCAGCGTAAGTAACATATATATGTATATGAGTATGAAGAGCGGCAAACTATCGCACGTTGTTAAGTGTAAAACACACATTTTTATATTATATATGAATGTGTGTATGTATGTATGACCCGAATTATCACAGCGCACAGCGGCTCACGCCATAACTATGGCTTAGCGGTTGGTTTGGCTGTATACAAATTTATGTATAAAAGGGAAAAGCTTTGCAAAAATATATACATATGTATATACATGCTATATATACATATATATTTACATTACATAGATATAGAAAATATATATCTGTATATATGTATATATACAATTGATATACATATGTATATAGATATTTAAAAACTCATATTTATTTTACTTAATGCAAATTTTGTTGTTGTTTTATTTTGCTACTTTCTCATCGCCTCAAATTTGATTTTTGCAGTAAAGCAGATATTGCCTTGATCGGTTTGGCCGTCATGGGTCAGAATCTCATTTTGAACATGAATGATAATGGCTTCGTGGTGTGCGCCTACAATCGCACCGTCGAGAAGGTGAGTGGGAGTTATACAGCGTTGACCGTTAAACCCGAAATAACTTGACTTTGCTTACATATTTACGACGCGTTAGGTCAACCAATTTCTGCAGAATGAGGCCAAGGGCACAAAAGTGATCGGCGCTACTTCGTTGCAGGATATGGTGAACAAATTGAAGTTGCCACGTAAAATTATGCTTTTGGTCAAGGGTAAGTTGGAGAGTATGCATTATATGGCAATGTCACTGTCAATGTCGTACAGATAAACATACACACCCATACACATGCAAACACTCATATACATGCATACATAGGCATACATATATACATGTATATATGTAGTATATGTGAGTTCATTTGCGCACTTTTACGAACTGGTAATGACTTCAAATGCTTAGAGCACGTACAAGTACACACACACAAATACAATCGTATGCACATACACACAAGCTGGAACCACAACTGTTTGCACTATCACTGCGTTCATTCGTCAATTGTTGTTATTGCAAAAAAAAAATTACCTTGATCGGCAGCAAATGCAACGTCATGATTGCGTCACGAGCAGCGAGCATGGCGTGCGGCGGCGGCGTCGGCAGGGCCAAGTGAATGTGAGGTGATTTACGAACACACGCATATGTGTAGATATGTTTGAAAAACACGCCAGCACTGACAGCTGTTCATTCTAAAGCGGCTAGTAAGCTTAAGCCATTTTGGGGGGCAAAAAGTCACGCTCAGCTGTTGACTGCAATGTTAGGCAAATTAAAAGCAACTTTTACTTAATTGTGAAATTAAGTTAAAAAAAATAATAATACATTTTTCAAGTGTATTAAAAATAAATTTGGAGAGCCTCACTTCCCATGCCGATTATGCTTTCTTATCTCGTTAGTCACACGTAAAACGCATGCGCTATGGCTGTGCTGTTATCAATTTCGAAATTTGGTTACCGAAAATCTATCATCTCAAGGACATTTGCCTATCGGCAACTTTAATGAGTCATATTTGAGCGGTTATATGAAGATATTTTACAGATAAATAATAATCAGTCCAGAAACGGAGTGAGAATCGCTAGTGTAGGCGAAGGTCATCAAAATTTCAAATAGCTTGGTTCTACCTGTGACAACTGGTGCCTAACCTTGGAGAATTACGATTATGAGTACTAAAAGTATCTGTGTCGGTGCTTAGCCGACACAACTGCCGAAGATTGTCACCTCGTACTACCCCCCAAAGCTATTTGTGGTGGTGATATACGGTTAGAATAACAAAAGCGAAACAACTACGCTTTCATGAATGAGGGTTCGAAGCATTTTATTAGACAATTTGAATGTACCGTCGCCAAATAATCGATTTTAACCCATACAAAAAATGGGACCCTTATCGAGCCTGTGTGTGAAAGATGCAAAGAACTTGTTCTGTTGTCTTTATTGACGTTCAGTTTAAGGCTCGCCTTGCGCCCATACTGTCCGAAGCAGTTTATAGTTAGGACCGAAAGAGCGGGAGAGTTCGGGGATAGTTTCTTCCGAGCCCAGAGTTTTCAGCGCGGACCGGTGCTCTGTAACAATTTTTTGCAGTTTTTTTCTCCAAAAATTGACGGCTCTGCGAGCTCGCATCTTATATCTTCCCCTGGCTAGGTTTGGATCCATTTATGCTTCTTAGTTCCTTCTGTGTACTGCAGTTACCATTTGGCGTGGTTCCATTTAACAATTTTGTAGAAGACGGTGTGGGTTTATTTTTAAGAACCCAAACAATTTCGAATACGTTAAAAAAATCAGCTACAACGACTTAACAGACGCCTGATATTTAATCTATAAAATTTAGTAAATAATTTATGAGTCCTCCATAATTAATTGAGAAAATACTACAGTACTACGCACAGTGAAAAATTATAAAAACAAGAAAATGGATGTGTTGCATATGCGATATTAAGTTCGGACATTCTACAAAATTTATGTAGATTTAATAGTAGCGGCGGTAAGTTGGGACTCGAGATGACATGCTTTTGTTTAGGATTACAGAGTGCCGCGGTTAATATTGGTGAAGTTATTGAACATAAAAAAATTACAGGTTGCACAGCCAAGATCTAAAAAATTATGAGCGACAAAATTTTTCGAACTCCAATTTTTATAATTTTGGTCGCTGGGAATTTTCGCACGAGTATTATAGGCAGTGTAGGGTTATTCAGGCTGGCATGAACTTGATTTGTCCTAGAAAGTATTTAAGGAGTATCAGTTTCTCTTAAACGAAGTTAATACGAACATAAATTCTGGACTTGGCTATGAAAACAAGCGATAAAAGAGTTAAAAGAAACAACTTGTGTGGTGGGAGCGGTCAAAGAGTCACGATAATAGGCGACGATGGAATTTGCTTAAAAGTCCATACCAGGAGATTTTTTAACGCCTTCCATGCAGCTGGTAACATAGTGGTAAAGTGTACAAAACAAAGATCAAAAACTTCTGCTAGGCTATAGTAGAGCTGAAATAGCTGAGGTTATAAAAAAAATATATATATATATTATATATGAATCGAAAGTACATGACGCGCTAATAGATCGTTCCCACGGCAGTCGGGTATTTTTGTCACCGAAACGAAACCGGATTTAATGGGAACCAAGGACAGCCTACGCGGCACTTTTTCTCAAAAATATTTGAATATGACTATAATGACAGTTCTTGGTCGTTATGCATCTATGCCTATGGCTTTTTCTTTACATGGACTCGATAGTTTTGGGAATGACATTATAAAAATCACCGCTTGTCTTCAACAGCCTTTTCTGACCTACATTTTTCTTTATTCATGCACAAATTCACGACCATACTTCAAATAAAACCTAAACTTAAACTGCACTAAAATACTATTGTATTTTCGATTATTTTTACAGCCGGCAGCGCTGTGGACGACTTCATCAAACAATTGTTGCCACTACTATCGCCCGGCGATGTAATCATCGACGGTGGCAATTCCGAGTATCAAGATACCGCACGTCGTTGCGATGAATTGCGCGCTAAACGAATTTTGTACGTTGGTTCGGGAGTGAGCGGTGGCGAAGAGGGTGCGCGTCATGGACCATCACTCATGCCCGGCGGTCATCCGGAAGCGTGGCCACTCATACAACCCATTTTCCAGTCAATTTGCGCAAAAGCCGACAACGAGCCATGCTGCGAGTGGGTCGGCGAAGGTGGTGCTGGACATTTTGTCAAAATGGTACATAACGGTATTGAGTATGGTGATATGCAATTGATTTGCGAAGCGTATCAAATCATGAAAGCGCTTGATCTGTCACAAGCCGAAATGGCTACAGAGTTCGAGAAGTGGAACAGCGAAGAATTGGATTCATTCCTCATCGAAATCACACGTGACATTTTAAATTATCAGGATGAGAAAGGTTTTCTGTTGGAGCGCATACGCGACACAGCTGGACAAAAGGGTACAGGAAAGTGGACAGCCATTGCTGCGCTGCAATACGGTGTACCTGTAACGCTAATCGGTGAAGCGGTATTTTCACGTTGCCTATCCGCGTTGAAGGATGAACGTGTGGCGGCAAGCAAACAATTGAGCGGACCCGGCGTATCGGCAAAGGTTGCGGATCTACCAAAGTTCTTGAATCACATCAAGCATGCATTGTACTGCGCCAAAATCGTTTCGTACGCGCAAGGCTTCATGTTGATGCGTGAGGCGGCCAAAGAGAATAACTGGAACCTGAATTATGGTGGCATTGCGTTGATGTGGCGTGGCGGTTGCATTATTCGCAGGTAAGTCTTGTGTGCATGTGTAATTATGTAAAGCAGAAATTCTTATACACAAACGTTACTCTGTTTGCAGTGTGTTCTTGGGTAACATCAAGGATGCCTACACCCGCAATCCACAACTCTCGAACCTGCTGTTGGATGACTTCTTCAAGAAGGCAATTGAAGTTGGCCAAAACTCATGGCGTCAAGTTGTCGCCAACGCCTTTCTGTGGGGCATTCCTGTACCAGCTCTTTCGACCGCGCTCTCGTTCTACGATGGCTATCGCACCGAAAAATTACCCGCCAACTTGTTGCAAGCGCAACGCGATTACTTTGGCGCACACACTTATGAACTCTTAGGTGCTGAGGGTAAATTTGTGCACACCAATTGGACCGGCACTGGTGGCAATGTCTCCGCCAGTACATACCAGGCGTAAAGCATATACACGCCACAAAATGCCGCAACTTTAGCTTTTTAAAAGGCATTCCAATTTCTTAGCAAATAATTAGCAATTAATTTCATATCCGTATGTAATTACTTTAAACGCATTACATACATACATACATACATGCATGCATGTACAGAAATGGTGTAAATAAAAATATTACAAGTGGCTATTAAAAGAAAACCAATTCTTAACATTTAAATTCGATTTTTATTCCATTTTTTTTTCTTTTGTTTGAAATCTCAAATTTTAACCTCCTAACCTAACTGCAGTTACTGCGATATAAACAATATAATTGTCAAAGTATTGCTAATTCTAATATGATGTAGCGAATATAACAAGTTGCAATAGTATTTAGGGCATTCAAAAACATTTCAGCTTCTATTTTGTGCGGCGTAGTGCTTTTTTAGGTTGTTCAATTACAAGTTTTTCAGCAGAGTACAGGTGTCCAATGATAACCTGCAAGTTAGAGATGTGTGATGATAAGCGATATGTTTATCAATAATATATAAACAAACTTTAGTATATACTTGTATGTTTGTATATAATCTAATATTTCTATCAAGTATCTGTCAGAATTTCATAATTTCCAAAGATAATTGCGGCTGATAAATATATTATTATAATGAAGTATGTATGTATGTATCGCATAACGCTTTGTTACTATGTACAGACATATGTATGGGTTTTATTCCTGTACATACATTTACAAGTACACAATATGTGTGAAGTTAAAACAAAAGCAACGCAGCAATATTAGTTAATATTTTTATGAACAATTGAAAAATATTTCTTTAATATTATTTTGTTTAATATAATTTTATTATTACTTAATACATCAATTAAACTTTTTCACATATTGAGATAATTATTTGTTTGGAAGCTCCAAAAAAAAACAGGAAAAAATTTTGTATTATAATACCCTATACAAATGAAAAAGTTTTCCATACAAGAACTTGATTATGATCGATCTGTTTGTATGATAGCTGTATGTATAGTTCTCCGATCTGAAAATTTTTGCCGGAGATTGTATCTTGGCCTTGAACAATGATCCATGCCAAATTTCGTAAAGATATTTCGTTAAATGAAACAGTTTTCCATATAAAGACTCTTTCTCTCGTTCAGTTCAATATGGCAGCCATATGCTATAGTGGTTTGATCTGAAACATTTTCTCGAAGATTGTAGCTTCTGGGCGAGAAAACGACGTATGCAAAAATTCAGATCGATATCACAAAAACTGAAGGACTAATTCGCGTATATACAGACAGATAGACGTAACGTAACGTAATTAATTATACAATTATAATTCTATAATTGCTTTTTTGTGTACGTTTACTCATTCGAACTTTATAACAGTGAATAAAATGTCTTCCACATCTCTCTGTAGCTACTTATGTATCAGCGGCGAAACCACAAATCTTTATTACTTATTTATCACGTATCTTATCAAAAAACAAGCAGTTACAAAAAAATTAAAATCAATTTACTGACCTGCCGCCGCACAAGCTCTAGATTTTGTTTAGCTTCTGCTAGTTTTTGATCGATAACCGCAAAATCATTAATACTTTTATTTTCACGGAATGTGTCACGTATTTTTCGTCCAGCAAACATTCTAAAAAAAAGATAGTTTTTTATTATGAAAATGTTTTTATAACAGGCATACAACCTATTGGTTAGGTCAATTATGCTTACCTGAAATTGTAGGCAGGAATTTTTTCAGCCTCACGCAAAAGTAGGCGATAAATTGTAATTACTTGCCGTCTCGTTGACATTTTTGCAATTTTCTGTCAAAGTAAATTCTTTTTTGCCGGTCAGAGGTACACCAATTTTCGTGAAATTAAAGTAAATACTCGTATTGGCGCAAACGCATTAAAACCCCATAAAAATTTAGCAGCTGATTGCGAACAAATCAGAATGGAGAAATGTCAGAAACATATGCGGTTAAATACATGAAACAGCTGATTACAAGTCGATTCTACTACATTGGAATATGCCGGGTGCTATTACAATTGGTTTGTTCGTTTAGTACATATTTTTGAGTAGTTTTAAAGGAAATATTGCAGCCTTTAGAATCAACATTTTTAAGGTTTAATAAAAAAGTAAAAAATAAAGCAAACATAAAAAAATGTTATAAAAAATCATAAATAAAAAATTAATTAAAAATTAGGTAGTAAATAAAAATCTAAATTAAAATAAAATATAATTTAAGAATAATACAAAAAATGTAATTTAATATATATAAAATATATGAAATAACAATAAAAATAGTATATTATTATAAATAAAAATAAAAAAGTATATACAAATTAAAATATACATACAATATAAAAATAAATATAAATAAAAATAAAAAAGTATATAAAAATTAAAAAACTACATACAACATAAAAGTAAATATAAATAAAAATTAAAAAGTACATAAATATTATAAAAATGGCATCAAAAAATAAATAAAAAATAACAACTCTTTACATAAAATAAACTATGAAATCGATAAAGAAAAAGTAGCCATTTGATAACATTTGATTGAACAGCAGCAGGCAACACTACCACGATTTCCGTTATTCTATTACAATATACCGTAATCAGTGTCACAAAACTACATCATATGTTTTTGCAAGTAGTTGGTAGTAAAAAAAAAAGATTAATAAGAATTAATATATAATGTAAATATATAAACAAATATTGTGAGTAATCGATAAAAAAATATAATTATGAAAATAATATAAAAAACATAAAACTAAAACTAAACCAATTTTTAATAAACTTATTTTTTATTTAAATATATCCAATGTACTGTTAAATTAAAAAAAAAATTGTTTCGCTTTCCCAAACTCACCTTTTTTTTAGAAATTGCACAAAAAAAAGACGTTACAGCAGGCAACACTACCACGATTTCCGTTATTCTATTACAATATACCGTAATCAGTGTCACAAAACTACACCATATGTCTTCGTAGTACATTCCTAGTTTTTCTCCGAATACTTGTTGTGTGAGGACGTTGTGCTAATTGAATAAAATTGATTTTTTCCCTGAGCATTTTCGCTTAGAAATGTTGCAAAATATTTACAGCGAATATTTCAAAATAATATCAACATTCTCGATGTATATATAGTGTATAAAGAGAGTGCATTTAAAACTTGTAGAAAATGAATAGCATACGAAGTGAACAGATGGAAGAAAAGTTCGATAAGGACTTCAGCAGCCTTCTCGCTAACTCCACTGTGGCTGACAACAAAGAAAACGGTGTTTGTGCAATTGCACTTGTGGAGGTGGCAAATAAGCACACAGCCGTGGGGGACGATACAGGGGACGAAGGTCAACAACTTGACGAGGATGAAACGATTTTTCTTGAGCGTCGTTGCAATAGTCAATGTAGCGAAAGCAATGCAGCTGATGCGACGCGAGTGGAGGCAAGAACAACCAACTCAGCAACCGCTACACCTTCGCCAACTTTCGCACAAAACACCCTTTATGCTGTACATAAACCGTTAGCTTATGAGTGTATGATGGGAAGTCAGCTAGACGGGGCGGAAATGCAGGACGAAGAAGAAGCAGAGGTAGAGGTAAAAAATCGCGTGGTCGCATCAACACGACATGACATGCCGAATAGCGAGCTACAATTGTTCGCGCAATGCAAGGAAGCAAATGGCATTTTCAATGACGACACACTATTGACAGTGGAACATTTCGATCATATATCACCACATCCGCTGAGTGAGCGTTGGTCGCCGTTAGGCGCGAATTACGATGATGCAATGAGTCCGACATCAGAATTGCTTAGTCCTGAATCGGAATTGGAACTGCTGAGTTCCGATAGTCAGGATAAGCAGGAAATGTTAAGAAGTGATACCAACGATTTGGGACGTTTGAGAAGCATGGAAGAGGAGCAGGAGTTGTTAACCACTTCATTGATGGCATTGACTTCACATTTTGCGCATGTTCAACTGCGCGTGCGACAAATTGTGGAAGCGCCTTCGCATGAACGTGATCAATTACTTAAGGATTTGGAGGAGTTTGCGTTTCGCGGTATACCGGAAGTGAGTAAAATCACGGTGAAATGCATTTATTGAAAATATTTTTAAATAATCTTATACTACTCTCCACTCTTGCAGCCAATCGTACCGGCCGCGGTAGGTAACACGAATGCCGACTCCTCTAGCCAATCGCAGCCAGACGATGAAGTGGTGCGTCAGCGTCAATTCGAGCTGATCGAACATCTGAAATCACAACTAAGTGAGTTGGAAAAATTGGCATATGAATCGGGTGCACCCGTCTTGCCACAACATATATTGCTGGAGAAACAGAAGATAATAATTGATGAGCTAAAGAATAAACTCAATTTGCAAGTGGACGAACGCGATTTACCCGAACTGAGTTCGGAAGAGTTGAAGAATCATGTAGACAACGCCATTGGCGAGTTTGTTGGTCCACTGCGTATGAAAGAACAGTTAGTGGCTCAGCTGAAAACTCAAATAACCGATCTGGAACGTTTCATTGCATTTTTGCAATGCGATACAGAGGATTCCAAAATGAAGACACTCAATGGTAATGAGAAACTGAATGAGCCCTACAATAGTTATGCTGCCAAGAAGAAAGGTGAAAAAGTTCGGAAGAAACTTGTGTCACCGCAGCAAGATGCTAACGAACAGGATACTCTCAAGACAATGCATCCAAATACAAGTCGGAATGCCGCACAACCAGATAGTGGGGAGACTTTAAATAGCAAGGCTCATGGTTTGTTAGATAAAGCTTCGTTGTTGATGCAAATGTTCGCCACGACACATTTTGGCGCCAAAGCAGATCAATTTCAGAAGAATGCGATGAAGAAGACATCGAAAGGCAATCATTGGGGGTGAGTAAATTTGTGCGAAGGTCTACAGAGATGGGTCACGTTGGATATTTATGTTTAAAAAATGCTGTTTGTTACTTCGGGGCATGCCAGCGATGCGAATTGTAATCTTCGAAAGAAAAATAGAAACTTTAGCTCTCGGAAAAGCCCATAATTCTTTATTTGCTCTCGATGAAAGTTAAGATATCCGACTTAAAACCCATAAGCATAGTTGTTTTTATACCTTACAGTTATATAAAGAAGCAGCTTTAAGGGTGGATATTAGTTTTGAACACATAATTACCATAGAAACAATAACAGTCTTGAAAACTTGGTTTCATACCAGTCTAGTAGTCCAGACTTTAGACTTTACAAAATTGTTCCCAAAATAGTCGGATATTCGCAACCGTAACGACGCTCGTTTTATGAGTCGACGGATCAGTTTGAAGGCATAAAGCCGCTCGAGCTCTTAAAGAATGCAACGCGGTAACAGATAGTAGTAACTGTAGCTCTTCAAGACGGTCGTGACTCCAAGTTGAGGATGAAAGTAAAGCCTATAAGGGACTTATACCCAGTCGTTATTACTTTAGAAATAATGAGAAGGAAAGAAACAAGATTTTAGGGTTTCGACAAGATCGAATTTGAATTCTTCTATATAGTCACTGTAATAGATATTGCAAAAACCAAGCTTAATGCACCTCAATTCAAACTAACTATCCGAAATCTTTTACTAGTAATACTTTCACTAAAGTTTTACATGGTTTTGAAGTTCTTGAGGGATTCGAGATGTGAACCTATTTTCTTTAAACTGATTTTTTTTTGAAGATACATTTTTTTAGAACATACATTTTCACACTTTTTTCAGAGACTTACGCGCGCAACTGGAAGTCGACATACAGGAGGTGGCATCGCTTGCAGCCACATTAAGCTTCGATCGAGAAAAGTTGGCCAACATGAAGCGGGCGCTGAAGAATACCAGCCGCAATGCCAATACAACACTGGCGTTAAGCGCACAAAACGGTACCGTTACGGTGCCACCACGTGCGCGCACACAACCAGCCACTACGGCAGCGCAACGCAAAGAACTCAAGGCGTATATTGTATCATCCGATTCGGACGACGACACGTACGATTGTTATGCCTGGGAACGAAACCATTGCCGCAAGACGCACGGTGTGCGCTACAAGGGTGGCGACTCTATTATCACGATAAGCAAAGAGTTGACAACGGCGGTGCGTAAGAATTTCTCCATGACACTGCTGCGACTCATCCAGCATGGACTGCGCGTGGAAACGGAATCGGCCACATCCAGCCTAATTGTGCCGTTCATGCGTTGCCTCAATCCGTCCCCGATTTTTGCCGCCGAACAGGTTTACCGTGGCAGGGATGCGACCAGCGCTACATCCTTTGTCTCGTCAGCGGCCTTTTCTTCCACCTACAATGCCAATTACACGGATAACGATTGTGATGATGAGAGCGCAGGCGGCTTCTTCGGCAACGGCGGCAGTCGTCCTATGCATGCTTGGGAACTCATTTTGGAGTACTACTATTTGAAGAATGGTGATGAATTTAATAATACGCCGGCGCGTAAGCTTTCGCAAAGCTTCAATTTGGACATTGTCGACGCGCAAACCGTCACGGCGAAGCAGAGCTTCCTCAGCGCAGTCGGCATGATCATCGCCATGCATCGACCCTACAAGCGCAGCTACAATGCCCACTTCAAGGCGTTCGTTTGTGCGGGTCTGAAGTGAGTAACAGTGTGTCTTATAGCCTGAACAGGGTATATTAAATTTATCACGAAGTTTGTAACTCTGAAGGATACGTCGGAGACTTTTTAAGTATATACTTGTATGTATATAAATGATTTAGTCATGAGTCGATTTAGCCATGTCCGTCTGTCTGTATGTATATAAGCAAACTAGTCACTTAATAATTGAGATATCGATCTGAAATTTTGCACACGCCATTTTCACCCCAAGAAGGTGCTGATTGGTCGAAACCGCTGTTATCGGACCACTGTAGGATATAGCTGCCATACAAATTGATCTATCGAATTCTCTGTATGAAAAACTTTCTTATTAGTACCTTACCTGCACGAAATTCGACACAGGTTTTCTAAAGCAACGCTACAATATTTGAATATATTTTTTTGATCGGATCACTATGGCTGCCATACAAACTGAACGATCAAAAATAAGTTCTTGTATGAAAAACTTTTTTATTTGGCAAGGTATCTGCACGAAATTTTATATAAATTATTGTACAAGGTAGCGGTACAATCTCCGCGCAAATTATTCAGATCGGCCTATAGCTGCCATACAAACTTACCGTTCAAAATTAACTTAAATTAACAAATTATTTAAATTAAAAAGCTAACGTTAAATTTTTGTTTTTTAATTTTTCACTTTCTCATTTTGCAGCTGCCATCAGTTGGTCGAGTGGTTAAATTTGATATTCAGCTGCAACGATTTGGTGGACAGCTACTACACGCCCAACAGCTATGTTGCACGCACCGGTTTTCGTGATTCGCTGCGATCCATCGATGCTCTAACCAAATATGACTTCGATTTGCCCATAGATTTGGCTATACGACATTTTAGAAATCTTTAAAAATATCAATTAATCGATATATATAAATATATATAGTAGATATAGTAAAGTGAGCAAAGTGCTTATGCGTAAGTATGTGTGTATGACATCCATTAGGCAATTATTTTCATATCCTAATATTAAAGTAGTAAAAAGCAAAAATCCCAAAAGAAATCATTGTACTTATATTATTATTGCAGAACTAATCGAATTTCTTCCAAATTAGTAAGCGCATTTATTGATGTGTTGCTCAAATATTAATGAAGTTCGAATATTTGTGTATGTCAGTGTGCATTTTATCGTTTGACAAGTTGTATGTATAATGTTGAAAGGTATCAAATAAACTCTAGTCCATTTTATTCTAGTCTAACACCACTCTATTCGTACATATATATATATATGTTATCTAATGTGTATCTGACTATATGATAACTAAATAATATCTAAGTAGTGCTTTTATAAATACAATGCTGTGTAAACACACCCAAACTTACAAAACAAGAAAATCCAGCGTCCAGCCCTTTATAGCGTTTTTTCGAGATTTACTTAACCCTTGGTCGCAAAAGTGCGGTTAGTTTTGAACTTATGTGTTAAACGCTGCCATTTATAGTTTGTCCGCGGGATTTAAATTTTTAATGCAATAATTTTATATAACAGTTATAACACTTTGACAAACTTCCCAAAAATTGTTTACTGCTTTATAAAAATAATAACAATAACATAAACATAAACAAAACGAACTATCAAACCTTTTGTAAATAAAGCTTACCGGCTCTTTTGTTCATGGCCTCACAAACTTATTTAGTTTTCTGTCAAGCTCACTTCAAAAAAGTCAGGAGACGAAATTGTCGTAAACTCTATTTTTTACTAACTTGCTTTAGAGCAGCGTTTAAACATCTTCGATTCATCACTGCTTTTCTCGCTTTGATTGTGCCAGCTGCTTTTGCGATACGTCACTCGCTAAGTTTTGGCGAAACGAACATATCTTTTGTGTTTTGAGACTTGCGGAATTCTATTTCCCTCGATTTTTGACTTAAGCTTACATTTACTCTATAACATTACAAATTTTTTTCAGTTCAAAATCATTTTTTCAAAAAAATAAAAATTTTCCGACAAAGACGACTTATTTTAGACAATATGTTGTTGTTTTAGGTTGCAGTGCTGTATTTCTGGGATCAAATATTTAAGTTTTTCGATCGAAAAGTTAACATTTCGACTAAAGAGCTTTTTTTAAATCAAAAATTTATTATGTGAAATTGTAGTTTTATTCAAATATGAATTTTTGAAACAAGAAATAAGTTTTCTGATACAAGAGTGTTTATAATAAATTTTTTTTTAAATTGTTTTTTTCCGAAATAATTTTCTTATACAAGAGCGTTTTTTATTAAAATTTTTTTAAATTGTACTTTTACTAAAATATTATAATTAGTTTTTGAGTCAGGAAGTATTGTAAATTTTCCGATACAAATTTTTTATACAAAAAAATAAATTTTTAAACTGTGTTTTTTGATTCATAAGCGTTCCTTTTTTAACTCTCTTATTCATTTACTATGTAGACTTGAGCGCTGGCAAATTATTTATTTTAGTTTTGCATTATAATGATAAATAATTTTTTTTAATAATTTTTATTTAAGTTTAAGAATTAAAGCCAAGTGAAAAAATTAAATGAAATTATTCCTCTAATATTATTAGTTTAAAACAAAAAAAAAATTTATTTTTCACTAACTTAAAAATTTTTGACCTCAAATAATTTAAACCTCTTTCCATATACAATATAATTAAGTGAAAGGCTATTAGTCATTATATAAACTCACCCTTTATTTATTTAACAATAATACATTTACACATATAAATATATCAGAAAGTGCAGTAAAAATTATAACTAAAATATATTACATAACATAATTAACATAAATCTATGTGCATGTCATAATATTTAGATATATGTACCTACCTAAATATATTCTAGTATAAGTATACAAATAACAACAAATTAATCGAATAAATAAACCTACATAAATGAAGCTAAAGTAAAGAGATAAAAAAGATCGTATTCTAAAATTTTTTCGTGTCAAGTGCAAGCATACGCATATATGATACATACATATGTGGTATTTATGGTCATAAGCGAAATGCATGGAAACGGTCTCCATGAGAAGGTCTTGTAGTCATCAAAAACTTGTCTCATGCGAGTCATACTTTCACATCTGTCAATAACGATAACATCGAAGTTAAAGATACGGTGCTTGAAAATCGCCGAGTTGGCATTAAAGAGATAGCAGATGATCTCAACCTTTCTTATAGAACGACTCAACCCATTTTGGTTAATGTTTTGGGTATGAAGCGGGTCAATGCTAGACTTATACCAAAAGCTCTGAATCTTTTGCAAAAACGACGTCTAGCAGAGGTCGCAAAAGAGATGATATTCAAAAATGACGCTCGAAAAATTAGCCTAAACCGAAAAAAATAAAATTTTCTGTTGGCACTGATTGCCATCCCAGCCGAGGCTCATAACAAGTGTATGGAAAATTGGTTCAGACGTTGGCATACTTGTATTGGTTCAGCAGCCTAATTTGCAGGCGATAATAAAGATTTGTATTAAAATACAGGAAATTGTTAGTCCGGCTAAAATTTGATCAGTTGTACTAGACTAAAATTGCTTTAAAAGAAGTTTATAAAAAGGAAATTTTATATTAGATTGGACGGATGTAGTATAAATCACATAAATATAGCTTTGATCGAAGATGTATTAATATACCTTTCAAGTTTTTCGCCTTGTTATCAAAAATTATTTACAAAAAATTAAATATTACGGTAAGATTTTAAAATGCATGAAATTTATCGACATCTCAGCACACATTTATTACAAGAAAAATGTTGTAAGAAATCATATATAAATATTAGGAACAGTTTAGTCCACTTTACATAACAGAATACTTTATAACAAGAGCAACATATGGTAAATATGTAATGTAGTAAGTTTGCTTGAATTAACTCACTTTTTATCGGAGATTTACTAAATTGAAATCGAGACTATTTGTCGAGCCTATGAGTTACCCATTTTTGACACCAAATGATATTGTACTGAGCACTGGAATCGAATTATTATATATCTCAAATGTTCGCCAATAAATGATATAAGAACACGAAAACGGACAGGTATATATGTATTCTTCGAAAATGCGCCTATAACTTTCCATATATTTATTTATTGACGACTAAATTATTATCACATACTTTTCGATTAAGGTCTTTTAGACCGAAGTTTCGACTTTTTAGTTGAAATTCTTATGAAATTGAACCGGCACCGCACTGAAAACGATTTAAGACAAAGCAGTTTTATGCGTGAAATATTAAGTCCATGTGTTTTACCTTTGCTTGAACTCTTTTAAAGATATTTTCAGTTTATTTTTGTTACGAAATCAGCGACCAACGAGGTAATGGCTCGTCTTAGAGTTGTATAATAGAAAATAATAATCCAGATTTGAGCCCAAGCGAATATAGTATTCATGGTTTCTGCACTGGTGAGCTGGCTACCAAGAACCATAGAAACATGCAGCAAAATTCCGTCAAGGCAAACTGTGGTGAAATTTACCGATTTGAATTCAAATCATTATAATTTTATTTTATACAAATTTAACAAAAAAAAATTTGTTTACTTCGTGTATTCCAATTACACTACTACACTTAACGTGGACACATCGCCTGCTTGCCACCATCGATGGGCACAGTGGCGCCGGTGATGAACGAAGCCTCTTCACTGGCCAAAAAAGCAATGGTGTCAGCCACCTCTTTAGTCGTGCCCACACGTCCGAGCGCATGCGTCTCCTTAGCACGTCGCATGTAGTCTGCATAGTCTGCTTCCGTCATGCCGCTGCGTGCATGAATGTCTGTCACCACAACACCGGGATTTACGGCATTCACACGCACATTCTTCGCTGCCAAATCCAAGGCGATGCATCTGGTGAACTGATCAACCGCCGCCTTAGAGGTACAATAGCTTGATGTATTGGGGAAGGTACGCAAACCAGCGACACTAGAGACATTCACAATATTGCCTTGCGTCTTGATGAGATGCGGCGCTGCCAGTTTGGTGAGCAGGAAGATGGAGCGCAAATTCGTGTTGAGTAATGAGTCGAATTGCTCTACACCTATGTCTAAGATGCTGCCGTAAGCCAAAATACCCGCGTTATTGACTAACACATCCAATTTGCCGAACTTCTCTAGTGTTGTGTTGATGATGCGCTCCGCATCCACGGTGACATCGGCAGCTATGAGCAGCAACTCGGCTTTGGGATTGGCTGCCTTGCAGGCTGCTTCAGTAGATTTCAAATTCACGATATTGCGTCCGACGAGCGCGACTTTAGCACCGCGTTTCGCGAATGTCTCGGCGGTGCCGGCACCAAGGCCCGAACTGGCACCTGTTACAATCACTACTTTACCGGTAAAACTCATTGGAATGAATGTGTAGAGCGTATCCGTGCTTGCACTATTTAAGTGCGTTGGTGGTGAAGGCGTGTTATTTTTTTTATAAGTTATAGTGGTTTTCCGCTCAAGTGCTGATAAGGTCGACAGATAATGGCATTCATTGAGCCCGTGGACATGCAATACATTCGGGAGGGCTGATGCGCGTGCATATTAGAGCGGCGTATCAAGTTGAAGGTACGTCTTGAAAACAGAACGCTTTCATTATAAATGTTTTATAGCAATGATTTGCTTGTTCTATGAGTTGTGTGGCACTGAATGACGTATATAAAAAACCTCGTAGGAAATTTGTTTTCCACTGTCAACAATGTCAGCTCAATATCAAATTTAAATTGGGTAAGGTTAGGAAGCCTAGAGAATGCGATTTCGGTGGGCTGTCCTAATTAAATTATACCATTTAGGCTTTCAATGTTTCTAAGGATTAGAACAATGTTCGAATAGCTGGTGGAGTGAAAATCCATCGAAGAGTTTTAATGAAAAGCGTTATCTGGAAACATTAAGAGCATTAAGAGGTCGCGGTACGTCGATTGGGTGTCGTAGTTCGGGACTCATTCCTGTATTGTGAAATAAACATATTGTATTTATTAACCGCCAAAGCTCAGCAATCAACAAAAGACTGCCGAAAGCATTTCCGCCATAAAAGACATCTAAAAAATTCATCACCAGCTCAGAGGGAATTTATATGTGGAGAGAGCCACCATTTAACGGTTAAGACAAGCACAACACAAATTGTCTTAGGAATGTAATAATAAGATGTTTTTTTTTTCTCGCTGGGATTCTATCTGCTGTATAAATAGATTACTTTGTGCAGTAGATGGAATTGCGTAATTTTATCGCTCAAATGCAACACTTTAGTCAAATCAAATAAACTTAAGTGAGCTATAAAATCTGTTACTTTTGTGTGAATATGAGTTGATTTATGATGTTGGAATAACGGTTCAAAAAATCTAGTTTTTAGTTTAGTCTTTCTAAGAGGATGTGTTTCCAACTTTTTCGATGTAGCTGCAGCTTCTACTACCTGATGACTTCTTATACGCCTTATAAGCCTCGGCTGGGATGGTTTTCAGTATTTTCAGCGAATTATTTTTAATGGCTTCAATGAACTCATGACACGTTCCCGAAGCGGATTTTTCAGTTTCGAAAACAGAAAAAAATCATATCACGGATATGGTGGCTGAAATCTGATTCGTATTTCGTGTTTGTAGATGCCTCAAGTCGGCTAAGTAAACTTCGTTATTGACCATATGACTCTGTAGAATGAATTCATGATGAAACACCACCTTAATTTTTAATAGATTTTTACGTGTTTTTTCGGTTTCGGCTCATTTTTCGCTAGATTTCTGGACAGTTTCGCCATTATCTTCATAATCCCGCTTCTCGTCGTCAGTAAATGGTGCGTTTGATGAATGTAGGATGCTCAGCTACGTTGCCGAGTCAAGTATCTCTTTTGCGACCTCTATTCCAACCAAAGTGTTGCCATCTCTCTAATGCTAACACGATTATTTTCAAGCTCTGTTTCCTTAACTTTTTCGAAGTTACTTTCATTAACAGAGTAGACAAACAGCTGCCAAACTCACACTAATTGACATGTGGAGTTCAAACTTTACACGAACATAAAAAAATGTTGTACGAATCTAAAAAAAATTGTTTATCGATTTGATTTGCGCGCGCAGTTTAAATGTAGTCCGAGTCAGATTTAGTCAAATGGTATAACAACTTCGAAAAAACATTTCACCATTTTGATCACATAAAGTTCGATTTGAAATACGACCGTAGGCAGATGAGAGTTTAGAGCTTTTTGAATAACATTTAGTTGAGTTTTGAACGCACAGTATTTACTATGTTCTAATAATCTATGTTCAGCTTCGAAATATCAGCAAAAATTGTAATAATTAGGTCTCCGCTTTTGTCGAACCGAACATTGAATATTCTCGGAGATCTAAGTAAGATGTATGAAAAATATCGAGAATTCTGTATAAATTTATTATAGTTGAAGGCAGGCATCAGTGATCGTAATTCAAAACAGTTGTAGACAAATTGCGATAATTTTTTGTCTAAGCCATGCGCTTAAGAGTCAATCTGAGAGACGAAATTTGGTATACATGTATCTAGTACCGTTAAGTAGATATTAGAAGTGATGTATTGTTGGTAACCATTTACCATATAAATATATATGCTGACCGATATATACTAGATTTATTGAAGAGGAGGCGCAAATAAAATTTAATCGGTAAAAGAGAATTCTCAAATCGTAACGCTGTGTTAGAATGTATTTTTATTAAGCGGTTGCATGGGTTTCGTCGAACAAAAAACGCCCTATTTTGAATAATTTTTTTTTCATATAAAAAATTAAATATTTTATTAAAATTTTGTATTATTCTGACGATACATATTTGTTAAAGACTTTGTGAAATTTTCAAATGAAAATATTCTAAACTCGAACATTACGACGTCATTTCCGGCAGTCCCTCGGAAAAAAAGTGCTTCCGCGTTGACAGCAGGACTTCTGACAGGATCATCAAAAACAAAAAGAAAAAAATACGTGTTTGAACTAAGACTATTAACTAGGTACGGAGACGGAGGAAAAACAAATAAAATGAAAATTGTATTTTTGGCGAACGTTTTTACAAAAACATGCAACTACTGGGGAAAATTTCTCGGCGATATTTGTTTTTTAAAATTCTTCGTTCAAGACCTTGTAAGTTATAGCTCAAAGACCTTTGTAAAATTAGGATCGGTTATTTAGTTCTTGAGAAATCTTGACTACCGATTTTGAAAGCACAGTTTCGTGAAAAACGCGTTTAAAGTTTTATGTGACTATATAGCTAACCTCGAGCTCGCAACTTTTCAAAGCTGTACCTCCAAAACTATTAGTGGGATTAACTTAATAATTTAGAACAATATTCTAGAGATGTTATATAATTAAATAGGACAATAAATAATTTTTTTGTCATTTGAAGCCGTGAAACCGATGTAACCCCTTAAGATATCTCATATGTGCTACAGTATGCTATATGAGGTATAGAGAAACGAAAAGGAGGAAGATTCTCATATCTGCTATTTAATATAAACTGATTTGATATATTATCGAAAGAAAATTGTCATATATTTGCCATAAGAAATACACCTCTGAGAGGTATTACAGCTTCGGTGCAACCACAGAAAACTTGTTTCTTGTTTTAATATCATTAATATAGTATCAAATAATATTGCAACAAAAAACTTATACATAACTGCAACTCACTGTAAAAACTTGTACTTGCCATATGCTTTTAGTAATTAATTAGCAATTTAAATAAAAACAATCTTATATACATACAGACACATATGTATATAAGTAGCGGTCTGCAGTAGAGGCTGTCAAATCATACCACCTTGCAAAATTTAGCAACTTTCTTGACTGGCAAAAAATACCCGATCTTCGACGGAAGAAAGTGTATAAAGTTGACACAAACCAACGCTTCAATTTAGTTTCGAAGTTTAATTGAAAATCGAAAGACGTTGAAAGTGAATCAAAGTAGTAAAATGCTGCTGAACAGCCGCAATATTTTGCTTTTCTCCATTTGTGCGGTAAGGATTATTAATTTATAACGTTAACTTTCTTTAAATCACACCCTAATACTGTTCATTTTTTAGTTACTGCTCTGCCATTATGCGTTGTGTTCGGTTAAACGTTTTAAGCGCAGCATTTATGGATTAGACTCTAATGGACCCTATCTACCTGCGCCCTTTGGACCAGTACCATTTGCACCTTTCGGTTTGGGTTCACCGTTCGCGCAACCACCCTTCGCCTTGCCTTATGGTCCTTATGCTCCGCCGCCATATGCTGCGCCGCACGCCTATCCCTTCCTACCCGGCTATCCTTCCTATCCCTATCACAATCCAATTTTTGCACCACCACCACCGCCGCTGTCAGCGCCATTTCATCCACCTATTGTAGCGCCTGCGGCACCGGTGGGTCCACCGCCAGCACCGATTATTGTGCCAGCCAAGACAGCTGCCGCATTGAGTATTGCTTCGATTATTCACGCGTTTATTGCGCGAAAATTCTATCCGCCCGTATTGCCGGTACCCATTGCTAGGCCAGTGCCATATCCGGTGCCTGAGCGGGTAAGAATACAGGAAAAGCAGTTATAATTAAACTTTTTTCTTATTCCATTTTTTATTTCAATTTAGTCTCCAATATCTCCAACCTTTTCACGATATGCTCCAGTAACCATGCTGAAACCGATACAGGCTGATGCTCAAAATGTTAGAAATCGTACAGAAAGCTCCTGTGTACGAAATATTCCTCAAATAACGTTTGAAAATCAAATTTTCCGAGAGGCAATGACGTCAACTGAAGCTCCTTGGCAACCCACAGTCATTCCCATAAATGAATAGGTGGTTGATATTTTCTGTTAAGAATATTTTAATAACTAATTTTGTATCGGTATTTATTTTAGATAGTAAGGAAAATATAGTCAAATACAAGTAGTATATTTATTTGTTAAACATTAGTTTCTTAACAAAACTAATTGCAAAGAAATAACGGTAAACCAGCTGATTTTGAAAACATATGTATGATTTTGCCATCTTCTTAATAATCATCAATCATATTATATTACGACGAGACCAGAGCTTGTTCTGCAGTTCCTATAATTTTTTTCGTGCCCGAAACCATTTCGTCATGAATTATAATCAGAGCTATACAATAATAAGCTGACTGCGAAAAATGACTAGTACTTGTGATCTAAGATCCTTAAAAACTAGAGGTTCTATTTACCAGTCGAGATTATTTTTTTAATGCCGGTTATTTGAACTCTGAAAGTGTTACGTTGTTAAGAGAGTAGAGCTCAGCTCTTCACTTGTCTTGAACTTCCAGTCTTGAACCATACTGACTCTTCTTGCTCATTCAACGTACATTTCCAGTAATTTCGCATTACATTTTTTTGCTGTAAATACTGGACGCATATTTTATTGTTTTAGATTGAATTGATTTGATGTTAGATCAAGCCTTTTTTTGTTTTTAAATCATTGAACAACGCGTTATGGCCAGCCTTAGATTTTTACCTGTGGTGTCTGCATTGGTATGCCCCAACTTGCCGGTATTAAAACCGATATCGATTCTTTTACTAATCCTCTACTCCAATCAAGACTGTTTTCAAGAATCTAATTAATAGACCTTCAAAACATAGCATCATAATTTTATTGTACAAAAAATTTAAAAAAGTTTTACTATGAGATGACATAGTTTGAGGCGTTGGAGAAGGCGCGTAAATCATTCTCAAGTGGTGCTAAGACTGATATGTTACGTAGCAATAATTTTATTAGCTGTTTCTAAGAGGTGTAAGGAAATTAATATAGTACGCCTGACAATTCTAATCCAATTTTGCCGTTTACTCTTTCAATGTTATATTACAGATCCACTGAAGTGGTTAAATTAAAAGCGGAACCTTAAAACTTTTAGGGTTTTAAACGGTCCCAGTGTGTCGACTGGGTGTTGTAGTTTTAGGTTCATTCCTAGATTTTGACAAAAAAAAATTGTTTTTATTAACCGTCAACCCTTAGCAAGCAACAACAGAGTTCATAGCGTTTTTCCACAAAAACCGTCTCATAATATTCATTAGTAGTTCGGTTGCAACTTTAAAATTGAAAGGCCTTCCATTGATCGGTTAAAGCACGAAAAACGTAAACTGACTTTAGAAGCTAAGAATTTTTCCGCTGGGATTTCAGCTAGTGCACCAACTAACCTTCAGATTTGTGACACGGCTGGGAAGCCTAAACCTTGCCATTTTTGACTACCATTTGTTCCGGTCGATGTAGAACGCCCTCACAGGAATATGGTTCATATCAGAACAGGGTTTCAAAACTTGGCTTGATTCATTGTTGGTTGCCAAGCCGCCGCAGTTCTTTTATGTTAGAATCCATGAATTTCCATAAAGATGGGAAAATGGTATAGCTTCAGATGGGCAATGCGTTAAATAATACTTTTTTCTTTTCTTAAATAAACGTTAAAATTTTGAAAAAGCAAACCGCTTTTAAAGAACTAACATCTTTATAAAAGTTAGTTCAAGTTACAATAAAGATGTGAGTATAAAAGTTTACACAAATAGTCGCTTCATGTTGTGAAACCTGTCACCCCATATGTAAAAATGTTCGAAATCTGTTCATTATCATCACAAATTGCGTGTGTATATAATGTACCGCGTATAACATTTGCATAAGATTTCACGTGTGGTTTCAATCGAACAAAATGTTATATTTATGCTGACAGATTTATAACAAATCATATATACTGTGAACCCATGTATGGTTTTGTGCAAAAGTAAACATTTAATTACACTTTAATTATGGCTATTTGAGAATTAAGCTGATTATATTAACATATATTAATATATTGATTATATGCACGAAATATACACAACCGTACACCTGTATTTATGTATGTATGTGCATATGTAAATTATTACACCCGGGCGGAACTTCTGTGCGATAGTTAATACTCGTATTCGATAGATTCATGCCAGAGTATTGATTAAATGTTCATAGTTTAAAAATAGATTTTATTCGTTAATGTAATTATTGCAACAACACTTTTTAACAAGTAAGGAAGTTCTAAGTTCGGGTGTAACCGAACATTTTATACACTCGCAACTTGCAAGGATCAAAGCGCGGGAAGATACTTTAGGTGTTGGCAAAATTTTATAATAAAGGAAGTATTGATCCGATTCAACCCATTTTTGACACAAAAGCATACTATTATCGAAGGTTTCATTTATTTATTTTTTTATATGAAATATATATTCTTCACATTGATCGATATTTACGGTAAAAAGTCAACTATAGGCACTGGGGTTCACATATTCAATACCTAGTGGCTTGAACAGTTTTGGTTCGATTTAGACAATTTTTGGTCACAAGGTGGCATACCTTAAACGCAATACACACGCAAAGTTTAACCCCGATACAATCATTGTTGTTTGATTTGCATAGTGGAAAGTGAAAGAATCAGATGGAATTTAAAACTGTGTTACATGGGAAGTAGGCGTGGTTGTATTCCGATTTCACCCGTTTTCGCACTAAAGCATAGAAATATGAGAATAATGTTATGCGCCGAATTTTGTTGAAATCGGTTAAGCAGATCCCAAGATATGGGTTTTCACTAAAAAGTGGGCGGTGCCACGCCTACTGTACCAGAGATACAATTTAATGTCTCTGGTGTGTTTAGTGCTTGATTTATCGCGCTTTTAGTAGTTTTTAACAGTACCGTTATATGGGGGGTGGGCGGTGTTGTCACCCGATTTCACCCATTTTCCCATTGTCGACAGAGGTACTAAAATACTTGTTCTCAGTCGCAAGGAGGTATAGGCGGAATCAATCCAACCATAATTAACTTTCATGCAGAGTCAACTTTTCCTCTTGGAAAATCCATATTTCTTGCGTCAGAACGAGGAGCTCCATAAGTCGAAAATTGAGCGCAGCCGATTTTGCAAGTGATTTGAATTTTAGAAACTGATGTAAATATATTGGTGTTTTTGTAATAGATGAGCTGCAATCTACGAGAAGTAATAAAAAAAATTTAATTTGGATTGCTTTTGAATCTGTGCTATCGTTTTTTGTTCAATCGATAAATTATCGAGCTATACAATTTTGCAATCATACCCCTTATTTTTTACCATTATCGCTAATCATAATTAGGAGTATACTTAAATATGAGTACTGCTATGATAAATGACATGATTGCTAATGGGTTTGCTTTATTTTTTGATAGTGAAAATATTTATACTACACACATACATATGTATATGATTATAATTACTTACAATCGAAGTGTCTTTATCGCTGCATATACATATGTATAATACAAATAAAAGCTCCTTAATTATGTGTGATGAGTGTTCTATTTGTGTATAATTATTACATATATAGTGTATATAAGCTCGAAACATACCTGCGTAAAATATATCTACCATATATGATAATTGCTACCTGGTCTTGCTCTCCTGCTACAAAACTAAAACGCAATTACTTTTTTTATCGTATAGCAAATTTTATTTTATTTTATATAATTAATTATTTTTGAAAATTATGGACCGTACATGACCTCCATGCTCAGCCACGCATATGTGACACCTAATTAGAAAATTATTCATTGCGGCCTGATTCAGTCAGATTTCTAAGTTTTGCTTTGTACATCTCTTGCTTGACATAACTCCATAAAAAAGTCTAGTGCAGTCAGGTCAGGGGGTCAGTGGAAAGTTGAGTTTCTAGATATTAATTTGCTTTCAAAATTTCATTGGAGTTCCGCAATAACCGGTCCGGCTATAAGTGCAGTTGCTTCATCTTGCTTGAACCAAACGCTCTTGAAAGGTATACGTCTTCGATGCAGTTCTAGATACAAAAAAAAAAACAAAAAAACTCTTTCAACATCTTTAAATAACTGTGCCCATTGACAGTTACGGTTACACCAGTTTCTTTGAGGCAAATTTCGAGCTTCTACGACTTGGTACATTGGTATCTATGTTGAATTATGAAATGCAATTTTTTCAAAATAAAAAGAAACATTGGTTTATTTAAAACGATACGAATTTCGTCTGTTGAATACATTGGTGTTTATAATAGATCACCTGCAATTTATGGGAAGTAATAAAATAAACGAAATTCTGATTGCTTTTGAATCTGTGCTATCGTTTTTTGTTCAATCGATAAATTATCGAGCTATAAAATTCAGCAATCATACCCCTTATTTTTATCGCTAATAAAAATGAGGAGTATACTTAAATATGAGTACTGCTATGATAAATAATATTGATTGCTAAAGAGTTTGCTTTATTTTTTGACAGTGAAAATATTTATACTACACCCATACATAAGTATACCTATGATTATAATTACTTACAATCGAAGTGTCTTTATCGCTGCATATAGATATGTATGTATATGTATAACACAAATAAAAGTTCCTTAATTATATGTTATGAGAGTTGTAATTGTGAATAATTATTTATGTAAATAAGCTCGAAACATACCGGCGTAAAATATATGTACTATATATGATAATTGCTACCTGGTCTTGCTCTCTTTACATATTTAGATATAGCTTATCTACATATTCTACAATTATGCCACTATACCTATGTATAGTATATACAGTACCGGTATAATCTACTATACACATACATACATATATAGCGCATTTATTACGTTTTAAATATACCCAAAAATACACTTTTTGTCTAGTCACTTTTTTATACCAGAGACCCCCAGATCAAAATTAGTCTTTGCGTGATTTCGAGAGTTATTTTTTTAGTGCACACACGCAAACTGAGCGGAGAGAGCGCATTAGCGATCATCACATGTAATCGAAGCAGCTAAAAGTATATTCATAAGATTTGAGCACAACTTAGCTTGTCTTCCCATATTACTATTCCGGTACTCTTTACAACTTTGTTTTTCAATTAACCCAACAATCAATTAAATAAACGAAGAACAATTTGACAGTAGACAGATGAATGTATATACGAGGGGTACTGCTTGAGTTTTACTAATTCGAATATGTCAAATCCAAAAAATACGGATTTTAAACCGAAATGAAACTTCCATAATAGTTTAGTACGTGATCAGAAAAGTCTTTGAGTTCGACATCGAATCGAACGACGTTGAATCGATGCAATAAAGCGCAGTAATATAGTTTATTGATTGCCATACTATGTTCTAGGTCAATGAAACTTCTTAAGAATCCTTAAAACTACTGGTCAAAACCTCTCGCACCAACTGTGTGTTAGGCGTGGTGTGTATATCATATTTTATAGATCAACTTAATTTGATTTTTAATGAGGAAATATCCTATTGAACCATCATGTCTTAGTCGTTAATTGAATTTAACTTTGACCAGAAAATGATAAAGAGTTTTGTCTCTAAAGTCCGATAACTGGACTCCCCACGCATGCCTAAATGTGACGATAAAATACCACTGAAAGAAGGTTCAAAACAAAAAAAAGCCTAAATTTTGGCTCTTTACTATTGAAAGATAAAGTAATCTCAGAAGTATGCGATGATAATTATACAGGTACATAAGTAGTCAGGCAGTGTTATTTCCACGATAAACAATAACTCAAACGGAGGTAAAATATGACTCCGATTTGCAGCAGAAAGCATCAATTTCTAAACATCGTCACAGTTAACAATTGAGAGCTTGATCTGAAATATCTTTATTCTTTTACAAAAAACAAAATTATATTTTTGTCTTAGAGTTCTAACCTTAACTGGAATGCTGACAAAGTTTTATGACATTTCATCCAATAATTCTCAAGTTATTGTTGTCAAAGCAACTCTACCTCTGCTACCGAAAGCACAACAGTTGGCCACAAAAGGGTTTTAGCAAGTATTTTTTCGGACTTCCAGGTAGTTATTTTCATTAACTGCCTCAAACGTGTTAAAACTATTAATTTTTGGCGTCGGACAAAGGTAACCCAATTGTTAGGGCAAGGACTTTCCAATCTAAGTAGAACCATAATAACTATGCGGAAATTTCACAACAAAACGTAATTGATAGGAATTTTATAGAAATATGTACAGTCATAGCACTCTTCAATTTGTAGATTTCTTATATTCATTAATGCTGATGATAATTGGTTTTTCAATTCTATATTTATAAATAAGTGGCCACATGAAATTTGTATATTGTACTCACGTACGGACAGATTTGTTCGCCATTTGGGGTTATCTTATCTTATAGTGTTTGTTATGCAATAACAGCGTAGGCCTCACGTAACATACATACATACATACCTAAACATTAATCATACTTTGTCTTCGTAAATAAAGAAGTGTGGAAAGAAGAAGCTAGACCCTGACCAAATATGAAATTATTGTATTTTTGGTTTATTATTCAATTCCTAAAGAGTACCGGTTTAGGTTAGGTATTTACTACATGATTAGATTGGTTTGGATGCCTGGCCATAGCGGTGTTGCTGGAAACTGTAAGGCTGATGAGCATGTTAGATCAGGTATTTCAGTCTCACTTATTCACCTTTTTTAAAATATTTATATTTTATTATGGATATTTACATATTACGTACAAAAAAAAATATAACAATGCAAAATTCCCAACATATTGTAATTATTAATTTCAGAACGAGCGTAGCGCAACCGTGAAAAGAATTTTAAAATAAACAGAAAGGAAGTTCTAAGTAACTTGCAAGGATCAAAGCCCGGGAAATTACTTCAGGTGTGGGCAAAATTTTATATTAAATGAAGTATTGATCCGATTCAACCCATTTTTGACACAAAAACATATTTTTATCGAAGGTTTCATTTATTTATTTTTTTATATGTAATATATATCCTTCACATTGATCGAAATTTACGGTAAAAAGTCAACTATAGGCACTGGGGTCCACATATTCAGTACCTAGGGGCTTCAACAGTTTTAGTTCAGTTTAGACAATTTTTGGTCACAAGTTGGCATACTTTAAACGAATTATTCACGCAAACTTTTACGCCGATACAATCATTGTTGCTTGAGTTGCATAGTAAAAGTGAAAGAATCAGAAGGAATTTAAAATAGTGTTATATGGGAAATAGGCGTGGTTGTAACCCGATTTTGCTCATTTTCGCAATATAACAAAGAATTATGAGAAGAATGTTATGCACCGAATTTGAGTGAAATCGGTTAAGCAGATCTCAAGATATGGGTTTTCACCTAAAAGTGGGCGATGCCATGCTATTATACTCTGTAGCAACATGTTGCGAGAGTGAAAACAGAATGTCAAATTGCATAGCATCGAACTGTTACGAACAATAACACAAAGCTTGCCACCCGAGCGCGACTGGCACAGTCCCTTCGTATTTCCTTGTTAGATGTTAGATTAAACGAGTTCGGTAAAAAAGAGAGTCAGAAAATCGATGTATATACTGAGACTAAATTTTAATATTTTTTTTTACTGGTATAACATATGTATATAAAACATTTCAATAAACAATTAACGAGGACACATTGCATGCTTGCCACCGTCGACGGGCAGAGTTGCTCCCGTTATAAAGCTGGAATTGCCACTGGCAAGGAAAACAATAGCATCGGCCACTTCGTTTGGTTCGCCAACACGTCCAAGTGCATGTGTCTCTTTACAACGTTCGAAATATTCAATGACTTCCTCTGGCGATAAACCACGACGTCTATGAATATCTGTCACAATCACACCAGGATTTACGGCATTCACACGAACATTTTTCGGCGCCAAATCCAAAGCGATACATCTGGTAAATTGATCCAGTGCTGCTTTGGAGGTGCAATAAGTGGAAACACCTGAGAATGAACGCAGTCCTGTAATGCTGGAGACATTCACGATATTACCTTGGGTCTTTATCAAATGTGGTGCGGCGTATTTAGTTAGAAGGAAGACCGCTCGTACATTTGTATTGAAAATGCGGTCAAATTGATCGACATCAATATCTAATATGTTGCCTACTTCGAAAATACCCGCGTTATTCACCAACACATCCAATTGTCTGAATCTCTCAATTGTTGAATTTATAATACGTTCCGCATCTACTGTGACATCGGCGATAATTGGTAAAAGTTCGGCTTTGCTGTTGGCGGATTTACAGGCAGCTACGGTAGCTTTTAAATTTGCTTCATTTCGTCCTACGAGCACTACTTTGGAACCCAGTTTGGCGAAGGCTTCAGCTGTTGAGGCACCGATGCCTGAACTTGCACCCGTCACAATTACAACTTTGCCGACTAAACTCATGGCGATCTATTCGAACTCACGGCACTATTTTAATTAAATTACGTGGGTAATGCTAATATTTATGCTACTTCGCCAAGAGAAATGTTAGACTCTCTCTCTACTAATAACTCAATATTTAATTGGATTATTACGTATATGATTAGATAGTATTGAGTACTTTAGTATAAACAAAACTACAATATTGCAATATTTCATTAAAAAATGTTCAGATGCATTATAGGTATTACCTATTTTCGCACTGTATCTGCAGCACAATATTTACATCGCTACGCTCAGTTTTTTATTCCCAAATAGAAGCTAAATAGCTCTCAGAGATAGAGAGCAAACGCATACGCTTTGGCATAGCCGATTGGTTTGGACTGAAGTATATAAAGGGTTTTGCAATAAGAATGACGTTATTTTTTTTTTTTTCAACGAATTCGATCAACCCCGCTTTCGAGTACTTTTACCACTAAATCAAGTCGTATGTCATAAATAGCACGTTCAATATTGACTTCTTAAACTTAAAGAGAGTCTGATTTATTGCTAAAGACCAATGACTTCAAATAACCCCACAAGAAGTAGTCTAATGGTGTTAAATCACAGCTTCTTACATTGAAAGTAACGGTGCTCCCAGCTTCACTTGAGAAAAAAAGTACGAAGCGATGATTCCACCAGACTAAAAACCACATCAATCTGTCAATTTAGGTGAATACAATGGTTGCTCATGAATAATTTGTTGATTTTCTTCGCACCAGAATCTTCAACAATTCGATGAATAGCGAGCACAGGTGGACGATTATTACGACTATAAATTGGCAAAAGCGTACGAAAAATTGCAATTGGAGAACGATTATTTTGAAAATAAAATTAATTAATTTCTAAACATTGCTCTTGAGTATATCTTTCCATGATGAAATTGTAAACATTACAATACAATGAATTATTATACATATTAAAAATGGCCGAAACGACACTTAGAAGTCATATCATCCCTATTTGAAAACTCGATATTTATATAGAAATAGTTGTTTATATTTTCTATCAGAACCAAAGCGAGACAGAAAAGGGTCTCCAGTGCTAACAGTACTCACAACATAATCGGCTTTTATAATTTTTTTTTTTAACATGAACGTTTAATTTTTTTAAATTTATATATACATATATGCTTAAAAGTACTAAATTACATTTGAAGGAAATATTAACGCGGGCACATGGCGTGTTTGCCACCATCGATCGGCAGAGTTGCGCCCGTTATAAAGCTCGAATTGTCACTTGCAAGGAAAATAATGGCATCGGCCACTTCCTTGGCTTGGCCGACGCGACCCAATGCATGTGTAGACTTCGAATGCTCCAAATGTTTAGCATATTCTTCCGGCGACATGCCAAGACGCTTATGGAATGATGTGACAATCAAACCTGGATTTACGACATTCACACGTACATTTTTCGGCGCCAAATCCAAGGCGATACATCTGCTGAATTGATCCAGTGCCGCTTTGGAGGTGCAGTAGACCGAAACACCTGGAAATGAGCGCAATCCGCCGACACTGGAGACATTCACGATATTACCTTGGGTCTTCACGAGATATGGTGCGGCGTATTTAGTCAGCAGGAAGACTGAACGCAAATTTGTATTTAAAACGCGATCAAATTGATCGACATCAATATCCAGAATTGAACCCACTTCACCATAACCGGCATTATTCACCAACACATCCAACTGTCCGAACTTGTCAATTGTTGTTTTGATAATCTTCTCAGCGTCTGTTGTTACATCAGCGGTAATTAATAATAGTTCCACTTTGCTGTTCGCTGCTTTACAGGCTTTCTCAGTAGCTTTCAGATTTGCTTCATTTCGTCCTGTGATCACTACTTTGGAACCCTGCTTGGCAAAGGCCTCAGCTGTGGCGGCACCGATGCCGGAACTTGATCCGGTTACAATTACAACTTTACCAACTAGACTCATTTTGAACTATTCTAAATCACGGCGCTGAATTAACTGAGCTGTTGTGTCTAATTATGTTATTTATATACCAAATACAGACATTTTGGTTTACTATTTCACACTAATAATTCAATAGTTTTTGGGGCAGTGATAAGATAAAAAAAATGAGCGGGTGGATAAAAGTGTCAGCTGCTTTTGAATTTATAATCAAGTGTTCATTGTTGATTGTGTCAATTTCATCTATTTATATAATACATATAGGACATTATGGCTTGCTATTTCACCACTATAAATCAATAATTTTTGGGGCGTTGATAGTATAAACAGAAAGTGGGTGCATACAAGTGCCAAACATATCAAATTCTTAATCAGTTGCACTTGAAATGGTTTTCTTTAAATAAATATTTATACGAAGCAAAAAATTCGAAGAGTTTTTGATGTAAACTGTACTCCAAGCGTTTAATTGAGAAGTTTCTTTAATGTAGAAGTCTTCTGATGGATAATTAGCTAACAAGAGTAGTAAAGAGAGAGATATAGGGAATAACTTCTCTCAAAATCGTGAACGTATGTATGTATATACTCGCAGCGGCGAATTTTTTTACTCTCTCACTGGAATATGTTGGATATCTCTTAATTTTTGCTGTTAGCGCCAGTGAAGCAATACAGATTAGATTGTTAGTAGTATACTTGCTAGACGGATTTCCAGTGTTCTATGCCATCACATCGACAATGGAAGTTTCCTGCTGCTGTGGTAGTAGTTTCGCGCTATAAACCTTTGACAATTGTGAGTAGAGGCCCTGCTAAATTTATTTACTTAGGTTAAATCAAGGTTTTAAGCGATGTCATTCAGTTAAAGAATACTATTTGTGTAATATTTTATTTCGATATCATGATTGGCTCTCGACCTACTTACATACCTACTGTAAACTGAAAGAATTAGATGAAAATTTTATTTATATTTTTTTATGAAAAGTAGGCGTGGTTGTATTCCGTTTTATTTTTCCTCCCGCAATTCGATTTACAAAATTATTATTACTATACCCTGAATAGGGCAACGGTACAAGTTCCGAAGAAATTTCTTAGCACGGATAGTTATAGCATAGATCATCAAGTCTTTGTAACGAAAACTTCTTATTATTTGTGAAGGGTATCAAAGCTTCGGTGCAATAGAAGGGAAAGGTTTTTTGTTTATATATTTTTTTCACAATTAGCATTTTATAGGTTTTCGGTTAACGAAATTTTGTGGGCGTGGCAGTGATGCGATTCCGATTGATCTAAAATTTCTACTTCTTTTGGTACCAAGGTACGTCAAGATTTCTTAATTTTTACTCAAGTTTCAGTTTGCATGAAAGTACAGACGGACTGACATTGACTGTCTGAATCAAAATTTAACTCGCCTTGTCATCCTGATCATTGCCATATTCTCGAATAAAACTCTGTATATATATCGATTAGTTTTAGGTGTTACAAGCAACCGTTAGATTCAATTGCTAACAGTACTCAAAATGCAACCGGTTTTTTAGACATTTTTGCTAACATGAATCTTACTAAATTTGTTTCCGCAAAACAAATCAAAAGTCACATAATTATTTTAAAACATTTTTTATTCTCATATGTAGGTATATGGGTATATATTGAAACATAATAAATTACATTTGTAAGAAATATTAACGTGGGCACATAGCGTGTCTGCCACCATCGATCGGCAGAGTTGCGCCCGTTACAAAGCTCGAATTGTCACTTGCAAAGAAAATAATGGCATCGGCCACTTCCTTAGGTTGGCCGACGCGACCCAATGCATGTACAGACTTCGCTTGCTCCAAAAATTTAGCATAGTCTTCTGCCGACATGCCTAAGCGCATAAGTATATTTGTAACAGTTACGCCGGGACTGACAACGTTGACACGCACTTTATGCGGTGCCAAATCCAAAGCGATGCATCTGGTGAATTGTTCAAGTGCTGCTTTGGACGTGCCATAGACCGAAAGACCAGGGAATGAACGCATTCCTGCGACACTGGATACATTCACGATATTACCTTGGGTCTTTATGAGATGTGGTGCGGCGAATTTAGTTAGAAGGAAGATAGCACGCAAATTTGTATTGAAAACCCGATCAAATTGATCGACGTCAATATCGAGGATTGAACCCGTTTCACCCACACCGGCATTATTCACCAACACATCCAACTTTCCGAACTTGTCAATTGTTGTTTTGATAATCTTCTCAGCGTCTGTTGTTACATCAGCGGTGATGAGTAGTACTTCCGCTTTGCTGTTAGCTGCTTTACAGGCTTTCTCAGTAGACTTCAAATTTGCTTCATCACGTGCTGTGATCACTACTTTGGAACCCAGCTTGGCAAAGGCCTCAGCTGTGACGGCACCGATACCGGAACTTGCTCCGGTTACAATAACAACTTTACCAGCTAAACTCATTTTGAACTATTCGAACTCACGGCGTAGAATCAACTAAACTGCTGTGTCTAATTCGGTTATTTATATACCAACAAATACAGACATTTTGGTTTTCTATTTCACCACTAATAACAGTGGCGGATACAGTATTCCTTTCCGGGGGCTTTTGCAGTAAAAAATGTATTTCCAACATATTTTTAATTTTGATGTTATTTCGAAATTCGTCTCAATTTGAGTTAAAATTACGGTTAAATAAGTTAAAGAAATCCTTGTTATTATTGGTACTTATGAGCAACGTGAAAGTGAAAATAAGAAGATGTGCAGTGGATGAATCTTGTAAAATAAAAAAATTTAAACATTGTCATTGTTACTTCCCCTGTAATACTTTTTTCTCCAAACTTTTATTATTACGGAACTATCATTTTCAGATTTGACCCCCAAAAACCCCCATGGATCGGCCACTGACTAACAAATCAATAATTTTGGGGCAGTGATAAGATAAATATCAAGTTTATACAAATGCCATACATATTAATATTTTAATCAGCAGCTGTATTTGGACATTTATATTCATATCTTTGCCAGGCCCGGGCACGTAAAATCAAGATCCGTTATACTTTTTTAACAAATTGTAAAATGAAAAATGAAACTTTGTCTCTAATAACTCATGTTCATAAACTGCTTAAATGGCTAATTAAAATCAACTGATGAATGTTTTCCCACAAGTAGCTGCTCATTAAACGATTTGACAATGTAGTCTTCTGTTTTATACTATTTATTCATGGAAAGAGGAGTTAGGCCGTTAGACAGAGATTAAAGTATAACTCTTATGTCATTGGAAGTTAAGAGTGTTTCTTAAACAAAAAACCAGCAGAAATGAGCTGAAGAAAGCACAGGTAGAAAGCGTAAAAAGCTGAGAGAGCTGCTAGTTTTTCTGCTAGCAGAAAATATATACTAAAGTATATAGAAACAGCCATTAAAGCATAAAACATACTTGCATGTATACATGCGATATTTAACGTATTTACTTTGATTTTGTTTATTTTCATTGTTTTGAATTGTGAAAATAAAAACTGTACTGATAGATTTTCAAGTGTTGATATGAAGTTATTTTAAAAAACAAAATTTTGAGAATAACTGTGCATTTTCTTATCCATGATAGCTAGCAGTTAAGATACACAGCTATTATGAAAATGTTAATTTTCTAGCGCTTTCACACTGAAATATGTAGGATATGCTGTTAGCGCCAAGTTAGCGAAGCAATAAAGTTTAGTTTGTTAGTATCATAGTATAATTGCTTGATTTCCAAAGCCCGAACTTTAAAATCCTTATGTCAGGTATATGGAAATGTGTGGATTGGTAATATCAGGCCACATTATTATACCAAAAATATGCTTACTTAATTTCATAACGATACCTTATGGGCTTTAATTCTCAATGTTCATCGCTTATATTAATACGGAAACTGTGCCACAAAAGACTCCCTCTGGTGTAACCAAATAATATATATATTTAAGTTTACTTATTATTACATTTTAGCTAGATCAAGGCAAAGAGAAAACCCCCCGTCTATTTGCTCAAATATTAAAGGCGCCAGGACTAATCGAACAGGTGGAGACTTTAAACATAATTGAGAAGAATTCAAAAACAAATGCAACATCGGCATGGGAATCAGCTATTTCGTAGAACAGCGCCCTCTTCTGTAGAAATTCACATTCTGACGCAATTTATCGAAATCAAATCGCGTGTTTGCAGTGAAAGCAATAAATAAAACGAAGAAATTAGGAAATGAACGAATGAAAAAATTAAAATATTGAAAAACATTTAAACCGAACTAAATCTTAAATGATAATAATGTATAATAATAATTCTATATTTTATATTGCAAACTTCTCAAAACTTCAACTTATTTATAAACAATATTTTTCATACACACCCTTTCATCATTAGCCAAATGACCTTGTCCACCAAAATTACTGACTTAAATTTTAAGCCCGTCATATGACTTAACTCTACTGGTTGCTATGTAAAGTCGACCAACCAAAAAAAATTTTAATTAAGTAATGAATGACTGATTAGCAATAAATATCGCCTATGGAACATACAAATTATGTTTACAATTTTGTTTACAAATTGAAAGTACAGAAAAAAATAAACTCACCAATGACAAAGGAAGTAATGGGATATCGTCAGAACATGCGGTGAAATTATCTCTCAAATTGAAGTGCTGTTGATGTCGATTCAACCAACTAATTAACCTTGGAGAAAAATGGTAAACAATTTAACTATCAAACAATGCACTTGAAATTTACCTAACAATTTCTAACTCTCCAAAATAAAATGAACGTTGTCAATTCAAATTTCGTCACATTGGCGATTCAACTAAGTACATAAAATTAATCTTGGAAATAAATTTTCAAAAAACATATTTTTGACTAGTCCTGCCATACAAACTGATCGATAAAACTCAGAGGAAATTTACTTCTATTTAACTCATTTATGCAGTGTCCTCAGTTACTTCGGAGAATAAAACTGCTGGTCTAATTGTGTAAACTTGATAATGAGTAAATAACAAAGAGACTTAAGTTATGATACTTATTCTCTGCCTATTTCAAGAACTCTCGAAGAAGTGAAAAAAATTGGAAAAAATAACGTAAAACTTAGCGACACTTACTGAGCTATAGTTAAGAATGAGGAGGCTGACAGAAATATTGTTCAAAATAATAGAAAAAGATTCTTCACTGAAGACAATCTAAAATTCAGATCTAGGAATGATAACTAATAAAAGAGCAAACCATTTCTTTGGATCCCAGAAATACAAATTGGGGTCCCAAATGAAAAGTAAAGCATACACTGAAAAAGTTAAGATTTTATAATGGGAGTACTCACAATTCATTTGCGCTCTAACCAGAAATAATAACGCAGTGACTATAATGGTCCGATATCGGCGATACCGACAAATCAGCAGCTTCTTTTGGATAAAAGAATGTGTGCAAAATTTCAGATAGGTATCCCAAAAACTGAAGTACTAGTTCGTGTTTTACAGACGGGCAGACGGACGGACATGGCTAAATCAACTTAGCTCATCACGACGACCATTTATATAAGTATATATTTTCTATGGTCTCCGACGTTTCCTACTAGGTGTTACAAACTTCGTGACAAACTTAATATACCCTGTTCTGAGTAATTAAAAAGTAATAAAATAGTTTATTTACACTGGTGCGTACGTATGTTTGCAATGTATGACTACACATTTTCGGATTGTATTTAAGTATATACATCATAATATTTACAGTATGTGAACATCGCTACGCTCAATTTTCTATTCAAACCTGGAAGTTAGATGGCTCTCAGAGATACAGAACAATGACAAAGCGTATGCGTGAGTTATTTCGCCGATATGTTTGAACAGATGTATATACATACGTATTTATATAGAAATACTTGTTTATGTAATATTTTGTATCAGATCGTGAGTAATCAAATTTTGTTTGAGTAATCTTAGTTTTAGGAGGAATCGATCCAATTAAGACAACAGGTGGTAGAAAATGAAACCTTTGCCAAGAGTATTCTCTTACGTATATCTATATCAAATTTATGTCACAATCGCTCCTAATCATTGACTTAAGTGGCACATATGTTGCTAATCGATAAAATTATTTATTTAAAAATGACTAAAATATATTCCCGTAGCATTATTCTATTTATTTCGGTAAGATTTTTTTACTATAAACTAAAAAACTAATGCTATTTCGAGAATTAACAAAAGTGCTTACGTGTCTATTAACTTGTATATACACTCAAGGCCAAACATTATGGATTGCTATTTCACCACAACTAATTAGATAGTTTTTGGGGTGTTGATAAGATAAATAGAAACCGGCTGCATACAAGTGCCATACATACCAACTTTTAAGGCAGTTGCTCTTAAAATAGTTTTCCTTAAATAAATATTTATTCGAAGTATTAAATTCGAAGAGTTTTTGATCTAAACACGCATGGAGTATGCGGTTTCTTTTGTGGGAAGTTCAAGCTGTTAATCGATATGTCACAAAAGTTAATGTTTTCATTTACCTGACGTTGATATCATTTTGTTCGCTTGTGACGCGGAGGTTTTAGGTACTTTATTGTTATACCAAAAAAATAAAAAAATAAAAAACAACAATTACTTAAAGTAAAACTTTTATTTCATTTAATGTATGAAGTTAAAGCAATGCGCGAATATATCAAATTATTGACCCTTTGCAGCTTTACTTCTATAGTTAGATCTCTCATTTCCCACACATTGAGCAGGTGGTTCCCATTCACGACTATTATTTAGTTAACATGAATAGCAAACAAGAAAGTATGCAATTTTAAGCGAGCAAATCTTAAGATTAACTTTCAATCTAAATATATCCGATAAAAAATATTGACTACCAAACCTTATGCCTGCCAACCAAACTAGCAAAGGCAAATGAAACTACCAATTTTGGTCCAAAACGGCAACGCTGATATGTAAGTAATATATACTCACAGCGACGGTTGCCGTTTGACCTTTTTTTTCTGAAACAAAAATTGGACGAAATTGAGATGGACAAAACCTAATTCGAATCGGAAGAGCGGAAGTTGGAGCGGAGGGATGTTGTTCGGTGTGCACTGTGAAACAAAAAATTAATATGTATTTTTCACAAAAAAAAAGAAGAAATATACGTTCACGTTATTAATTCAATTTTTTTATTTCACCAGAGATCATTCAGATTTTTAATTCAGTATATCGTTCAGGTACACGAGCATAGGTACAGGTTACACATATTACATTTAGTATCACTTTATATACATATGTATATAATTGGCTAATTAAAAACAGCAACTTCTCATTAAACGATTTTCCAGTTTACGCTATCGATTTGTACTTTTTATTCGCTGGGAAAGATTCAGGCTGTTAGGCAGAAATAAAAATATGTATAACTCTCATACCATTGGAAGTTGATGTCATTTCTGCTGTTAGCGCAAGTGAAGCAATAAAAATTAAATTGTTAGTACTATACTTGCTAGACGGATTTCCAGTTTCTATGTCATCACATCGACAATGGAAGTTTCCTGCTGCAGTGGAAATAGTTTCAAGCTATAAAAATTTGACATATGTGAGTAGAAGCCCTGATACCCTGTTATGGTATCTTATATATCGACTGATATATGATATGCGGTATAAATTCAAACGAATATTTGAAAATGGAATATTTATATGGCAGCTAGGGGAAGTATTGACCCAATTTTATCCGTTACTACCACAAAGACACACAGAGGGAACAGTACCATCTCCGTATTTCAATTAAATATCTCATACACAACGGTAAATACAGTATGAAGTTAGCCAATAGCACTGTGGTCCACATATTTGGTATTACGGAGCTTGAAAAGTTATGATCCGGTTTCGACAATTTTTAGATGTGAGATGGCATAACTTAGGAACATTATTTGTATAAAATGTAATTTCTATAATGTCATTGGCTCTTGACTTATACAATATAAAATAAAATAATGAAATAAAATTATCATATATGTGATTTATTTATATTTATATTTATATTTATCTCTTTGTTTGAAAGAAATTGGTCGAGTAGTTCCTGAGATATATAACTTCACCTAAAGGTTTGCTTGATATATGATAATAACCCAACGATTACTCTCCTACCGGGCAACCAACGCGAGCGGCGCATTTCGCATACGTGCGGAATTAACCGAGTCATAAAGCCAAGATAGTTTTTTAGCGTCGAGATCTAAAACTGCTCAGCTACAGAAATTTAAATATCAAAAGCTTAGATTTAAAATTACGTTAAAATAAAAACTTACGATTTTATTTATTAGGAGAAAGCAGATAAGATAAATTAAATGTGCAGGAATGAGTATTAAAATTATGACATATGCGGCGGAATGATTCGTTCAGTTCAAAATTTGATCTACAAGATTTTAACAGTGAGTGTTTAAACTGTCTCGAAAAGCGAACCGGAATATTAAATTTATTTTCAGACAAGAGAAAAGAACTGCAAACGGTTCCCTTCAAGATTTTCACTAAGCATATTATACCAAGCATTTCCCTACGACTAGAAAGTGTATGTAGATTTATAAGTTTAAAACGACTAGTGTATAGAGGTAGACTTAACCTAGAATCCCATCGGAAATGCCCCAAGACGAAAAGTAAAACTTATTTTTAAACAGAATCTAACTTATCAGAATGAATTTGGTAGCTAGGGTTCCATACCACAGAACCATGTTCCAATATAGGCCTAACCAAAGTTGTAAATGGAGTTTTAGTAACTTACGGAACTCTAAATTCTTTAAACCAACGTTTAACATAACTGAGAATACTTTTTGCTTTTAAAACCGTAGTACCAATATGAAGACTAAAATTAAGCTTAAATATAATATTTACATTAAATTTAATAAAAAAATATTTCAAAATTTCCTCTCGCAATTCTATGTATAAAATTATTGTTTTTATACCCTGAACAGGGTATAATAAGTTTTTTACTTTAAAACTGAGTGGGTCGCCTCTAAATGAAAAAAAAAAAAATTTTTAATAATCTACAAATTTTATTTCGCTCCACCCTAATATACTTGTATGAATGATCAGCATAACGAGCAGCGTCGATTTAGCCAGTTCCGTCTGTCTGTCCGTGTCTATATATACACGAACTAGCAGATATCGATCTGAAATTTTGCGCACGTGCTTTTCCCTCTATGAACTGGCGATATCGGACCACTATAGCCTTTTTACTCAAGTTTCTGTTTGCAAGAAAGTACAGAAGGACGGACAGACAGACACTCACACGAAATTCAACTCGCTTTGACATCCTGATCATTAATTATATAATATATAACTCTATATTTATCTCGACTAGTTTTTGGTTTTACAAACAACCGATACTTTTTAGAAATTTTTTTTAACGTGAATGTTACTAGATTAGTTTTTGCAAAAATCAAAAGTCACAATCATTCAAGTCTTTATTCAAAACATATTTTAAACTTTTATATTTTTATTTATTAATAAATTACATTTGTAAGAAATATTAACGCGGGCACATAGCGTGTCTGCCACCATCGATCGGCAGAGTAGCTCCCGTTATAAAGCTCGAATTGTCACTTGCAAGGAAAATAATTGCATCGGCCACTTCCTTGGGTTCGCCAACGCGACCCAATGCATGCACAGCCTTCGCCTCCTCGAAAAATTTAGCACTTTCCTCATCCGTAAAGCCAAGACGCTTATGGAATTCTGTCACAATTGTACCAGGATTTACGGCATTCACCCGTACATTTTTCGGCGCCAAATCCAAAGCAATACATCTGGTGAATTGATCGAGTGCCGCTTTGGAGGTGCAATAGACCGAACCACCAGCGAACGAACGCAATCCTGCGACACTTGAGACATTCACAATATTACCTTGGGTCTTTATGAGATGTGGTGCGGCGTATTTAGTCAGCAGGAAGACCGAACGCAAATTTGTATTTAAAACACGATCAAATTGATCGACATTAATATCCAGGATTGAACCCACTTCACCATAACCGGCATTATTCACCAACACATCCAACTGTCCAAACTTGTCAATTGTTGATTTGATAATCTTCTCAGCACCTGTCGTTACATCAGCGGTAATTAATAATAGTTCCACTTTGCTGTTGGCTGCTTTACAGGCTTTCTCAGTAGCTTTCAGATTTGCTTCATTTCGTCCTGTGATCACTACTTTGGAACCCAGCTTGGCAAAGGCCTCAGCTGTGACGGCACCGATACCGGAACTCGCTCCGGTTACAATTACAACTTTACCAGCTAAACTCATTTTGAACTATTCGAACGCACGACGTTGAATCAACTGAACTGCTGTCTAATGCGGTTATTTATATACTAACAAATACACACATTTTGGTTTGTTATTTCACCACTAATTAAATAATTTTTGACGCAGTGATAAGATAAATATTGAGCGGGTGTCTAATAGTGTCAGCTGCTTTTGAAGTTTATATTCATATTTTGGCAGGCGTGTTGTGGGTAATCCCCATATATTATATTACAATATTATAATAAATTGACAAGTTTAAATTTGTTATAACCGAACATTTTATACTCTATATAAAACAAGTAAGGAAGTGCTGAATTCGGGTGTAATCGAATATTTTATACGTTCATAATTTGAAAAGAACAAAACTTTTTAGTAAAAAATGTTGCGAAAGAATTCCATATAAATTATTCGACGAAAGGGTGAAAGTAGCAAATTTGGTATCTAATTAACTTATATTATTGGTCATAGACTCAGTTAGTTTCATTACTACATCAAGCAAATTAACTCATATGAGATATGTGCGTTATAAACTCTACCAAAGGCGTTGTATTTAATAAATTGGGTATATGTGGAAAAAGTCAATCAAATAATCGGAAGTCATTTGGTTAGTGATATGAGGTCTAGAGCAATTCGATCCATATTCAGCGTTAAAACTCATTATTTTTAAGAAAAAATATCTTCTTTATTTCAATAAAATATTACATTATATAAATTTTTCTATTAGATATATGGGCTAGGGGTAGAATTGAACCGATTTCATCCATTCTTAGCATTTCGAGATATTATTTCCAGGGAAAAATGCTCTCTGTCTTTTATTGAGTTACCCCATAGAGAGAGCTATAGTTTTGGTAAAAAGTCACACACATTCAATTTTGAAATTGTTTTTTCTTATTATTTGCGTTAACATATTCCCAGTGCTATAGTGATCAGCATTGGCTTTGGTAAGTGGTTGGTTTTTGCAGGAACCTGTTTTAAAACCACGGCAGTAATCAAAATTAATGAAGAATAGCATAATAATCTACATGTGTTTCACATGGGTAGAATATGTTGGTTAAATATTCTGAAAATCTTCCGCTTTTTTGGAGTTATGTATTGTTGGCCAACGTGTCGGCTCTTATTTACTAGTACATTTCGTCGCTGTTCTGTATAAGTTACATACATATACCTACACCGGCTTATTGTGTATCGTTTACGGCGGATTTGTGTTGGCGATTTTGCCACTTTAAATACGTGTTGCAACATTGAATTTTATTACAATTACATTTTTAACGCACATTAAATTTCAAGTATTGTTTGTGAAAAAAAAACACAGAAGTGGAAATAACCTTTGATATCATTCGTTTTCTTTTGGTGAGTTAGAAATTTTTAGATTAATTTCAAGTGCATTGCGTTATATTTGATTTTTTGAAAATTTTAATTGGTTGAATAGACATCAACAGCACTTCAATTCGAGAGATGTTTTGAGGATATTTTTAGGATGTTTTGAGGATATTCCATTACCTCCTTTGTTATTGGTGAGTTTATTTTTTTCTATACTTTCAATTTGTAAACATAATTTATATGTTCCATATGCGATATTTATTGCTAATCAGTCATTTATTACTTAATTAAATTTTTTTTGGTTGGTCGACTTTACATAGCAGCCAGTAGAGTTAAGTCATATGACGGGCTAAAATTTTATTACAGTAATGTTGGTGGTCAAGGTCATTTGGCTAATGATGAGGTGTGTATGAAAAATATTGTTTATAAATAAGTTGAAGTTTTGAGAAGTTTGCAATATAAAATATAGAATTATTATTATACATTATTATCATTTTAGATTTGTGAAAATATTTTCCAATATTTTAATTTTTTCAATCGTTCATTTCCTAATTTCTTCGTTTTATTTATTGCTTTCACTGCAAACACGCGATTTGATTTCGATAAATTGCGTCAGAATGTGAATTTCTACAAAAGAGGGTGCTGTTCTTTGAAATAGCTGATTCCCATGCCAATAACTTTCCCATATTACCTGAAGAACAGATGTACGCAGCAGAAGACAAGATAATTAAAAAGATTTCAAAATGAAGCATCAGTTCGAGACTTCTTCGATATTTCATTCCAACAATTCATCAATATTTTATACTAATTATTTGGGCATCCTTTCGCAAGTGCATACGTGGCCACATATGACGACAAATTCAAATTGGCCGATTTTATTCGATTGTTCATTCATGGAAGAATTAAGCCAAAACCAGAAACAGAACAAATGATTTTGCACAAGAATGAATTATAAATTTTAATTTTAAAAATTTAGTTTTGAAAATTGTTTTCTACAACTTTCTTCAGATTTTGTTCACATTTTATTCAAATTCTTCAATAAAATTTAAATACTATTATAATTGTTATTAAATTGTATTTTCTATTGGTCGAATTTCGACCACTGGTGATCCTAGTATGTACAATGGAATGTACATACATATATTTGTGAATGTACTCAGAATATGGTGCTGATCCGGCAAATAGTTTCGGAGATGTGAGCGTATTTGTAAGAATTTTTTAATGTAGTATAATTATCGGGTCCCTAAACAGTGAGGAAAATTTCTCGGACGTAGCTGAATCGATCGACTTGACATTTTCACACGATCTCTTTGATGTATGAATTAGTTAACCACCAGAATTCGTCGTCCTGTTGGAAATCGGCTACGGGATCGAGGGAATCCAAAGTTTTTCCAAATGAATCGCCGATAATCATAAAAATAGTAAAAATTACAAAAAAAAAACTTTTCTGACTGTCAAGTTGATACGATCCAATTGATCGAAGTCAATATCTAGCATTGAATTTTTTTTTTAGTATTTTTTTAGCATGAATTTAATTAAATAAGTTTTTACAAAAATTAAAAGTCACATAATTATTTTGAAGCATATTTCGCAATTTTATATACTTATACGTTTATTAATGAATAACATTTGTAAGAAATATTAACGCGGGCACATAGCGTGTCTGCCACCATCAATCGGCAGAGTTGCTCCCGTTATAAAACTCGAACTGTCACTTGCAAGGAAAATAATGCCATCGGCCACTTCCTTGGGTTCGCCGACGCGACCCAATGCATGAGTTGTCTTCGAATGCTCCAAAAATTTAGCATCTTCCTCTTCCGACAAGCCAAGACGCTTATGGAATTCTGTCACAATCACACCAGGATTTACGGCATTCACACGTACATTTTTCGGCGCCAAATCCAAAGCGATACATCTGGTGAATTGATCCAGTGCCGCTTTGGAGGTGCAGTAGACGGAAACACCAGGGAATGAACGTAATCCTGCGACACTTGAGACATTCACAATATTGCCTTGGGTCTTTATGAGATGTGGTGCGGCGTATTTAGTCAGCAAGAAGACTGCACGCAAATTTGTATTCAAAATGCGATCAAATTGATCGACGTCAATATCTAAGATTGAACCCTTTTCACCAAAACCGGCATTATTCACCAACACATCCAACTGTCCGAACTTGTCAATTGTTGTTTTGATAATCTTCTCAGCGTCTGTCGTTACATCAGCGGTAATTAATAATAGTTCCACTTTGCTGTTCGCTGCTTTACAGGCTTTCTCAGTAGCATTCAGATTTGCTACATTTCGTCCAGTGATCACTACTTTGGATCCCTGTTTGGCAAAGGCCTCAGCTGTGACGGCACCGATGCCAGAGCTTGCTCCAGTTACAATCACAACTTTACCAGCTAAACTCATTTTGATCTATTCGAACTTACGGCGTTGAATCAACTGAACCGATGTGTCCGTTTCAGCTATTTATATACACTCAAAGGCTAACATTATGGCTTGCTATCACTAAACGTGATAAAATGATTTTCCAGTTTACGCTATCAGGAAAGGGTATGGCTGTTAGCCGGAGATGAAAATATGCGTAACTCTCATGTCATTGGAAGTTGAGAGCTTAAATGAGCATTTAGTTTGACTTGGGAACAATATAAAATGATCAACGCTCTCCCATGGGAATATACCCTGTTGTAAAATAATAAGATCATATTATGGCTGTTAAGTCTAACAGCTAAATATTTTGAAGAAATTTTTTGCTATGTGACTTATGTATTAACAATTCTTGTACTTCAGAAACAATTTTATTAACGTAACTACAAGTATTTATTACTACTATATTATTATTTACTTGTGTACTACTTTATACTTGTATACTACTTTATAAATGGGGAAAGAAGATAAGTCGAAAGTATTATATAAAGTCTGAAATTTACCATTAGACATTGACCAGTTGATTCGGCATACAAGTATAGTGAAATAAATTAATGCGAGTTATTAATACCAGTATAGTTTAGTAGTTATGTTTATGGGGGTTGGGGAAATTTAAGTACTGATTTGACCTAATTTCGGCAACCGTTAGGTACAACGCTACAAAAAGAAGTTGTTTTTGAATTGGATTGTAACTGGAAATCCGAAATAAATCCATTACGACAACGCCTAACACAAAAATTATATGTGAAACTTGGCTAACCAGTCAAAGCAACGACAAAGTCGAATATCTAAGACGCCAAGGTAGTAGTCGTAGGGCGTGCTACATGATATTCTATTAAAACGAGGTGCGATTGCCGAAAACGCCCGGATTTCGCGACTAGACACGGTGCAAAAATTTTCCATTATGACAAGCTTGGCCTTATGTTGCAAGACTGATTAGAAACTATTTGAAAAATAGCGGCTGGGTTGTTTTGACCCCGCCTTATAGCCCAAAACTTGCCGTTTTTAAAAACCATTTGTTCTGCCGATGCAGGGTTCACATTAGAACAGGGTATCAAAAATCAACTTGATTAAGTTATTGCAGTTATTTTAGGTTGGAATTTTAGTAGTTTTTAACATAAACGTTATATAAGTAGTGTTATCAACCTATTTCACACTTTTCCGCACCGTCGCAGGAGTTTCCGAAAAGGTTTGTCTTCAGCAAATTTGCGTAATATATCTTTGGTGGTTTGTGAGATATTTGTATTAAATTTAGTAAAGGGGCGGAGCTACGGGCACTTTTTAATTTTTTTTTTAAATAAATCTCCTTCTTTCTCACAATTCGGTGCACAAAATTATTATTTTTATAACGTGAACAGCGTATATTAAGTAAATAAGTTTGTAATACCCTGAAGGACACGTAAAGTGTGTTTAGCCAGCTTCGTTTGTCTGTAGATACGCGAACTAACAGATAATGATCTGAAAACACACGTGCTTTCCTCGCTAAGAAGCTGCTCATTTGTCGGAACAGCCGATATCGGATCAATTTAAGATATAGCTGCTATAAAAACTGAATTCTAATTGAATATGGAACACTTTTTCATTTTACGAGATATCTTTACAAAACAAATTTTGGCACGAATTATTGTTCAAAGCAACGGTATAAGCTCCGAAGAAATATCTTAGATCGGATCGCTATAGCATATAGCAGCCATACAAACTGAACGTTAAAAATGAATCCCTTAAATGGAAAAATTTTTTATTGGACAATGTTTGACATAGATTATTGTTCAAAACATCTCTGCAATCTCCGAATAAATTGTTCAGATCCGAATCTATTACATAGCTTCCATACAAACTGAACGATCAAAACCAAGTCTTTGTAACGAAAACTTTTTTATTTGTCAAGGGTATCAAAGCTTCACTGCAATAGAAATTAACGTATTCTTGTTTATCTTTTTTTTCACAATTAGCATTTTATAGGTTTTCGGTTAACGAAATTTTGTGGGCGTGGCAGTGAAGCGATTCCGATTAATCTAAAATTTCTACTTCCTTTTGTACCAAGGTACGTTAAGATTTCTTAATTTTTAGTAAAGTTTCAGTTTGCAGAAAAGTACAGACGGACTGACAATGACTGTCTGAATCAAAATTTAACTCGCATTGTCATCCTGATCATTGACATATTCTCGTAAATAACTCTATATCTATCTCGATTAGTTTTAGGTGTTACAAGCAACAGTTAGGTTCAATTGCTAACAGTACTCAAAATGCAACCGGTTTTTTAGGCATTTTTGTTAACATGAATCTTACTAAATTTGTTTCCGCAAAACAAATCAAAAGTCACATACATTTTTTAAAACATTTTTTTATTCACATAGGTATATGGGTATATATTGAAAAATAATAAATTACATTTGTAAGAAATATTAACGTGGGCACATAGCGTGTCTGCCACCATCGATCGGCAGAGTTGCGCCCGTTATAAAGCTCGAATTGTCACTTGCAAAGAAAATAATGGCATCGGCCACTTCCTTGGGTTGGCCGACGCGACCCAATGCATGTACAGACTTCGCTTGATCCAAAAATTTAGCATAGCCTTCTGCCGACATGCCTAAGCGCATAAGTATATTTGTAACAGTTACGCCGGGACTGACAACGTTGACACGCACTTTATGCGGTGCCAAATCCAAAGCGATACATCTGGTGAATTGTTCAAGTGCTGCTTTGGACGTGCCATAGACCGAAAGACCAGGGAATGAACGCATTCCTGCGACACTGGAGACATTCACGATATTACCTTGGGTCTTTATGAGATGTGGTGCGGCGAATTTAGTTAGAAGGAAGATAGCACGCAAATTTGTATTGAAAACGCGATCAAATTGATCAACTTCAATATCCAGGATTGAACCCGATTCACCCACACCGGCATTATTCACCAACACATCCAACTTTCCGAACTTGTCAATTGTTGTTTTGATAATCTTCTCAGCGTCTGTCGTTACATCAGCGGTGATGAGTAGTACTTCCGCTTTGCTGTTAGCTGCTTTACAGGCTTTCTCAGTAGACTTCAAATTTGCTTCATCACGTGCTGTGATCACTACTTTGGAACCCAGCTTGGCAAACTCCTCAGCTGTGACGGCACCGATACCGGAACTTGCTCCGGTTACAATAACAACTTTACCAGCTAAACTCATTTTGAACTATTCGAACTTACGGCGTTAAATCAACTGAACTGCTGTGTGTAACTCGGTTATTTATATACCACAAATACACACATTATGGTTTGTTATTTCACCACTAATATTTCAATAGTTTGGGGGTGATAAGATAAATATTGAGCGGGTGCATAAATGTGTCAGCTACTTTTGAAGTTTATATTCATATCTTGGCCAGCCCTGATACGGAAAATACCTATAGATTATATTATTATAATAAATCGTTAAATTAACTAGTAAGGAAAGTCTAAATCGAGTATAACCGAGCTTTTTATACTCTTGCAACTTGCAGGAATCAAAGCCAGGAAAGGTTTGTCAGGCACTGGCAAACTTTATATTACTGAATGTTGCAAAAAGAATAAAACATGCATTATTCAATGAAATCGTAAATAAATTACTATAAAATTTGGTATCTTCTTGACTTATTTTGAAGGCCATAAACTTAGACTTAATTTTATTTCTCTATTTAAATCGCGTCGGATGAAATTATATTTAAACACCTTCAAATGATAGTATAACTATGTATGCGATATCAATTCGATCGAAGGGGTTAAATTTAATATTATAAGTTGATATGGAACACGTCAACCAGAGGATGTGCGTTCATTATATTGAAACATAAGGTTTAGACCAACCTACATACCAATTTCATTCGAGTTCAGTGCTAAACCATATAATTTTAAAGAAAACTTGTCCATTTAATTTCATTAAAATGTCACACAATTTGACCAACCTAAACGGTTTAAATATAGGTGGTAAGTTGGAAATCAATTTATGGGGTATATTGGGGACAGGGAAAGCGACGTGCTCTGATTGCATTTATTTCGACATTGCTCAGGTATACTCGAAAACACATTTTGAAACAATTTTATATACCTATAAATAACACTCACTGACCGACATATTCGGCAGTAAACTTGTTAGAATAACGAAGTTTATGTAAGGGGGTAGTATCAATACCGCATACTACTAACATACCACAGACTAATAAAATTCTCCCAGGGTTTCATTAAAGTACATCACATACTATCATCAATCTATATGGAGTAAAGTCTACCGAATGTTCGAAAATCCTGATATTAGTTATATGGGTGCTAGGTAAAGCTTCCGCCCAATTTAACGTATTTTAGGCACAAGGACACACTGTTATGAGTCAAATACGCTCTCTCATTTTCATTGAGATATCATATATATTGGCCGACTTACAGTTGACCGACCAAGTTTCATCAAGATATCTGAATTTTTACTCAAGTTACAGCATGCACATACGGACGGACAATTAATTTTTGGGTGATACAAACAACCGTTAGGTGTACGAAATTATTAATTATACGCTGTAGCAACTCTACCAACGGGGCTGAATTTAATATAATAGATTGGACATATTAGGAAAAAGTCAACCAAATAATCGGAAAACATTATGTTTGTGATATGAAGTCTAGACCAATTCGATTCATATTCTGCGCTAAACTTTATTATTTTTAAGAAAAAATGTCTACTAAATTTTAGTAAATATACATTTTCGGAATTAAGCTGCAGGATGTATTACAATATTTCACGTGCATTTAATTTTGCTAATCTATCTTACCTATTGACCGATATACATATATGTAGGTTATAAATCAACCAGAAGTTTTAAATTCGTATATTAGGTATGTATTTGGGGTTATTATCGGACTGATCTTATCCATATTAAGAACCAGTGCCCACTGTTATCAAAATTGTTGACTGATATACATATGTGGTATAAAATAATAAGGTATATATGGTATAAAGACAACAGGAAGTTCGAAAATGTTTCTATTAGGTATCTGGGGCTTGGGGCAGTATAGAACCGAATTTATATATTATTTCCAGGAAAAGATGATCTCCGTTTTCATTAAGGTACCTCATAGATAGTGCTATATTTTTGGAGAAAAGTCAGCTATAGTTGTTTATTTGGTTTGTAAGACCAAATGATGACGAGCTATACAATATTATCTTACCTGTGGTGAGGGACTAAAATTGATGGACACGTCATTGATTGATTTCTAATCTTATTTTACCAAATTCATCGCTTATATACTATTTATAGAGTCTATCTTATCTACGTAAATATGCGTATTGTGTGTATATTGGTTTGTTAGGCATGTGCTGTATAGATAATACATATGTTTGTTAATCTAGGTAAATATATTTTGTGTTGATAAGTGTTGAATGCATTGTATTGTACAATGTTTACTTATTGCCGTTTTAGATAAAATAAAAATAAAATAAGGAGAAAGAGCCATTTGTTTCTAATTGTCGCATGTCGTGTTGGAGTTTTCTAGATTTACATGTGCACATTCATTATCTTTATTTTATTTGTTGTTGTTGTTGTTGCTGTTGCTTCTAACTTCGTACGCCAGCCTATTCTATCTACTTTACCTATTACAATATCAACAACAATCATTTTTCAAATAACTAAGCGCCCAGCCAGTCAATCTGACTTTCAAGTGGCTACGATCAAATTGATCGACGTCAATATCCAGGATTAAATCGTCTTTTTAGAATATTTTTAATAAAAACTAAAAGTCCCATAATTATTTTAAAGTATATTTCGTACTTTTATATATTTATACGGTTATTAATAAATTACATTTGAAGGAAATATTAACGCGGGCACATAGCGTGTCTGCCACCATCGATCGGCAGAGTTGCTCCCGTTATAAAGCTTGAATTGTCACTTGCAAGGAAAATAATGGCATCGGCCACTTCCTTGGGTTGGCCGACGCGACCCAGTGCATGTGTAGTCTTCGAATGCTCCAAAAATTTAGCATCTTGCTCTTCCGTAAAGCCAAGACGCTTATGGAATTCTGTGACAATCACACCAGGATTTACGGCATTCACACGTACATTTTTCGGCGCCAAATCCAAAGCGATACATCTGGTGAATTGATCCAGTGCTGCTTTGGAAGTGCAGTAGACCGAAACTCCAGGGAATGAACGCGTTCCTGCGACACTGGAGACATTCACAATATTACCTTGGGTCTTAATGAGATGTGGTGCAGCGTATTTAGTCAGCAGGAAGACCGCACGCAAATTTGTATTTAAAACGCGATCAAATTGATCGACGTCAATATCTAAGATTGAACCCCTTTCACCAAAACCGGCATTATTCACCAAGACATCCAACTGTCCGAACTTGTCAATTGTTGATTTGATAATCTTCTCAGCGCCTGTCGTTACGTCAGCGGTAATTAATAATAGTTCCACTTTGCTGTTCGCTGCTTTACAGGCTTTCTCAGTAGCTTTCAGATTTGCTTCATTTCGTCCTGTGATCACTACTTTGGAACCCAGCTTGGCAAAGGCCTCAGCTGTAGCGGCACCGATACCGGAACTTGCTCCAGTTACAATAACAACTTTACCGGCTAAACTCATTTTGAACTATTCGAACTTACGGCGTTAAATCAACTGAACTGCTGTGTCTAACTCGGTTATTTATATACCACAAATACAGACATTTGGTTTGCTATTTCACCACTAATAATTCAATAATTTTTGGGTCAGTGATAAGATAAATATTGAGCGGGTGCGTAAAAGTGTCAGCTGCTTTCGAAGTTTATATTCATATCTTGCCCAGCCCTGATATGGGAAATCCCCATGTATTATATTATTATAATAAATTGTTAAATTAACTAGTAAGGAAGGTCTAAATCGGGTATAACCCAACATTGTATACTCTTGCGTTTTGGAAGAATTAAAGCTGGAGAAATACCTTCAGGTGTTGACAACACTTTATACCAAACAAGTTAAACAAGGAAGGGCTGAGTTCGGGTGTAATCGAATATTTTATACGTTCATAACTTAAAAAGAACAAAACATTTTAGTAAAAAATGTTGCGAAGGAATTCCATATTAATTATTTGACGAAAGGGTGAAAGTAGCAAATTTGGTTTCTGATTAACTTATATTATTGGTCATAGACTCAGTTAGTTTCATTACTACGTATACGTTATAAACTCTATAATACGTATACTGCGTTATAAACTCTACCAAAGGCGTTGTATTTAATAAATTGGGCATCTGAGGAAAAAGTCAACCAAATAATCGGAAGTCATTATGTTAGCGATAAGAGGTCTAGAGCAATTCGATTTATATTCAACGCTAAACCTTATTATTTTTAGAAATAATTAATTTTAATAAAGTTTTACATAATACAATATAGTACAAGTATATACCATATATAAAGGCAACAGGAAGTTCGAAAATAGTTCTATTCGATATCTCGGGCTTGGGGAAGCATTGAACCGAATAAATCCAGTTTTGGCATTCCGAGGTATTATTTCCAGGAAAAATGCTCTCTGTCTTTCATTGAGGTACCTCATAGGTAGAACTATATTTTTGGTAAAAAGTCAGCTGTAGACATTGAGGTTAAATACACATTGCATGCATAGTATTCGTTTGATAGCTTTAATTTCTTCTTTTATATAATATAAGTTATTGCCATTTTAGATTAAAAAAAATAAAGAGTAAGAGCCATCTACTTTACCTATTACAACATCAACAACAATAATTTTTTAAATAGCTGAGTGCGCCAGCCCAACTTGAACTTTTATGTACTTACGGTCTATAGGAGGTATAGACCATCTACCATATATCAGCACTTTTAAGTTACAAGACTAAGGCGCTTTGACAATTACTCTAAACATTTAATTTTGAATTTTTTTTTTAAATATTTCTGTTAGCAAACCCCCAGAGCCATAGTGGTCCATATCGGCTTTCGCACTTTTTTCAGGAAGCTCTTTTAATATTCGGAAAATTTTCCGCTTTCCGGAGTTACGTATCTCTGGCCAACGTGTCGGTTTTCATTCTAATGGGACAACCAACCGATAATGAAACAATAATTTAGGGATTAAATTCACTTTTGAATTTCAAGAATGTTTTCAAAGTTTTTTTTTCATATAGGTAAATACATTCATTCATACATTCGAATGTACATACATATATTTGTGAAGGTTTTGGAGATGTCAGCGTATTTTTAAGAATTTTTAATTTAGCATAATTATAGAGTCCCTAACGCGTTTTTCTGGAAAAGCTGTATTTATGGTCGGTGAGTAAAATTTCTCCGACTCAGCTAAACCGATCGACTTGAAATTTTTACACGATCTTTTTAGTGTATGAATCAAATAATTATTGTATTAATGGAATCAGCTTTTTGATAATAATTTCGAGCTTTTAAGCCACTGTAAAGTTTAAATTTTTTTCACAAGGAACGACATTGATTTTGCAAGTCGGCTCTTTGTCAAAAATTATAATTTTGACCGGTCTTTCGGTCACTATCAGAATTCATCGATTAAATTTGTTTCACCTTTTGTATTTGAGATAATTATAAGCAGAAAACTCTTCATAACCAGACACCTTTTTTTCTGAGCTCTTCCTGGAAATCGGCTACGGTATCAAGTTAATCCATAGTTTTTCGAAATGAATTGCCGATTATCAAAGTATATTAAATTCTACAATAGTATTTTTTAAATAAAATGCATTTTCAACAAAAAATTGCAACACAAAAACACTCCTTCCGACTTTCAAGCGATCAAATTGATCGAAGTCAATATCCAAGATTAAATCGTCGTTTTAGAATTTTTTTTAGTATGCATTTAATTAAATTAGTTTCTGCAAAAACAAAAAGTCACATAATTTTTTTAAAGCATATTTCGTACTTTTATATATTTATACGTTTATTAATGAATAACATTTGTAAGAAATATTAACGCGGGCACATAGCGTGTCTGCCACCATCAATCGGCAGAGTTGCTCCCGTTATAAAGCTCGAACTGTCACTTGCAAGGAAAATAATGCCATCGGCCACTTCCTTGGGTTCGCCAACGCGACCCAATGCATGTGTAGTCTTCGAATGTTCCAAAAATTTAGCATCTTCCTCTTCCGAAAAGCCAATACGCTTATGGAAATCTGTCAAAATCGTACCAGGACTTACGACATTCACACGCACATTTTTCGGCGCCAAATCCAAAGCGATACATCTGGTGAATTGTTCAATTGCTGCTTTAGACGTGCAATAGGCCACAGCACCAGCGAATGAACGCGTTCCTGCGATACTGGAGACATTCACAATATTACCTTGGGTCTTAATGAGATGTGGTGCAGCGTATTTAGTCAGCAGAAAGACCGAACGTAAATTTGTATTTAAAACGCGATCAAATTGATCGACGTCAATATCCAGGATTGAACCCAGTTCACCGTAACCGGCATTATTCACCAACACATCTAACTTTCCGAACTTGTCAATTGTTCTTTTGATAATCTTCTCAGCGTCTGTCGTTACATCAGCGGTAATTAATAATAGTTCCACTTTGCAGTTGGCTGCTTTACAGGCTTTCTCAGTGGCTTTCAGATTTGCTTCATTTCGTCCTGTGAGCACTACTTTGGAACCCTGCTTGGCAAAGGCCTGAGCTGTGACGGCACCAATACCAGAACTTGCTCCGGTTACAAGAACAACTTTACCAGCTAAACTCATTTTGATCTATTCGAACTTACGGCGTTAAATCAACTGAACTGCTGTGTTTAATTCGACTATTTATATACCACAAATACACACAATTTGGTTTGCTATTTCACCACTAATAACAGTGGCGGATGCAGTATTTCTTTTCAAGGGGCTTTTGCAGAAAACAATTTATTTTTAACATATGTTTAATATTGATGTTATTTCGGAATTCGTCTCAATTTGAATACAAATTACGCTTTCTGTAAATCGATCTATTAACTACTTCGCAAATGCAACTTGTCTTATTTTTATTACTTATGAGCAACGTAAAAGTGAAAATAATAACATGTGCAGTGGATGAATCTTGTAAAATAAAAAAATTTAAACATTGTCATTGATACTTCCCCTGTAATACTTCTTTCTCGAATATTTTATTATTACCGAACTATCATTTTCAGATTCGACACCCAAAAACCCCCATGGATCGGCCACTGACTAACAATTCAATAATTTTGGGGCAGTGATAAGATAAATATCAAGCGGGTTTATACAAATGCCATACATATCAATATTTTAATCAGCAGCAGTATTTGGACGCTTATATTCATATCTTTGCCAGGCCCGGGCACGTAAAATCAAGATCCGTTATACTTTTTTAACAAATTGTAAAATGAAACTTTGTCTCTAATAACATATGTATGTTGATAAACTACTCAAATGTTTAATTAAAATCAAGTAGCTACTCATTAAATGATTTACAATGTAGGCTTCTGGTTTATACTTTTTACTCGTTCGGAATGAGTTAGGTTGTTAGACAAAGATTAAAATATGTATATATGTATGTATAACTCTCATGTCATGAGAAGTTGAGGGTGTAAATTATAAAAGGTTATGTCGATAGACCAAAACCAACAATTTGTCTGAAGTATTTAGATGCATAATGTCAAAATCAGCCGTTTCGTTTTGTATTGTTTTGATTTTATGATTCAAAAATAAATTTTTCAAAGATTACAACCAATGAATATGCGTTTTTTGAGAGATAACTGAATATAAAATCATCAAATTGTGAACAGAAAATTTATAAGAAAAACAAAAAACTGTATTTTTGACATTATGGATACAAACAAACTTCTTTCGTAAGAGAAAGCACGCATCCGTATCAACACAACCTTATATAATTGAATCATGGCGTTTCTTAGCCCAAAAAACCAGCAGATATTACCAGAAGAGAGCACAAATTGAGAGCGTAAAAAGCTGAGAGAGCTGCTAGTTTCTGCTAATGAAATTTCTACTAGCAAATATATCTATTGTCATATGAAGAAACTGCCGTTAAAGCAAATAACATATGTATACAAGCGATATTTAACGTATTTGCTTTGATTTTGTTTATTTTCATTGTTTTGAATTGTGAATAAAAAATCTTATTGATCGATTTTTAAGTGTTGATATGAAGTGATATTAAAAAACAACATTTTGATATTTTCTTGCTAGTTTCTGCTGGTTTTCCGTTTCTTTGTGAGAATAACTGTGTATTTTCTTATCCCTGATAGCCAGCAGTTAAGATACACAGCTGTTATGAAAATGTTAATTTTCTAGCGCTCTAGTGCCCGAACTTTGAAATCCTTATGTTAGGTCCATATGGAAATGTGTGGATTGGTAATATCAGGACACATTTCATAACGATATCTTACCAATGGGATGTAACCAATGTTCACCGCTTATATTAATTAGGAAACTGTGCCACAAAATGCTCTCTCTGGTGTAACCAAATAACTCTTATGTGAGTTTACTTATTATCACATTTCAGTTAGATAAAGGCAAAGAGAAAACCCCTGTCTATTTGCTCAAATATTAAAGTCGCCAGGACTAATCGAACAGGTGGAAACTTTAAACATAATTGAGAAGAATTCAAAAACAAATGCAACATGCTCACATTTGTTATTATCTTTAAGGAGAAACTTTCAATATAAGTATATACATATATAATTGGCAAAAAAGTAAGGACTGGTTCGTAGATGGGCGTAATCGGACCACTGCCACGCCTACAAAACGTCATTAAACGAATACAAACAACTCTTGTATAGATAATGAAAAAACAAATAAGTGGTTAGGTATATTCACTTGTGAATTTCAAAAAAGTTTTTTTTTTGCATATATGTATGTCGAATATATTTAGACAACTTAGTGCAATCAGCTCCCAAAATTTTAAACTCGTTTTTCTCGAAACACCGTTTTCAGAGTCGGTGAGAAAATTTTAGATATATGTATCAGATAATGATTAAAGGAATAAGACTTTTGATAATAATTTCGGCTAGCCTTCCGATTAGCTCATCCCACCTATTTACTTGAAAATTTACACAGAGCTTCCTTAGATCATTAGAATAAAATTTTTGGCGCAAATTAAAAAAAAAAAAAAATTTGAAGAAAGGAGTTTGACGCGATTGAATTATGAACACTCGGAATAGTTTTCGAATTGTTGTTAAATATAAAAAAAAAAAAACTAATTTTGTGCGATTTTTGTTTTTGAAAAAAAAAAAATTTCCGCTAAAAAGCAACCATTGGAAATTGTTTATAACCATATATAGAAGCTCTGTATAAATTTTCAAAAAAATCGGTGGGGTGAGCTAATCGGAAGTAAAGCCATAATTTCGATTTACTAAGCCACTCTGAATTGTACATTTTTTCATTAAAATAATATTTTTATTTTGGAAGTCGCCTTTTTGTCAAAAAATATAATTTTGACTAGTCCTGCCATACCAACTGATCGATCAAACTCAGTGTCCTCAGATACTGCGGACAATTTAACTGCTGGACTAGCTGTGTAAACTTGATAATGAGTCAAAAGGATAGAGACGAAATTTATGTTACTTATTCTCTGCCTATTTTAAGAACTCTCGAAGAAGTGAAAAAAATTAGAAAAAATAACGTTAACCTTAGTGACATTTACTGAGCTATAGTTAAGAATGAGGAGGCTGACAGAAATATTGTTCAAAATAATAGAAAAAGATTCTTCACTGAAGACAATCTAAAATTCAGATCTAGGAATGATAACTAATAAAAGAGCAAACCATTTCTTTGGATCCCAGAAATACAAATTGGGGTCCCAAATGAAAAGTAAAGCATACACTGAAAAAGTTAAGATTTTATAATGGGAGTACTCACAATTGATTTGCGCTCTAACCAGAAATAATAACGCAGTGACTATAATGGTCCGATATCGGCGATACCGACAAATCAGCAGCTTCTTCTGGATAAAAGAATGTGTGCAAAATTTCAGATAGGTATCCCAAAAACTGAAGTACTAGTTCGTGTTTTACAGACGGACAGACGGACGGACATGGCTAAATCAACTTAGCTCATCACGACGACCATTTATATAAGTATATATTTTCTATGGTCTCCGACGTTTCCTACTAGGTGTTACAAACTTCGTGCAAAATTTATTATACCCTGTTCAGAGTAATAAAAAAGTAATAAAATAGTTTATTTACACTGGTGCGTACGTATGTTTGCAATGTATGACTACACATTTTCGGATTGTATTTAAGTATATACATCATAATATTTACAGTTTGTGAACTTCGCTACGCTCAATTTTCTATTCAAACCTGGAAGTTAGATGGCTCTCAGAGATAGAGAACAATGACAAAGCGTATGCGTGAGTTATTTCGCCGATATGTTTGAACTGATGGATACTTATATGTATTTATATAGAAATACTTGTTTATATAATATTTTGTATCAGATCGTGAGCGATCAGATTTTGTTTAAGTAATCTTAGTTTTAAGTCGGTCGAATCATTTAAATCGAAAAAATATCAATTTTAGATTTTTAGCTCTTCCAAAAATATCTGAAAACATATGTATGTAGTGTATGTGTAAAATATTAGCTTTGATTTCGAAGTGGTTCAAATGATATTTCAGGCAATCGACAAGCGCGTCGACTACGTGCTAGTCGCTTATCAAAACGGTAAGGTGCGTTTTCTGAAAACCATGTTTTTACAATTGACGTCACGATAATTAAGATTAAAAATATGCACAAATTTTACGTTAAAAATCGATTTCAAAGTTAAAACATTGGAAAAAATATTAATTTTCAGTTTCTTTTTTGGATTTTTTAGATTCACATAGAGTGAAAAAATATACAAATTAACAAAATATTTAAGTACTTATATACACTGTTACAGATAAGAACCACGCGACACGTTCCCCTGAAATATGGTTTCCTCCACTATTTTTTAAAATTTTTAAGTGGTTCAATCATTAAAAAAAAATTTAAATATGTAATATAATACCCTTTGATTGAATGATTTCAGGTGATTCTAAAAAGCGTCTTTTTTTGGGCTTTAAATGAACCGACACCCCTTAAACTAACCGGTGGCAGAAAATGAAGCCTATGCCAAGAGTATTCTCATACGTATTTACATACTTATATCTGTATCAAATACGTATGTCCCTTCTAATCATTCACTTGATTGGCACTTATGTTGCCAATAGATAAAAGGATTTATTTAAAAATGACCAACTATGTTATTCTATGTATTTCAGCAATAGTTTTTTACTATAAACTAATAAACTAATGATTTTTCATGAATTAACAAAAGTGTTTACGTGTTTGTTTACAAAACTACGTAATCTACGTACCCATATACACTCAAGGCCAAACATTATAGCTTGTTATTTCACCACAACTAATTTCATATTTTTTTGGGGGTTGATAAAATAAATAGAAACCAGGTGAATACAAGTGCCATACATATCAACATTTTAATCAATTGCACTTGAAATAGTTGTCCTTAAATAAATATTTATACGAAGTAAAAAAAACGAAGAGTTTTTGATGTAAACTGTACTTCAAGCGTTTAATTTAGTTTTTTTTTTTAATTTAGAAGTCTTCTGATGGAGAATTAGCTAACAACTTGGAAAGGTAAAGAGAGAGATATAGAGAATAACGTCTCTCAATATCGTGAGCGTATGTATATGTATGTACATAATATATATAATCATACACTCACAGCGCTGGATTTTTATACTCTCCCAACATGTTGCTATAGAGTATAATAGTTTTGTTCACGGAGTTGGCACCAGATTTTACGCATTTTCACACTGTCGATAGGGATGCTAAATATAATTGTCCTGAGTAAATTTTGGAATTATAGCTTTAGTGGTTTAGGAGATATGCACATTTAACATATTACAAGCCGGGACCAGGCCCACTTTTTCAAAATTTTTTTAAGTGCAGATCATCCTCCTTAATGTGATTCGTTATACCAAATAACAGTCTTGTTTTTTATTAGTATATTATTAGTATTAGTTTTCGATTAATGACGTTTTGTAGGCGTAGCAATGGTCCGACTACGTCCAGCTGCAATACCAACCATCTTACGGCGCCCAGAAACATGTGTACCAAGTTTCATAAATATATCTCAATATTTATTCAAGTTACAGCTTGCACAGACGGACGGGTGGACAGACAGACGGACAGACAGTCACCCGGAATTTCACTCGTCTTTTCATCCCGATCATTCGTATACGTATATCCTATATCTACTCGATTAGTTTTAGGTGAAACAAGCAACCGTTTGGTGAACAAAACTATTATACTCTGCAGCAACATGTAGCAAGAGTATAAAAAGTAACGGTTTTGAAAGTTATTATTATTATTCAGCAATCATACCCCTTATTTTTTTACCATTATCGCTAATCATTTTTAGGAGTATACTTAAATATGAGTACTGCTATGATAAATGACATGATTGCTAATGGGTTTGCTCTATATTTTGACAGTGAAAATATTTATACCACACACATACATATGTATATGATTATAATTACTTACAATCGAAGTGTCTTTATCGCTGCATATATATACATACATATGTATATGTATAATACAAATAAAAGCTCCTTAATTATATGTGATGAGTGTTCTATTTGTAAATAACCTCGAAACATACCTGCGTAAAATATATGTACCCTATATAATAATTGCTACCTGGTCTTGCTCTCTTAACATATTTAGATTTAGCTTATCTACATATTCTACAATTATGCCACTATACCTATGTATAGTATATACAGTACCGGTATAATCTACTATACACATACATATATAGCGCATTTATTACGTTATACCTATACCTACAAATAAACTTTTTGTCTAGTCATTTTTTTATACCAGATACCCTTAAATCATCATTAGTCTTTGCGTGATTTCGAGAGTTATTTTTTTATTGCACACAGGCAAACTGAGCGGAGAGAGCCCATTAGCGTAATAAGAGTAATAATTGAGCACAACTTAGCTTGTGTTCTCATATTACTATTTCGGTACTCTTTACAACTTTGTTTTTCAATTAACCCAGCAATCAATTATAATATCATATGTCGTTGGAGAAACCTGGGCGGAACTTTATAGAATTTCATAAACGTATCAGATTAATGAGAGTTGGTCTGCAAGGCCAATAACTAAAACGCAGGTAAAATACTGAGAGCTTGAGCTCCAATATTTTTTTTTTAACAAAAAACAAAATCCTATTTTTGTCTTAGAGTTCTAACCTTGACTAGAATGCTGACAAAGTGTCATGACATATAATCTAATAATTCTCAAGTAATTGTTGTCAAAGCAACTCTACCTCTGCTACCGACGGTGAAAATCGTCGAAAGCGCCTGAAAACACAACAGTTGGCCACAAAGGGGTTTTAGCAAGTATTTTTTAGGACTCCTTGGTAGTTATTTTCATTAACTGCCTCAAACGTGTTAAAACTATTAATTTTTGGCGTCGGACAAAGGTAACCCAATTGTTAGGGCAAGGACTTTCCAATCTAAGTAGAACCATAATAACTATGCGGAAATTTCACAACAAAACGTAATTGATGAGAATTTTATAGAAATATGTACAGTCATAGCACTCTTCAATTTGTAGATTTCCTAGATTCTTCAATGCTGATGATACTTTGTTTTTCAATTCTATATTTATAAATAAGTGGCCACTTGAAATTTGTATATTTTACTCACGTACGGACAGATTTGTTCGCCATTTGGGGTTATCTTATCTTATAGTGTTTGTTATGCAATAACAGCGTAGAACTCACGTAACACACATACATACATACCTAAACATTAATCATATTTTGTTTTCGTAAATCAAGAGGTGTGGAAAGAAGAAGCTAGGCCCTGACCAAATATGAAATTATTGTATTTTTTATACTCTCGCAACCTGTTGCTACAGAGTATAATCGTTTTGTTCACCTAACGGTTGTTTGTATCACCTAAAACTAATCGAGTTAGATATAGGGTTATATATATATAAATGATCAGGATGAAGAGACGAGTTGAAATCCGGGTGACTGTCTGTCCGTCCGTCCGTCCGTGCAAGCTCTAACTTGAGTAAAAATTGAGATATCTTTATGAAACTTGGTAGACATGTTTCTTGGTACCGTGAGACGGTTGGTATTGGAGATGGGCGTAATCGGACCACTGCCACGACCACAAAACGCCATTAATCAAAAACAAATAACTTGCCATAACTAAGCTCCGCAATAAGTTACAAGACTGTTATTTGGTACACAGGATCACATTAAGGAGGGGCATCTGCAGTTAAAACTTTTTTTTAAAAAGTGAGCGTGGTCCCGCCTCTAATAGGTTTAATGTGCATATCTCCTAAACCGCTAATGCTATAATAACCAAATTCACTAGAAGCAAATGTTTTTAGCACTTCTATTGACGGTGTGAAAATAGTTGAAATCGGGTGGCAACACCGCCTACTCCCCATATAACGGTACTGTTAAAAACTACTAAAACCGCGAGAGACATTAAATTTTATCTCTGAGATGGTATAAGATGACTTTATAGGAACCGCGTTCAAAATTAGACAGTGGGCGTGGCACAGCCCACTTTTAGGTGAAAACCCATATCTTGAGATCTGCTCAACCGATTTCAACCAAATTCGGTGCATAACGTTCTTTTTATGTTTCTATGTCATAGTGCGAAAATGGGTGAAATCGGACTACAACCACGCTTACTTCCCATGTAACAACATTTTCAATTCCATCTGATTCTTTCACTTTCCACTATGCAAATCAGGTAACAATGATTATATCGGGGTAAAACTTTGCGTGAATAATGCAATTAAAGTATGCCACCTTGCGGCCAAAAATTCTCTAAATCGAACCAAAACTATTCAAACCCCTAAGTACTAAATATGTGGACCCCAGTGCCCATAGTTGACCTTCTACCGAAAATATCAGTCAATCCACAAAGAAATCTCAAACGAGTATACCATTTGACTTTGCGAGAGTATAAAATATTCGGTTACATCCGAACCTAGTCCTTCCTTACTTGTTAGTTTATTATTCAATTCCTAAAGAGTACCGGTTTAGGTTAGGTATTTACTACATGATTAGATTGGTTTGGATGTCTGGTCATAGCGGTGTTGCAGGAAAGTGTAAGGCTGATGAGCATGTTAGATCAGGTATTTCAGTCTCACTAGCTGCAGAAAGAGAAAGGATAGAAGCTCCGTTGACTTCTTGCGGATCACTACAGTCGCAAGGTCCTTCTGGCCCTAGGTAAATCGTAAGTGGTCTACTGATGTGTGATAGACGCTATCAAGGGGCTTTTTCGATAGCTAACATCCAACTACACGACGGTTTATCAATGTCGAATTGCATAGCAACAAAGGGGGTCTATCAAGTTAAATTTAATAATACTATATGTATCGAACTCCTTTTGCCTCCTATTTTCGCAAAACATGTAGATCATTTAATTTAACTTTTACGTTTTTTATCGGCACGTGCTTCTCCAATCACTGATTTATGTCGGTATTTCGAACTACCTCATAGACCTTTTAAAAAGCTGGTGAGTTAGTGATATTACTGTATATTTTTTACATCTTTTAGATGCTTAACAAGTTACTATCTTTTCTCACTCGATAAATACAATTAAGAATGACACATTAGGTCTGTATCTTAACTGCTTACTATCGCTAGCTATCAAAGTTTCTGTTGGAAACACGTTTCTTAACCCAAAAAACTAGCAGAAAAGAGCATAAGTTGAGAGAGCTGCTAGTTTCTGCTAGTGAAATTTCTACTAGCAAATATATCTATCGTCATACAAAGAAACTGCCGTTAAAGAAATAACATATTTATACAAGCGATATTTAACGTATTTGCTTTGATTTTGTTTATTTTCATTGTTTTGAATTGTGAAAATAAAAATTCTATTGATTGATTTTCAAGGGTTGATATGAAGTGATTGTAAAATAAAACTTTTTGGTATATTCTTTCTGGTTTTCCGTTTCTTTACTTATCGTTATTTCGATCTTTGTGAGAGTAATGCTTTAGACAGTCAACGACGCCAAACCGTAGACCGAATCAGCTAACACGACCTATCTTATGAGAGTGCAATGTAAATGAATACTCACCACCGCTTCTACCGTTCGCTTCTACAGCAAGGATGACATGATACGAAACTCTTTGATTTGAGAGAGCGCTGTCAAAGTCCACATTTTTTATAATATTTGACAGTGGTGCCACTAAGAAAAGAAATAAGTTTTGAGATTTTTTAATGTATTTCTCGGGTATTTTTCGGTTTTCATATAACAGAAAAATATACATAATTAATATTAGTTTTAACAAACTAGATGCAGTCTAAATATATGTAATGCTTATTTTATCTCAAATTCACAGTCGAATACATTTATTTATAAATAGGTAGACTATTCTTAATAATTGGATTATAGTTTTCAGCTTTTACACTATGAAAAATTATAACTAGAAAACTAAATGTGTGAAAAATCTTGTATACAAATTGAACAATGGCAACATTGGTGAAATGAAAACAAAAAAGAACAACTGATTTCTACGTCGCCACTACGGGCATAACTTTTGACAAATTTGGCTAAATACGTGCGGTAAGTATGGAAGTGCGGAATGTCGGTGACTGTTTCCAGCATTACTGTCAATTTTCTTATCCCTGATAGCTAGCAGCTACTAGCAGTTAAAATACAGACCTATTGCATGATTGTCACCATCGATGTGCAGAGTTGGGTCTTTATCAGATGTGGTGCGGCGTATTCAGTTAGAAGGAAGACCGCTTGTACATTTGTATTGAAAATGCAGTCAAATCTAATATGTTGCCAACGTCAAAAGTATCCGCGTTATTGAGAAATACATCCAATTGTCTGAGTATTTCAATTATTGAGTTTATAATACGGTCCACATCCACTGTGACATGGGCGGTAATCAGTAAAAATTTGGATTTGGCGGATTTACAGTAGCTTTTCAAAATGCTTCCTTTCGTCCTACAAGCACTAATTTGGAACCGTGTTTGGCGAAGGCTTCAGCTGCTGAGGCACCGATGCCTGAACTAGCACACGTCACAATTACAACTTCGCCGACTAAACTCACGACGATCTATTCGAACTCACGGCACTATTTTAATTAAATTACGTGGGTAATGCTAATATTTATGCCATTTCGCCACCAGAAATATTAGAATCTCTCTCCACTAATAACTCAATATCATATTGGATTATTATGCATATGATTAGATAGTGTTGAGAGGGCAAACCCTTGAGTATTTAATATTTAATAACGCACCTACATAATTCTAGCATGCTGTTGAGTAAAATTGCAATATTTCTATAAAAAAAAAGAAATAAATTTGTTTACACTAATGCGATTGCTAAATATGTTTAAATGTTTTTGCATACATCTAGCTTTTAAGTTATAATTTTCGTAATGTAAACGATCAAAACTAAAATCCAATAATTTAAAATAGTCTACCTATTTATAAATAATTGTATTCGACACTAATTTTGAGTTAGTTTAAAAATATTTCAAAGATATTCAAGTTTATTTTTTAATTACTACCAAATATTTAGACTGGCAATCAAACGTTGCAAGAGAGCAATCATCTCTTTCGTTTCTACGGGAAAATTTTCGCGGATATCCTACCGTACGGTCAATAGAAGCGGACGGTAGAAGCGTTGGTTAGTGTTCATTTACATTGCACTCTCATAAGATAGGTCGTATTAGCTGATTCGGTCTACGGTTTTGCGTCGTTGACTGTTTCAAGCATTTCACTAGCGAATACATATATTACAAGTAACTAGTGATTTCACCACACTAAAGTAATCCAGCGAAACAGTAGTTTATAAGAGAAAATGAGAGAAAAGAGAACATGTTCTACAGTACGCTATTTTTTCAATATGTATTCTCAGTAAAATTCTAGCGAAAAATATAGCTTGAATGAAAATTTGAGAAAATTTAGACGTTACAGTAATACTGCGTTTACATGAGGACTCTTTTGTCGCTCATTATCGGCAAATTCTTTTTGTTTGTTGGGATAGTGGTCTCACAATTTGCTTACAAGGAATTACCATACCATGAATGTGATAGAACAATTTTTAGAATACTCGCTACTATATTTTCAAGGCCAAATTTGTAACAGGAATTTCCTAATATTGGGATCCTTGAAGTAATTACAACTCTTGGTTTAAATTTAAAACCGAGCGCTATTGCAACAATGAAAGGAATTTTAAAATGAAAAGGAATGCTGAATTGCGTAGCAGAGAATAGTTACGAACAAAAACACGAAGCGTGCCACCCGAGCACGAGTGGCGCGGTCCCTTCGTGTTTCCTCGTCGTGCCCTCACCACCTTCTGCTATCAGAGATGCCCAACTCATCTCTCACTGGAAATGGGAGAGCGATTGCCAAAAGTCAAAACCTACTGAACTCAGCCAACTGTCAAACTTTTGAGTCGCATCCAAAAGTGAGAGAATTTTATTTTTAAAAATTCAGTTTTCTCCAAATTTTTAAGAATCCAAAATAACTCCATTTTCGAAAACCAAAAAAAAAAAAAGTTGTAAAGTTTTCATAAATTGACATTTTAATACTCTGCAAGGAAAATAGTGCTTCGTATGTACACCTTCGCCCTCTATCATGGTTTGCAGTCTATTATTTATAGAATGCACTAAATTTTGTGTAAGTTCAGGAAGTATATTTGGCCATATTTCCTGAAGAGCAGCCTTAATCTCATTTTTGGTAGTAACTGTGTGCTCTCGTTGTTTTGTCTGCCACCCACAGGTATTCAATGGGATTGAAGTTTGAACTCTGAGCAGGGCGTGACTTTTGTCACGTTGTACATGCAACATGCTGCTACAGAGTATAATTAAGTATATATATATTATAACTCGAATACAAAATTTAAAGCAGCTTGTAATTTACAGCGATGATATTGAACCATTGTATAAATCTACTACTAGTTTGTGGGATTCCCCCTTTTATACTAATAACAGCCCATTTAAATCAGCTGTACTAAGACTTTTGTGGAACGTAAGTGGAGAGTTGCCAACAAAAACGTAAACTTATTTTTGATCACGGTTTCCGAAATGTTAAATATTATAAAAATTAAAAATTACTATTATTAGTCACAATACCATTTTTGTTAAGTAGTATGGGGCGTTTTGATGAAAAGCATCTGCAAAGTAGTAATACTCGTAATTCGTAAATCATAATTCGCTGTACCTTCAGTTTTGTAGAAGGCTGTACGTGTAAATAATATTGCTACATGCTAAACATGTTGGAATCATGAACACTTTACATACTTACATACATATGTCCATACTTGTCTACATTTGTTTACTTATTTTAGGTGGTTATAAATAAGTGGCATCACCACATTGCAGAGGAAACATCACTAACTGCAAGATTTCCATTGTCAAGTGTGGATGAAGTAGAAAAATTAAATGCGAAATAAATAACGCGAAATAACAATTGCGAATGTTATGTAATTTATTGACAAATTTGAGCTGTTTCTTGATTTTTTCTTAATAATTATTTTTTTTTTGAGGTAAAGACTATGAAATTACTTTTTAAATGTACTGACGTTCGCTGCTGTCTAAGAATACAACGTTGAAGATATTCATGGAAAAAAATCTTCAAGAAGTTTCGAACACCACTCTAATAGCTAAGTAAATACTGTTTAAAACTTTTTTTCAAGGCATTATAACTGTATTACATTATGTTTGTAATAGCATTTAATAATGCATACATACATACAAGTACTTGTATATTCATTTGTGTACCAAAATTAATTTTATTAAATAATTATTTTATTATCCAACTTGCCAGAATCAATAACAGCTAGCGATGACTCAAAGCCGGCCGGGAAACAGTTGCGCAAAGCAATCCAACAATTAAATAAAACAAAAAAAGTGTAAACAAAATTAAAAATAGAAATAAAAGCGATTATGATATGAATGTTGGCATAACATATAAAAATTGTGTTTCGTATGTATTATTAAGCGATGAATTGTATTCAATGTGTAAGTAGTGAAATATAGCAAGTGGTAGATAGTGAAGTAGGTGGTGAAATATGGAATATGGTAGGTGGTGGGGTAGGAAATATGTATATGATAGAAAGTGGTAAGTGGTGAAGTAGCTAGTGAATAGTGTTAACCGAATACCGCCAATGACAGCGCCAAGTAAAATTCACGCGTAAACTTCATAGCCGGTAATCTGTTGGGTAACCAGTGGTGGTTACCAATAGCCAGTGAATTCACTAGTGTTTAACTGATGTGCTGAAGTGGCGGGTTTAGGTATTACTTATTATCGCATTGTAACTACAACACAATATTCACAATCGCTACGCTCAGTTTTTTATTTCAAACTAGAAGTTAAATGACACTCAGAGATAGAGAGAAACAAGGCAAAGCGTATGCGTTGATAAATTCGCCGAATGGTTTGACTAGATGCATATATTTATTTATAAATGCATGCTTATATTTTGTATTAGAACCAAAGCAAGATAGAAAAAGGTTTCCAGTGCTAACAGTACTCACAATATAATTGGCTTTGATCATTTTTTTTAACATGAATGTAACTACATAATTTTCCGCAAAAATTCAATAGATCACACAATTATTTTTAACCAATTTTTTTAAATTTATATTTACATATATGTTTAAAAGTACTAAATTACATTTAAAGGAAATATTAACGCGGGCACATGGCGTGTTTGCCACCATCGATCGGCAGAGTTGCGCCCGTTATAAAACTCGAACTGTCACTAGCTAGGAAAATAATGGCATCGGCCACTTCCTTGGGTTGGCCGACGCGACCCAATGCATGTGTAGTCTTTGAATGCTCCACATGTTTAGCATAGTCTTCCGCCGTCATGCCAATACCCTTATAGAAATTTGTCACAATCAAACCAGGATTTACGGAATTCACACGTACATTTTTCGGCGCCAAATCCAAGGCGATACATCTTGTGAATTGATCCAGTGCTGCTTTGGAGGTGCAATAGACCGAAAGACCAGGGAATGAACGCAATCCTGCGACACTGGAGACATTCACAATATTTCCTTGGGTCTTTATGAGATGTGGTGCGGCGTATTTAGTCAGCAGGAAGACTGCACGCAAATTTGTATTTAAAACGCGATCAAATTGATCGACGTCAATATTCAGGATCGAACCCGCTTCACCAAAACCGGCATTATTCACCAACACATCCAACTGTCCGAATTTGTCAATTGTTGTTTTGATAATCTTCTCAGCGTCTGTCGTTACATCAGCGGGGATAACTAGCAGTTCCACATTGTTGTTCGCTGCTTTGCAGGCTTTCTCAGTAGCTTTCAGATTTTCTTCATTTCGTCCTGTGAGCACTACTTTGGAACCCTGCTTGGCAAAGGCCTCAGCTGTGGCGGCACCGATGCCGGAACTTGATCCGGTTACAATCACAACTTTACCAGCTAAACTCATTTTGATCTATTCGAACACACGGCGTTGAATCAACTGAAATGCTGTGTCTAATTCAGTTATTTATATACAGGCAGTTTGGCTTGCTATTTCACCACTAACAACAGTGGCGGATGCAGAATTTTTTTCCGGGGGGATTTGCAGGTAAAAATTTATTTCCAACATATTTTGAATACTTATGTTTTTTTCGAAATTCGTCTGAATTTCAATTAAAATTACGGTTTTTGTAAATCGATCTATTAATTACTTTACAAATGCAACTTTTCCTATAAATTTTCTCAAGCAGCTGACCGTAAACTAAGTTCAGAAATTCTTGTTATTTTTGACCCCCAAAAACCCCCATGGATCGGCCACTGACTAATTATTCAGTATTTTTTAGTGCAGTGATAAGATAAATATCGAGCGTTTTTATACAAATGGCACACATATCAACATTTTAGTCAGCTGCACTTTTTTTAAGTTTATATTCATATCTTGGCCAGGCCCTGGCACGGAAAATCTACATCCCTTATCTTATTTAAATAAATTGTTAAATGAAAAGAATATTTTAATTTTGTCTCTAATAACTAATGCTGACAAACTGCTAAATGTTAATTAATATCAACAATGAATGTTTTTCCACAAGTAGTTGCTCATTAAACAATTTGACAATTTAGGTTCTTGGTTTATACTTTTTTGTCGCTCTGAAAAAGTTAGAGCGTTAGACAGAGAGCAATTGCGTTCTCATTTCCAGTGAGAAATGAGTTGGGCATCGCTTTATCTCTGACAATGAGTTTGTTTGTTTTAAAATGTGTGAATTAAAACTTGATAGCATTGAAGATAGCGGTCATGAGAGATGGACTAGACACTGGGCTCACACTGGAATAAAATGGGTATCCCTTTATCCCTGGCGGTCATACGACTCTAATGTGGTATGTATCCACATTTGCTCTTGTATCAATTCAACTCGATAACTTTGTTGTTGCTTTTACATGTACATTTTTTTAAAAGAGAGCAGAGCGCAAAAGCGCAAAGAAATGACGATAGCTAAAATACTCACAGCAGCGAAATATTACTCTTTTACGTTCTCTCTCAAAGCCAGAAATATTTGTGACAATAGATGAGCGCTTATTATTTGTTTCCAAGTATTAGTGCTGTTAAGAAACAGTAAATAATCGGTGCAGTATTTGGGAGTGACTATTCATATCATGAGCAGACCCTTGTACGGAAAACTACGAACCATGATATGATTTTAATAAATTTTTAAATGAAATGAATATTTTATTTTTGTTCCTAAATAAAAACTCATGTCTATAATTATTATCTTTTAGCGCGACAGTTTTTCGTGAGCTTTGGCCTGCGGTTTATGTGACCTCCAGACATTTCGGTTATTTGCAGATTATTGCCAAATTTTATACCAAACTTCTTCATACCTTCCGCGTGTTTGTCAATCTATGTTGATCGCGGTCTTTCTCTAGCTTAGCGGTGAATGCTGTTGCCTCTTTAATTTTCTTCTACGCTCTCCTGTTGTCCATTCTCGTTACTACCATATAAGTACATACATAGCCAAGCTATCTTATTAATAGTCGCTGCGCTTTGAGAAAGCGTATAACATTTTCACCTTTTACAAGTTGGTTTAGCTCATGATTCCACCTTATACGCTACACGTCCTTATCTTTTACTGCTTCAAAGTTTTTTTCTTAGAATCTTTCTTTCGAAGATTTGCAGCGTCCATGATTCTGCCCCGTAGCATAATACTGGTCGAATGATGGTTTTGCCTCCGGTTTAAATTTATTGCGTTTAATCGAACTCACTGTATTAAATGAACTGAGTTGGTTAAGAAGTTGCATTATAGTTTTATATTTCACCATTCCCCTTAACTCAATATGAATAAGATAATGAGAGAGAATATACTAGGGAGAATATACTTGAGTCTTTTACGATAGTTTAAAATGCAGTTATGTACTTCTTTACTGAACTATGTTATTTGGAAGATACGTACATTATTTATTTTTTATATCAACCTTATCTTTATCACATATATGACATAAGAAACACACCTAAACTTTATTTGCGTTCCTCTTTATCAAATATACCATTAATGTGGACAAAGCGCATGTTTGCCTCCATCGACGGAAAGAGTTGCTCCCGTTATAAAGCTAGAACTCTCACTTGCTAAGAAAATGATAGCGTCGGCCACTTCCTTTGTTGTTCCTACACAACCGAGCGGATGAGTCTCCTTGCATTTTTCCAAATAATCTGCATATTCCTCTTCCGTCACACCGTTACGTATTTGAATGTCTGTTGCAATGACCCCAGGATTGACAGCATTTACACGCACATTTTTCGGCGCTAAATCCAAGGCGACACATCGAGTAAATTGATCAAGTGCCGCTTTGGAGGTGCAGTAGACCGAAACATCAGGGAATGAACGCAGACCTGCGACGCTGGACACATTCACAATATTTCCTTGGGCCTTCACGAGATGTGGGGCGGCATATTTAGTCAACAGGAAGACCGAACGCAAATTCGTATTTAATATTCTATCAAACTGTTCCACGTCAATATTCAATATGTTGCCTCCATAAAAAATCCCAGCATTATTGACTAATACATCCAATTGTCCGAATTTCTGAATTGTTGAGTTTATAATAAATTCCGCATTCGTCGTTACATCGGCAGTGATAATCAATTCTTCGGCCTCTTTATTGGCTAATTTACAGGCTGCTGCAGTAGAGCGTAACTTTGCTTCATTGCGTCCGACGAGAACGACTTTGGCACTCAGTTTGGCGAAAGCCTCCGCTGTTGTCGCACCAATTCCTGTACTAGCACCGGTCACAATTACAACTTTGCCAGCAAAACTCATTATGGTAAATTCAAGCCAAAAGCGAAAACTAAATTGAGATAATCGCTACACGGGTCAGGTTATAAATAAATCGCATTTTTATTATTAAGGGTACACATATTTAGCGATAAAAATCCCCTATAAACTTTATTTAAACGAAATCTACAGATTTTATACTCACGCAAAATGTTGCAACAGAGTAGAATTGTTTTGCTAAATTGCGTAAGCTTGTTGGGGACAAGTACTTTCAGCCTCTCCTAATATGGTGTGAAAAGTGATGAAATCGGGTGATAACCACGCCCACTCAACTCATAATGGTTATATTGATAATTATTAAAGGAGCCATAACTCGCTAAAATTCGTCAGAAGCATTAAATTTCACACTCGCAATGGCGCGGAAAGTGTGCATAGGATTCAGTGCAAAATTTTTTGTTGAAATTTCATAACCCAAAAATCAAACTACAATTACGCCCACTTTTAATATTATACAATTTCAATGAAGATGAAGGAACAAAAATAGTGCCTACAAGATATTCCTTTTCATGCCCAAAAATAGCCGAAATCGGACCATACATTTTAAATCCCCAGTTATCGAATATGTGGGCCCAAGTGCCTATAGCTGACTTTTAACAAAAAAATCGGTCAATATGTGAGGTATATTATTGAAATTCGTCGATAATGTGTCCGTGACTTGAGGAAAGTAAAAGTGTATGCAATCAGCCCAGAGCTTCCCGTAGCCCTCATATAGCAGATGTAGTGATTTTCGACTTTCCTTTTTCCAATTTGTTTCCTAAATATGATGCGTTAGCGTTGGTCTATATCTTGCTCTAAACCTCATATCCCTAATATAATGATACCCAATTAACTGATTGACTTATTCTTCCTATCCCAAATCCAATATATTAAATTTGCCACTTTGGTTGAGTTATTCCTACATATGTATATATCAAAATATAGTAATGAATGGAAAGGAGTCAAAGGCGGTTTCATCGAATAATGAATGTTGAATTTTAATGCAACATTTTTAATATAAAGCTTTGTCAACACCTGAAAGTATTTCTAGGGCTTTGATTTTTGAAAATTGCTTTTGGACCTTCCTTACTTTTTTAATAACTTTATTATATTATTACGATTAATGCTTAAGCATTTAATTGCATACACGTTTGGCTATTTAAGTACTTAATATTTAATTTAAACAAATAAAACAGGTAAATATGGGCTAGGTGTGGATTTAACCGAACATTTCATACTCTAGCGAATTGTAACTATCAAAAGTGCTGAAATATTTGCCGGTGTTTATAAAACAATATTATAATGAATATTAAACAAGAAAAAACGTTAAACTTCGATTACAACGAAGCTATAATACCCTGCAGAGACGGATGGACAGACAGACGCTGATCATTTAGATATGTATATACTTATTTTATAGGGTCTCCGACATTTCTTTCTGGGTGTTACTAACATGGTGGCAAACTTAATATACCCTGTTCAGGGCAAAAAAATATTGCAAAGGTGACAATGTGAGGTCTGATCATAGTGGCGATGAAATTAGGGGACAAAGAGAGAAAAATGTAGATTCACGCATATGAGTGAACTATAAGAAATATAGGGTTAAACTAAATGCTTCAAGTCAGTTCCTTATAGATTGCCAGAGTGATTGGAATGCATGTTGACCGACATACGAGTATACGGTATAAAGTCATGAGATGATTAGGTAAAGCATAAATGACAAGTATGGTAGGTAGTGATCGCACTCCGATTTCGCCGATTAACATTTTCGTAGCATAAGGAGATCAAGATAATCTTAAGCACCAAATTTGATTGCATTATTCGAGTAGTTCCTGATATCGATATATGAATTACGAATGAACGGTTCGATGGTCTGTAAAGCGAAACACTGAGCAGCTGCAAAAAATTATTTGATGAATGTACAACGACAAAGAAAAGACCACCCTTGGCCATATTATTAAAAGCAACATATTTAATAACCGAATACAGATTTTTAACGGAAAGATTAAAAGTTTAAAAAATCATTTCAAAAGAAATATATTCATTATATATCATATATAGTCTGAGTATAACAGTGAAATTACAGAGAGTGAGATCATATATATATATTATATATACCCGTATTAAGAGCAAAAGTGGATTTTCTCTTTCAATATAGGCCTTCTTTACGAGTAATCATTTGAGAACTGGACCACAAAATGGTTCTTATGGTATAACCAAATACCTATTATTTATTACGATATAAGTTTTTTTTATTGTGATTTTATATAAAAACCAGCAGAAAAAGTCGTTAATTTAAATTTGATTAAAAGTAATTGAAAAACAAATACAACATGTTTATATATTATTATTATCTCATAAATAACATTTAAATTGTTAATTAACGCGAACACATTAATTGTCTACCACCATCGATCGGCAGATTTGCACCCGTTATAAAGCTCGAACTATCACTAGCTAAGAAAATAATGGCATCAGCAACTTCCTTTGCATCGCCAACGCGACCCAGTGGATGTGTAGTCTTGCAATGCTCCAAAAATGTAGCATATTGCTCCTCTGACATGCCTAAACGCTTATGAATATCCGTAATAACTACGCCAGGATTGACAGCGTTTACACGCACATTCATCGGTGCCAAATCCAACGCGATACAACGGGTAAATTGATCCACGGCAGCTTTGGATGTACAATAGACTGAGCCATTTGCAAATGAGCGCAATCCTGTAACGCTGGAAATATTCACAATATTTCCTTGAGTCTTTACAAGATGTGGTGCGGCATGTTTTGTTAAAAGGAAGATCGCTCGCATATTGGTATTAAAAATTCGATCAAATTGATCGACGCCAACATCCAGAATTGAACCCTTGCCAGCCACACCGGCATTATTCACCAACACATTCAACTGACCAAATTTTTCAATTGTCGTGTTTATTATGCGCTCCGTATCAACTGTGACATCAGCAATTATGGAGAGAAGTTCGGCTTTGCTGTTGGCAGCTTTACAGGCTGCCTCAGTAGCTTTCAGATTGGCTTCATTTCGTCCCACGAGCACCATTTTGGAACCTTGCTCAGCAAAAGCCTCCGCCGTCGCAGCACCGATGCCCGAACTTGCGCCGGTTACAATTACAACCTTGCCGGCTAAACTCATGGCGATCTATTCGAATTCACTGCATTAAATGAACTGAGTTGCTTGACTTATAAATAAGAGTTTTATAGTTTCCTATTTCACCTTAATCAATAACTCAATAACAATTGGCTTACAAATATACGAATATAAATATTATTGGATAAGATATGAGAGAGAATATCTTGTCCCCTACAATTCACACTAACGTAACTAAAGTGATGTTAACTTTTCATAAGTTCACAGGAGAAGTAAGAAATGAGATAATATGAAGATTACTCATGCTGAATCAAATTTCGAACTTTGCTAATAAATTGGTAATACTTGATAGCAAAATCTGAACATTTGGTACATAAATGTATTTATGTATAATATAATGTTATGAATCATAATCACTAAAAAATTTAATTTTGCAATAGGAACGCATGGCAGGAACTTTTAGTATACATATACAGTATTGATGACAACTAAAGCAGTCTCCTAGTCCATCTTTTGAAATTTGCATTTTTTTGGCTGACGCAATAAATATTTTAGGCCCTCAGGTCGTTTGTAATGTCAGACGGAGGTTCATTAATAATAAGAGCTGAAGTTTGCGTTTTGCAGGAAGTCAACGCTTTTTACGAAGTTTAATAGAGACTGGATATATAATTCTGATATCTCATTCAGTCTCTTGAACTGTAAAGCTCCTAGATATCTAAGCAGAGTTTCAGATAAGGTCTGACATAAGCAGGGGAGATATTCCGGCGTCTCTTTCATGCCTACTTTCCTGCGCTTTCTACATGTGTCATCGTTAATAATACCCATACGGCTCGCATGTGATGCCTGTAAGTAGTGCCCTGTGACTAGGCCAACAAGCATCCGGCAGTATTTTCTAGACCGGGTGAGTAGAAAGCTTGCGTGTTTTCTTTCGTTTTTATCGACTTGCGTATTTGCTGAACTGGTCCGGTAGTCAAGCGGATACCAATTTTGACAATCTCATCAGCTATTTTGTTTCTCGAGATGCCTTTGTGGTCTGGAACCCAGTATATATGCAGCCGTTTTCCGGCAGCCACTATATCTACTTCATTCCTGCTTCTAAGGACATTCTCGGACGCAATGCGTTGTGAGATTATTGCATTAATTGCCGCTTGGCTATCGACGTTTCCTGCGTTGCTAGCTATCTTGCTAGTTTCCCTGACCCATAAGACTTCTGCTTGGAAGATACTGCAGTATTCATTCCGACAGCTTAAAGGGTGGCATTTTTGCTCGTGTGTAGTGTTACATCTAGACCGTTCTTCGAGATAGGAACATATATATTTTGGTTCAAGTAATCTGCAAAAAATTAGATCGATAGCTCACATTCAAATCACTAATTCAACTAATATTTAGTCGAATAGGATTTCTTCCGAATATCGGTGGCACATCTTCGCAACATAACGTCTGTGAAACTCATGCAACATTTCACCTTAAACGATTGTTGCTCTACATTTGAAATAAGTTTAAACTATTGCATAGCTTCTATCGCTGGGTTTGAGCATGGGGACTGAATCAAGAAATTCCGTAACGGAAATAAACTTAACACGATCACAAAGTATGCGCAAAATGTTTGCATACTTTTAGGCATATTTTCGCATATCTCAAGCGAAGAAATCAATTGAAGAGCAGGGTGATTCAAAAATATAATAATATTTAAGATAACATTTTTTTAATGACAAATAAAAATATGGAATTGAAACAAAAATTTAATTAACAAAAATAAATTATTCAATATTCGGAGTCATAATATTAGTAAAATTATTATTATTTTGGTAAATAGCTACCTCACCTTTTGGAAGAAACAGTACTTAATATATATTTTTAGTGGAAAATTTGAAGATTTAAGGGATCGTTTCAAATAAAATATATAAAATAATATAAAAAGTCTGAAGTTAGTAGTGAAATTACAGAGAGTGACATCTTATAACAATATGGTATTCGCCTTTTAAATCAGTACAGAAACCTTTGAAATTGGTAAAAAACGAATGAAATTCATAGTAGGTTGAAACCCATTGGAAATGAAAGATAATAGGTATAACAAAAATGAAAGGAAAAATAATTTGCGGGCGATCTGATATCGGAAAGAGAAAAGAGAGTGGCGTGGTTGAATATTAAGGGTTAAAAACGGTAAATCTCAATTTTCGGCTAAACCACCATAGTTATATGGCAAAGTTGTAGGTAATGCAAAGATCTAGAACCAAAGAGCTGCGAGTACGAAATAATAGATAGGTAGATGAAATAAAAAAAACAGCTTTGAAACATTTAGTGGCGTCTGTTTTTTTTTTGCATATTTTGAGAACTTTTTTTACTATAGTAATGTATATGGGTCATTCTATCCAAAATCTACATTAAAAAATATTTTTTGTCAAAACATTTTTTTTTGTTTTTTAGGCAAAATATTGGACATGTATTTTCATCGATACAATTCGAAAAATTTTAGAGATATGAATTTTCAAAAATTAAAAACTCGACAAAAGTACCTTTAAACACTTGCGTTTCTGAAGAGAAAGTATTTCAATAAAAAACGTATCAGGCCTAATGTTTATGATTTTTTCTAAGCTTTCCAATGGGTTTTTTTTTATTGGAAATTCATAAATTTTTTTTATTTTTTTTTGAGAAATGTAAATATTTTTCCGTTTTTTTTTTTAAATTTTATATTTCTATATCTACTATAATTTATTTTCTTTCAAAAATTATCTACCCTGGTCTATATGTAACTGTACCACAAAATGGTCTCTCTGGTATAAGGAGTAAAATAAACAAGTTTATTTTTTGTTTTCATATAATATATTTAAATTGGCAATCAACGCGGACACAGTAATTGTCTACCACCATCGACCGACAGATTTGCACCCGTTATAAAGCTCGAACTATCACTAGCTAAGAAAATAATGGCATCAGAAACTTCCTTTGCCTGGCCAACGCGACCCAGTGGATGTGTAGTCTTGCAATGCTCCAAAAATTTAGCATATTGCTCCTCTGACATGCCTAAACGCTTATGAATATCCGTAATAACTACGCCGGGATTGACAGCGTTTACACGCACATTCATCGGTGCCAAATCCAACGCGATACATCTGGTGAATTGATCCACGGCAGCTTTGGAAGTGCAATATACTGATTTATTTGGAAATGAGCGCAATCCTGCGACGCTCGAGACATTCACAATATTTTCTTGGGTCTTCGCGATATGTGGTGCAGCATGTTTAGTTAAAAGGAAGATCGCTCGCACATTGGTATTAAAAATTCGATCAAATTGATCAACATCAATATCTAAGATTGAACCGTTTGCATCCACACCGGCATTATTCACCAACACATTCAACTGACCAAATTTTTCAAGTGTCGTGTTTATTATGCGCTCCGCATCAGCTGTGACATCAGCAATTATGGAGAGAAGTTCGGCTGTGCTGTTGGCAGCTTTACAGGCTGCCTCAGTAGCTTTCAGATTTGCTTCATTACGTCCCACGAGCACCATTTTGGAACCTTGCTCAGCAAAAGCCTCCGCCGTCGCAGCACCGATGCCCGAACTTGCTCCGGTTACAATTACAACCTTGCCGGCTAAACTCATGGCGATCTATTCGAATTCACTGCATTAAATGAACTGAGTTGCTTGACTTATAAATAAGAGTTTTATAGTTTCCTATTTCACCTTAATCAATAACTCAATAACAATTGGCTTACAAATATACGAATATAAATATTATTGGATAAGATATGAGAGAGAATATTTTGTCACCTACAATTCACATTAACTAACGTAACTAAAGTGATGTTAACTTTTCATAAGTTCACAGGAGAAGTAAGAAATGAGATAATATGAAGATTACTCATATTGAAACAAATTTCGAACTTTGCTAATAAATTGGTAATACATGATAGCAAAATCTGAACATTTGGTACATAAATGTATGTATGTGTAATATGATGTTATGAATCATAAACAATAAAAAGTCAATTTCGCACGTTTGATGATAAGTCGTTTTGCATTTTAGCGGACGATATGAGCTCGAGTGGGTTACAGGTGGGGAAAAAACGTTAACTTCGGTTGCACCGAAGCTAGAAAACCCTTAACAAATAAACAGTTTCCATACAAAAAAATTGATTCTCATCGTGCAATTTGTATGTCAACCATATGTTATAGAGGTTCGATTTGAAAAATTTTCGCGGAGATTGTACTGCTGTCTAGGATAATAATCCGTGGCAAATTTTGTGAAGGTATCTCGTCAAAAAAAAATATTTCTATACAAAGACTATATTTTGATGTTATATGCTATAGTGGACCGATATCGACAAATGGGCAGCTTCTTGGGAATAAAAGGACGTGTGCGAAATTTCATATCGATAACTCAAAAACTGAGAGACTAGTTCGCGTATATACAGAAGATATAATTTCTTCATACAGGAAAGGTCGTCAGGATTAATCCAACAAGTGGAGAATTTAAGCTCGATTACAAATAATTCAAAAGGAAATACAACATGTACACATTTATTATTAATATTCATCACAATTAACATTTAATTTCCATTCAAAGTGGGCACATTGCGTGTTTACCACCATCGATTGGCAGAGTTGCTCCCGTTATAAAGCTCGAACTGTCACTTGCAAAGAAAAGAATGGCATCGGCCACTTCGTTTGCATCGCCGACGCGACCCAGCGCATGTGTGGACTTCGAATGCTCCAAAAATGTAACATATTCTGCTTCCGACCAGCCTGAACGTCTATGAATATCGGTAATAATTACGCCGGGATTTACTGCGTTGACACGCACATTCATCGGTGCCAAATCCAAGGCGTTACACCTGGTGAATTGATCCAGTGCTGCTTTGGAAGTGCAATAGACCAAGCCACCTGGAAATGAGCGCAATCCTGCGACGCTCGAGACATTCACGATATTACCTTGAGCTTTCACGAGATGTGGTGCGGCAAATTTCGTCAGAAGGAAGACCGCCCGCAAATTTGTATTTAAAATCCTATCAAAATGATCGACATCAATATCTAAGATTGAACCCCTTTCACCGACACCGGCGTTATTCACCAACACGTTCAACTGACCAAATTTTTCAATTGTCGTGTTTATTATGCGCTCCGCATCAACAGTGACATCAGCAATGAAGGAGAGAAGTTCGGCTTTGCTGTTGGCAGCTTTACAGGCTGCCTCAGTAGCTTTCAGATTTGTTTCATTTCGTCCTACGAGCACCACTTTTGAACCTTGCTTGGCAAAAGCCTCCGCCGTCGCAGCACCAATGCCCGAACTTGCTCCCGTCACAATTACAACTTTGCCGGCTAAACTCATGGCGATCTATTCGAGCTCACTGTATTAAAATAACTGAGTTGATTGACTTATAAGTAAGAGTCTTATAGTTTCCTATTTCACCATCACCAATAAGTCAATATCAATTGGCTTATAAACACATATATAAACATAAATGTTATTGGATAAGATTATGAGAGAGAATATCTTGTGACCTACAAATTCGAAATAACGTAACATCACTTTACATAAGTTGACAGGAGAAGCAAGAAGTGAGATAAAATACAGATTACTCAGATTGAAAAAAACATTATCTTTGGTTATATCTGCTAGCAGCAGCTTTTTGGGGATAAAAGGACGTGTGCGAAATTTATATCATTAAATATCTATATTTTATAGGGTGTCCAACGTTTCGAAGTACACCCGGTTCAGGGTATGAAATATCGGAATAACAGCAGTGCTAAAGAACACAAATGTTCCCTCGAATCATTGCTTGGAACAATGCAAGACTTGACTCCCAACGATAAACTTTTCGGTTTGCTACCTTTCAGAAGGTTAGCAACATCAACGCATGGCAGGATCTTTTAGTATATACAATATTGGGCAAAACTAAGGCACCCCCCTTGTGCACCTTTTGAAATTTCTATTTTTCTTAAAACAAAGAAATAATTAGTAAAAGTCAAAAATTCGGTGGTCAAAACTAAAGCATTTCCTATATTTTCCATCCTAAACAAATAAAAATTGAATTTAATCGGTTAACGAATGAAGTTTTGTCAGACGACCGATTAAAGCATGATTGTTCGCTTGACGAATGTTTTGTCAGTGGCCTAATTAAAGCATGATTGTTCGCTTGACGACCGTTTTGTCAGTCGCCCAATTAAAGCATGATTGTTCACCTGACGACCGTTTTGTCAGTCGACCGATTAAAGCATGATTGTTCGCTTGACGACCGCTTTGTCTGTCGACCGATTAAAGCTTGATTGTTCACTTGACGACCGCCAAAATAGCAATTTGTTTCGGCAAAAAATTTTAAGAGTTCAAAATTGATAAAAATCGAAAATTTTTTTTTTAAGGATGATGCAATGGATAGTAAAAAATATTGTGATAAGACTTGTGATAAGACTTAATTTTATACTTAATTACAAGTATTACTACAAACACGATTACCGTGGTGGTAACATACTGGTCTCAAATTTCTTTTCCGAGGCAAAAAATCGGGCCAATTCACAGAATAACCTAAATAACCGACGGATACATATACAATGATATAATATTTCATTGAACGAAATGCTACAATGAATTAAAACGATAGTGCCTTTTAGATGAAAGCACCAGCAGGATAATGATCATGAATATATCTCCAACCACAGAAAAAACTTGCCTCCACATATTGTTTTAAAGGCTCTAGCTCATTCCTCTGATCTCAACCTTGGCATTTCTTATCGAACACCAAATAGCGTAAAAGTGTATCTCCTGAATTTATAACGGTAAATTCTATTCCATATGAGTATTCTTGGTTCACATATGTTTGTTTATGTTTAACGATTCGAATTTTTAGTACAGTTAATTAACAACGGCATTGCGATTTGCATAGTTTATAGAAAACAATTGTATGTGCAAATTCATATATTTGTGTTCTATCAGCTATACAGACAACATATGTATATGTACATTTAGTTTTTAACTAAAGTGATAAAATTGGAAAAGAAGTAAGTTAACGGTATTAAATCTAGTGCGTATAAATATAATTAATTACTTTTAATTTTAATTATTTAGTAAGAATGCCACGTGGTACAGAACTTTCGGATGGAGAGCGGGGTAGGATAATTAGAATGCATGAAGTTGGCATAAAAATTGTTCGAATTGCTGCGTCAGTGAACCGACATCGTAATGAGGTCGCAAATTTTTTTGAAAGATCCTCAAAACTATGGTGTCATCAAGCGGACTGGTCGGTTACCAGCAGTCGATAAGCGCAGCAAGAGACGCATTCATCACTTAGCAACTAGCGAAGGGCATGGGTTGCAGGCAGATAAATATTGAATTAGGCCTACCAATCACTAGACAGCGTGTTCAGTAAATTTTAAAGCATGAAATGAGAGTTAACTTTGAATCAAAAGTAGCCCAGCCGCGAATGAAGAAGCGACATAAAGATGGCTGTGTTTTGTTTTGCGATAAATACCGGTTAAGGAAGAACGAGTTTAAAAACGTAATTTTTAGTGATGAGAAAAAATTTAATATGGATGGTCCAGATGGTCATCACAAATATTGGCGAGATACACAACATCCAAGAGAGACTTGCTTTAAGCGAAACCATGGTGGGGAATCTTTAATGGTATGGGCTGCCTTTAGCGCTAAAGGTAAATCTCATACATATGTGCTTTTTACCGACTAAAATGAATGCCGAAGTATACATTGATCTATTAGATAGTGAGCTCATTCCTTTTGCTGAGAACTTATATGAGGAAAATTGGATATTTCAGCAAGACAACGCTCCCATTCATGTGGATCGCGCTACAAAAGCATATTCTCAGTTCCGCAATATCCAATTATTGGACTGGCCAGCTTTAAGTCTTGTAAAGACATCTGGTTAAAACTTTAAAGGAATAGTACGTCCAAGTACTCTTAATCAAAAATGTGTCATATCGGACCATAAATTTCAAGCCGCCAGATACCGAATAAGAGGGCCTCAGTGCCTAAGTTTGATTTTATACCGAAAAATGTATCAAATTTTGATGTATATTAACGAAATTCTGAGAGAATATTTTCCTCTTCCTATTTTCGAAAATGGGTAAAATCGAGTCAATAGTTCCCATAGCCTCCACATACCCAATATAATCCGGCTGAGTTTATACAATATATTAATTAGCATCATCATCGTCATTCGGTAACAAAAATTATGGGTATAGAGCTATATACCCTCCACCAGCACTAATGTGATAAATATACCATACCTATAGAGATTTGGGTTATTTAGATTGATTTTAATAAAAACCTATTAGATTAAGTGATTATATAATCTAGAGGTTAAGTTGTTTACCAAATAGGATTGTGATCAATTCATAATTTCGTTCAATTATGAATATTAAATTCTTTCGCAACATTGATTGATGTAAGGTTTTTCAACACCGTTAAATATGCTTGCCTTTTTGATCTTTGAAAATTGCCCTTAGCCCTTCCTTACTTTTATTATATTATTAATAATATTGCTTATAAATGTAAGAACACTTGAGTATTTAGTACCCGTCATTTAGTTGAACAAATATTTACATGCCACATAAAACAAGAAAGGAAGAGCTAAGTTCGAAACATTTTATACTCCCGCAATTTGCAAACAAAAGCGCTGAAATATTTTGCGGTTTCAGTCGTCGACTGATACTCAAAGCGAACGGTTGTATTTTTTGCTATTGATAATTTTTGATATCCCTTCAAACCTTCTTTTTCGTGAGTGCGTTCTAACTTCAAGAAATTTTATTTAAAGCACGTGTTAAAGAGTGTTTGTATTATAGTATAGTGAACTTCAAGAGATGCGCTCACAGAGGAACACTCTCTTGGTGATAACAGGTTCGCCCTGTTACCGACAGTGAATAAAAGAGGCGAAATTATCACAGATAAGGACTATATCTGATGATATCAAATGATCTTATTGTACCAAATGATGGTAAAGCAACTCACTTCTCTACACATAGTATCTTTACACATTCCGACATTATCCTTGCCTCTTTCACAATAGCACCCAAACTCTCATCACATCACAATCGATGGCCTTCACAGTGGCGGTCACTATCCTATAATCACATCCCTCTCCATCCCCAAATCGTACAACTTTAAGCCAAGGTTCAAATTTCTAACCGAAAAGCCAGAGTGAGAAAAATGCAGTAATATTTTGGCAAGTTTAGCCAATACTAGTTGTTCTTGACCCTATATAATAATATACTAAATACTTAGTTTCCTTAGTCAAGCCCATTCCTAAACCTAATAAACCTTCTTCCTATATTGAGAATTACAGATCCATTTCCGTCTTACCCTGTATGTCAAAGACATTAAAGAAATTAATTCTTCCAGACTAATGTCGTTTGCGGAAGTAAATGGACTCATTATCCCGTACCAATTCGGTTTTAAAAAAGGGTTAGACGTAATAGACTCCCTGCTATAATTTGAACATTTCGCTTCCACCAATTTGGCACAACAAACATGACTAAATCGACTCAGCTCGTCGTGCTGATCATTTATATATTGTATGTATATAAAATATAGTGATATGGTCTCCGACGTTTCCTTTTGGGTGCTACAAACATCGCGGCAAACTTAATATACCCTGTTTAGGGTGTAAAAATGTTGCAACGGAATTCACTCAATTTCCTGAAAATACCTCACGTATTAATTTCTTTATACATAAGTATATTGAAGTCATCAGAAAATAACCCAACAAGTGGAGAATTTAAGCTCGTTTACAAATAATTCAAAAGGAAATACAACATGTACACATTTATTATTAATATCTATCACAATTAACATTTAATTTCCATTCAAAGTGGGCACATTGCGTGTTTGCCACCATCGATTGGCAGAGTTGCTCCCGTTATAAAGCTCGAACTGTTACTTGCAAGGAAAATAATGGCATCGGCCACTTCATTTGCATCGCCGACGCGACTCAGCGCATGTGTGGACTTCGAACGCTCCAAAAATGTAGCATATTCTGCTTCTGACAAGCCTGAACGCCGATGAACATCTGTAATAATTACGCCGGGATTCACTGCGTTGACACGCACATTCATCGGTGCCAAATCCAAGGCGATACACCTGGTGAATTGATCCAGTGCTGCTTTGAAAGTGCAATAGACCGAGCCACCTGGAAATGCGCTCAATCCTGCGACGCTCGAGACATTCACGATATTACCTTGAGTCTTCACGAGATGTGGTGCGGCGTATTTAGTTAGAAGGAAGACCGAACGCAAATTTATATTTAAAATCCGATCAAAATGATCGACATCAATATCTAAGATTGAACCCCTTTCACCGACACCGGCATTATTCACCAACACGTTCAACTGTCCGAATTTTTCAATTGTCGTGTTTATTATTCGCTGCGCATCAACTGTGACATCAGCAATGATGGAAAGAAGTTCCGCTTTGCTGTTGGCAGCTTTACAGGCTTTTAAATTTGCTCCATTTCGTCCTACGAGCACCACTTTAGAACCGTGTTTGGCAAAAGCTTCCGCCGTCGCAGCACCGATGCCTGATCTTGCTCCGGTTACAATAACAACTTTGCCGGCTAAGCTCATTTTGAACTATTCGAACACACGGCGTTGAATGAACTGAGTTGGTTGCTTGTAAGTAGTATCATTATAGTTTCCTATTTCAATATTACAATTAACCCAATATCAATAAGATTATGAGATAGAATATACTTGAGTGTTATACGATAGTTTAAAATGCATTTATGTTTGTACTTTCTTATTGTACTGTATGTTAAGCTTTGGGTGATTTGTATATTATTTATTTTTTATATCCACTTTATCTTTATTACATATGCTTAATATATAATACATATACCGGTTGTGTACTTATTTATGTTGTTGTTGTTTTTGTAGCGGCAGAATTCTGCCGAGTTGACAGTCCTTAGCCGGATAAAATCCGGGTCCGTTCCGGTTACGTAGGGACTGTCGTGGGTACGGTGTACTTATTTATCAAATAAACCATGAATGTGTTTGCTTATATAGACAGGAAGAGCTGCTCCCGTTAAAAAGTCCGAACTGCCACTTGCTAAGAAATGGATAGCATCGGCCACTTCCTCCGTTTTTTCCACACAACCTAGCGGATGAGTCTCTTTGCATTTTCCCAAATAGTCTGCGTATTACTCTTCCGTCACACCGTTACGTATTTGAATGTCTGTTGCAATGACCCCAGGATTGACAGCATTTACACGCACATTTTTCGGCGCTAAATCCAAGGCGACACATCGAGTAAATGGATCAAGTGCCGCTTTGGAGGTGCAGTAAACCGAAATATCAGGGAATGAACGCAATCCTGCGACACTTAAGACATTCAAAATATTTCCTTGGGCCTTCACGAGATGTGGGGCGGCATATTTAGTCAAAAGGAAGACCGAACGCATATTCGTATTTAATATTTTATCAAACTGTTCTACGTCAATATTCAGTATGTTGCCTCTATAAAAAATCCCAGCATTATTGACTAATACATCCAATTGTATGAATTTCTGATATAATAATATATTATATTTTAATTTGAAATTATTCATTACATAAAAAATATATTTTTTATAAATCTTTTAATTCGTATTCTTGCAAATTTGTTAGCATTTTTAACGCGGACACATAGCATGTCTACCACCATCTATTGGCAATATAGCGCCAGTAATAAAGCTAGCAGCATCACTGGCTAAGAAAGCAATGGATTCGGCTACTTCGATTGGTTTACCTACACGCCCTAAAGCATGTGTTTCCTTGCCATGTTCCAAATGTTTGACATAAGCTTCCTCCGACATGCCACCGCGCCGATGTATGTCCGTAACAATCAAACCAGGATTTACGGAATTTACACGCACATTTTTCGATGCCAAATCCAGTGCTATACACTTGGTAAACTGATCTAGACCAGCTTTGGACACACAATAGCTGGAGCCGTTTGGAAATGCACGTGTGCCGGCCAAGCTGGAAACATTTACAATGTTACCTTGACTTTGCACCAAATGGGGTGCTGCCAATTTAGTTAATATAAATACAGCACGTAGATTTGTATTTAGTATTTGATCAAATTGCTCTACATCGATGTCCAGTATGTTGCCGCCGGCTAAAATGCCGGCATTATTCACTAATATATTTAGTTTGCCAAATTTCGCTATAGTCTCATTGATAACACGCTCAGCATCAATTGTTATATCTGCTTTGACTGTTAACAATTCCGCCTTCTCGTTTGTTGCTTTGCATGCTGATTCAGTTGCCTTCAGATTGGACTCATTACGTCCGACGAGCACCACTTTAGCATTCAATTTCGCAAAGAGTTCCGCAGTGGCGGCACCAATGCCGGAACTTGCGCCCGTGACAATAACAACTTTATCGGTAAAATTCATGCTGAATTTATCTGGAAAAGAGAATAATTAAATATTATAGATAACTTGGTATGTATATAAACGACTTACCTTTTAGTTTATAGACTTTATGGTTTTTGGTTCACCTTTTAAAGTCACAAATGCACAAATCACTATCAATATTATTACAGCGCTCACTCAGTTTTCTTCTCTCCGGGATTGATAAGTAGTGCATAGCGCTACCAGATATTTTTTTTACACTATATTCGGATTTTTTTTTTTTAAGTAGCCAGTTGTATAGTAAACTTGAAAATAATATAATATATATTTTGCATACATATATATATATATATATATATATACATAAATAATCTTTTGTTAAAACTTATATTTAGGAAATAATGAGAGTAGCAAGTTGCTATATGAATGCATATGTGATATAACCTTATTAAAATGTGTAATTAGACATTTGGATATATACTCGTATTAGTTAATCCTACATACATATGATATATTGAATGACTAGGTTCTTAGGCCGACAGTTTCATTTATTGCATTCATGCATTCATGGCATATATTAAATCAAGTAGTCTTGTTTATGTGCTTGTATAAAACATTTTAGCAGAGACGTTAATACATTTTTCCAAAAAACTTACCTTATTTGAAGTATAACTAATAGTTCTTAATAATCGCACATGTTTGATTCCTTACATGTTAGATTCCAAGTCCGCCGACACATTCGGGCTTCCGCTATTCTTCATAAAAAAGGAATGCAAGCTTATACATATATTAATATTAAAACGCACACTAATTTACACATTTTCACATAATACACCATTTACAATAGCTTCACTTGTAACTCGAAAGTTTGAGATAATTTAATTTCCAATTTGAACTGCACTATTTTCCACTTTTAATTCTACTAAATTCCTTTTTACATTTTTTAACCGATATTTTGAATTATCCTTCAATTGACATTTAGAGCCTTGCCACATAATTTTTACTACTGCTTAAATAAATTTGAAGTAAATTAAAATGCAGTAATTATAAATTAAACTTTTTTATCTTAATAGCAAAAACCAAACTTTATTATAATATAATTGAATTTATTTGTATAAAACTTATTTGTTGGAGTAAAATAAAATATTGTGGAAAATCCTTTCTATCATCTTAACGTATATCAATATATAAATATGATATGATCTACGTTCTCTGTTTCCAATTGTTCATTTAGCATACTTCCTTTTTTTTCTGCTAATATTTGACAGTTGCCTTTATTTCCCGCTTCCGGTTGGCTTCTGCAGTATCCGGTTCCGTAAAAGTTTCGATCATTAGTGTAAAAATAAGTGTTTTAAATTAATTTGCATTAAAAAGCTGTACAAATTACAAAACTTCAAAAGTGACTTTTGAATTTATGTTTCTTAAGTAGTTTTCCTTTATTTATGTTGAGAGTTTACTTAGAGAAACAATAATATACAATTTTATACTAACCCGTACTCATAATGTGGAGTTTAATAATATTTTACTTTAAAACCAATGAAATCAGTGAATATCGAAGGCAATCACGAGTGGAATCAAGGTATGCATTACTAAAGATTCTAACATATTAACAATCTGAGTTTTGTTTTATTTCTTTGCAGGTAAAATTTATATTTATCGTGTGCAACTATGTTGCTAACAACAATTTTACAGTTTATTTATCTTATGTCGTTTTACAACAAAACTAATAAGCCTATGAAAAAACAATCGGTAGATAATTTCAACAAATACTTAATAATACGTTCAAATACTGACCATAATCCATTCATATTATCGGACATCAGGGTCTACATAAGTGGAACGACCTTTTTTTTGTTGTAGTAACAGAAAAGATCCCTCAAATAATAATTGGGGATGGTACCAAACCGACCAACCGGACAAATTAGTATCATAATGCTATCAAATATTTCTACGATGCTCTTTCCTGTCTAAACATCTACATAAATCAATTCAATTCCGCCGTCTGATTTGTATGAAATAAGCGTTCCCAATTAATTTTGAAGAACATTTCTAGAGAAACGATAACTTTTTAAGTTTATTCCACTGTGACGACTCGACTGTCTTGGATGTGATTAAAGACTTCTATAATTTCAATACGTTTGAAAGCACTAAGACATAAATGAAAATATCTAACTTTTCTTACAGTTTAAAGCTACTTGAAATAAAGTGATAGTCTGTGCCCGTATGCAAATTCTGATTCTATTGGTACGTTGTACTACAAGTCATGGAAGTATTTATCATGTAGTTTGGCTTGCCGAGTTGCGCTGTAAATAAAGATTCGTTACAATTACTTTTCATACAACTATACTTTTTTATTTTAATTGTAATGATGTCAATTAGTAATAAGAACTTTACGATATCCAAAATGTTGCTTTTACTCCAGCTGGAATTTATCTTATTTTTTCTATAAAAAAAACATAACGTTTGTGAATTCTAGTTCATCTAGACGTCCGTGTGTGCTTTTTAGTTTCTGCCTGTTTCCTATATTGCCTTCAATCTTATTTATGTGGCTGATCTAACCCGTACGTGTGGATTTGTGGTTTCCCCGTGAAATGTACAACCCAATATCAGCTGAGGCTGGGTTCTAGATTCCTTCCATAGGCTTATAATTTGAGATGTTAATATTTATGGAATTTAATTTGTACATTTGGTAATTTGTTTCCGATCTCCATATTTTTCCGAATAGGCTTGTTCGTTTTATATCATAAACAGCTGATGCTATTTACATTTTAGATGTTGCCACATAATATTTTGGTGAGGTGGAAATCTTTTAAACTGTGTGTTACATTTAAATTGTTGCCACAGAATCAAAAAGTATCAGAATTGTGTGACCTTAGAATTCTTTCGAGATTAAGCTGTTAAAATGAGGCAATCAAAGTAATACACGGTAATTTATTGACAAAATTTTTTTATTTGGGTTAAAACAGTAAGCCATATTTCAAAGGACGTGTATCTTTTTCTGTCTAAATAAATGCGATTTTATTTATTTTCACCAAAAAAGAACATTTAACCTCAAGTATGTGAAAAATATATGTATATATATTTGAATGCATGTAAATCCAAAACCTAGTAGAATTATAAAATTATTAGACGGTTAGTCCTTTATATTGACTTCGGTTTGGGCTGTCTCGGCTGCAAGCGTACACGGAAGCCCTCTTCACGTTTCAATATGATATCGGCTTGTAGCTTAAAGTCGGCCTCGGTTAAATCTGAATGGACACGATAGTTTCGAAGAATGGTCGATAGGAGTATTTTCAGTTTAAGCATGGCATATTTACGGCCTGAAAAAACAATAACAATACAATAACAACTTATAAGTAATATATTATATTATATATGAAAAAAATAAGCTGGGAAATCTAGCTAATTTTTCACCTACCAACACAACTCCGCGGTCCCGCTGAGAACGGCACAAAGGCATAATAATGTCTATTGGCTTGACGTTCAGGCAAAAAATTATCGGGATTAAATATATTTGGATTCTCATAAACATTTGGATTGCGATGCAATTTGTACGTAGCCACTGTAACGGTGGCACCACGCGGTATAACATATGGTCCGGATGCCAATTTTAAGTCTTCCCGTAATTCACGTGCTATTAACGGCACTGGCGGATACATGCGTAACGTTTCCATAAGACAACGTTCCATATATTTCATTTCTAAAGTATCCTGAAATGTGGCTGGCCTATCTGAGTCACCGAATATTTCATCCAACTCGGCAATTACTCGATCTTGTATACCCTGATGTATGCCCATCAATGAGAGAAAGAAAGATGAACCAGCTGCGGTTGTATCGTGTCCCTCAAACATAATCGTATCAACCTGTTCTTTTATCTCGGTATCGTTGAGCAAAGCACCATTTTGTGCACTCTCCAATAACAGATCGAGGAAGGCCAAACGTTTTTTCTGGCCCACATCATTCTCCTCGACATCTAGATCATCCTTCAAACCCTCCGCTTGACCAAACGACAGACCTTCAATGGATGTTTCTTTTGCGGATTCTTGTTTTGATCCTGCTTTTGGTGTTGGTGGTGGTGTAATTTTTTTAGCTGTCACTTCTTGTTGTGCCAGTGAACCGCGTGTACCGTTGTCAAATGCGGCCTTCTTGTATTTGATTACTTTCGTTGTAAGTCCATGTATGATACTCAGCAATTTACCTTGCTCATGATAATATTTGGAGAGCGTGAAGATGAAGTCATTTCGTAGCAGAATACTGCGAGTGCGCATATGTAGTATATCGCACATTTTCATAACGGCTAAAGCGTACTCATAGCCGGATTTGTCCTGGGTTTTCTTCGAAACACCCATGGCCGTCTCTGCAATGGTTAAAATAAAAAAGTGAAGTAAGGTCATTGAGAATAAGAGCAACAGATTTTACATAAAAAACAAAATTTCATAGTATGAGGGAGCTTTGGACTAACAGATAAGTTCGGTTCGTATTTTGGTATGATTATAATTTATTAATCAGTCTATCGAGGTTGATACACCGATTATAGTAATGCCATTTTTATGATACGATTGGTCTTTTGATTTTAAATAGACCGTCATTCCAGCGACCGTTCTCTTGAGATCAGTGAACAGAAAAAAGCCTGAGGTCGATATTTGTATAATATTGAGTACATAGAGATGAAGAGATGACGTAACTTGATTATTTTTCGATTATTCCAGTATTCTGAAAAGTTACTGTGATCGTACGTCTTTTTCAGTATACATCTGTCATTCATTTGAAGCGTTTCTTTCACTCGAATATGTCGAACTTTGTGCCTGAAAAAGAGTTATTGCGGGGAGTTCTTCTCCATATACTTGAATATGAAGAGCACCTGAGCCGAAAGTCAAGGTATTTTGGTAGAAGTTTACGGTGAACATGCTTCAGCTGAGCAAATATGCCAAAAGTGGTTTGGACGATTAAGAAGTTGTGACTTTGGAATGAAAAGCGAAGAACGGCGGCCAAAAAAGTTAAAAGAGGGGGAACTGGAAACATTATTTGATTCAGAGAGAGGCAGATATGAGAAAAGCTTGAAGTATCTTCGAGAGTCACTCAAGCAGCCATTTCAAAACGTTTAAAAGCAGTCGGATACATTCAAAAGCAACGAAATTGGGTGTCATATGAATTGAAGCCAAGAGACGTAAGAAAGTATGTAAGAAGTGTCACTCGCTACAAAAAGGACAGGTTTAGCAATGGATTGTGACTGGTGGTGAAAAATGGATCCATTACGACAACTCTAGATGCAGAAACTCATATGTAAAAGCTGGCCAATCAGCCAAATCAACGACAAAGCCGAGTGTCCAGACGCCAAGGTAATTCTTTGTACTTGGTCTGATAACTATTATGAATATCTAAAACCAGGTAAATCCATTAATGGGGAATGTTACCGACAGCACACGCCTTATAGTCCAGATCTTGCCCCTTCTGACTACCATTTGCTGCGGTCGATGGAGAACGCCCTCACTGAAATGCGGCTCACATCAGCACAGGGTATCAAAAATTGGTTTGACTCATTCATGCCCGCCAAGTTGGCGCAGTTATTTTGGGATGGAATTCATAAATTGCCAGAAAGATGGGAAAATGTTATAGCTTCGGTTGAGCTTAAGACTTTGAAAAAAAATAAGCTTCAATATAATTTTAGACTCAACAGGTTACGCGCTTAAGTCATTCGAAACCTTTATATAAAGCTTTCGCACACCCAAATATTTCTGAACCTAATGTTCAATGTTTCTTTGTTATCTTTAGAGTGTCGAGATCAGATCAATTTCATCTGACGTTTATTCCAAATCAGCTAACAGTTGTCAAATGTTTTCACGTCTCTTTTAAAGGTAAGGCTAAGCTAAAAAACATGTGTATTCAATACTAGTGGTTTCTTCTGAATAGGAGTGTTAACAACTTCTGTGAGTTTTTTTCACTCTCAGCGGCAGAGTAGCTGCACTACTTCCATTACAACCTAACCTAAGTTCTTCTGTATTTCTCTGTATAAAATTTCCGGGTAATATTAGCCAACAAATAGGATCACGACTGTCTCAACGAATATGTATGGATGCTCTCTGACCTCATGTGAAATAATTACCGTTTAATTGATTCGCGTCACATACGGTACATGCACATTGCTTGCACCGTTATATTTATTTAAACAAATTCATAATTCACCGCAATAGCCATCAGCAAGAACTTGTATCAGCGAAAACGTCCAACAACAAAGCTGGTTGCAATCAGTTTAAATTTTTAATTACAACAAATACGACATACAGACAGACATGCTGAACATGGAAAATTTTGCCAAAAAGTTGCAATATATTGCAAATAATAACATCGTCACTGGTGTTTGTGTGTGTGTATGTGTGTAGAAACCGGTCATCAAACTATCTGCATCGCCGATTATCCAATTCAATTGAAGAAAAGCCCGAAGAAAGTGCTAGCAAAAGGAAAACAAACCGTAGCAACTCTCCAACTTACATAACAGCAGCGCGGTCTGTTTGCGCCTTGTGGGTACGGCGGGGCGAAGCGGCAAACTTATGCTCTCTTTGCATGCTTCGATTACTCCAGCGGCCATCAGGTGTGTGTCGCTCAACGCCCAAATGGCAAACAAAGCAAATAGTAATGGGAAATAATGCTAGATGACGCCATACTATGCTATGCCATGCCATGTGCTGCAACGGAAAGTTAAACCGTTGGCTTAGTTAATGTATGCAATGGCTAGTTGGCGTCCAACTGGGAGTCGGCTGTAGCGACCTACAGACGCACTCATGCTCGTAACAAACGGCCAGCTGTGGAACGAAACACAATGCAGAAGAAAATTCGCAATTTTTTGCACTCAAAGTGCAAGTTGAGCAAAGGCGCTCGAAGGCGTTAATGTGTGTGCGAAATAGCTAGAAAAGTGGGTAAGTAAAACGAAGTGTTACATACTTCTTTATAATCAATGTTGGCGTGCGAATTTGATAGTATTTTGATTTACTTAAAATGCGCAAATTTCCTCGTTGTTACTTCTTTCTTAGTTACAGTGTGTTAAAAATGATTTTGAACTATGTTTATAAAAAAATTACTAATTTGCGTTTGTAAGTTGATATTTGCAAGAAATATTCGATACTACTGATTCTATGAGTTTTGTACATATGTACATACATATGCATATAATATAATACTATCATCTTCACAGCAGCTTTTATTATAGCATAAAAGGGTTTACAAAGATCTTTATCCTGAATTTTATTAATCAGTTTGTATGACATAGCATATAACAGTCCGGTATAGTGATCCGATATCGGCGATACTGACATATGATCAGCTTCGTAGGGAGAAAAGAATACTACTCTTTCGGTTTTAAAAATATTTCGAATACACACTTTTTAAGATATCCTTCAAATTATGGGAATATGAGAAGATTGAAGCTGATATAAATAAAACGTCCACGTAGTTACAGTTCACAGACGGAAAAGTCGGCCATGATCATGCTTATTTCCTATACAATGTCATAATGTTGAAAGTTTGTTAAGAGCTTAAAACTTTTGAACATCTTAATATCGAAAGAATTGGAAATTTGAAAGCTTAAAACACGCTGAAAGTTTGCTGAAACCTTAAAGCTTATTTAAAGCTAAAAGCATATCGAAAGCTTAATGATTTTTGTTTTAATTGCTCCATCCTTCCAGTTGGTTTCCTAGTATAAACATAAAAGGATAAGTAAGATGTCCAAAAGCGAAAGTTTCAAAAAGCTTATTCTGATTAAGTATAAATTATAAGAGAAATTGGTGTAGAAATTTTTTAAGCTCGCTCTCATCTGATCAAATTTGACCCGGACTGACAAAAAACCACATTTTCTCGTATTTTAACAAAAAAATGACTATCATCTTCAAAATAGGCTTCTGAGCCAATACAAGCTTGCTTATTCCAATTTTCCATACACTTTTTATAAGCTTCGACTAGGATGGCCTTCTATGCGTTCGCTATATTCTTGGACAGTTTCGACGTCATACTCAACAACCCATCCCTCGTCCCCAGCATTGATGTGTTTGATGAATGTAAGGTTCTCAGCTACGTTGTCAAGCATCGCTTGTTGCGAACTGTACTCGACGGTCTAGCAGTCTAGCATTGCCACACTTTATACCCAAAACACTAACCAAAATGGGTCGTGCCGATCCATGGAAGATGTAGAGATCATCTGCTATCTCTCTGATGTCAACACGACGATTTTGATTCTTTAACTTTAACTTGTACGATGCTATCGTCACTGAGAGAGATGAATGGATGACTTGTTTGAGGCAAGTTTTCGATGACTTCACGAGCTTCACTGAAGAATTCGTGCCACTCAAATACGAGTGTTCCTGATAAAGTAGACTATCCAAATAAAAGCAAAATTTTTAACGATTCCGTAGACGAGATTTCATTAGCAACTCAAAATTTCAAGCAAATTTTACAACTTTTTTTTTCAATGTTAAAATTGCCAGACAAATCAATCTAAGAAAATAATTTCGTTAAAATTAACAGTCCGGGTTAAATTTGAAAGGTATATCTATTGTCGTTTTGGTTGTGCAACAATAGATGTGAACCAAATCTTAGGCTTCTTGAAAATAATAACTTTTTAAAGGAAAGAAGTGTTAAAAAAAGTGTTTTTTTTTTGCAAAAAATGACTACGAAGCACTGTGAGAAAGAAGAAACTCAATTAATCAAAGCAAGATGAGCAATACACTTAATTGTTCACTTAACGAAACAAAGCAAAAAAGAAAACACTAAAAAAAATTTATGAAAAAGCTAAAAAAGAAAATCAAATGTGCGCGCACAAGTAACTCCACTGTGTGCGTGAGAGCGTGAGTTTCATTACATAACAATGCATGGTTTTGCGCCGCGTTTATGCTAACATGGCTTTTTTTCTGCCAGCGGCAGCACGCATGCAACATGCAGACGCCCATAAGATACGCTTTCATGCCAAATGCAGCCTGCATACCAACCAGTTTTGGTTTCTTTCCTATAACCGATTTTTCTTTATGCTATTTTCTCTTTTCATTCGATTGCGGCGCTGCCAGCGCTAGGCGAACATGACGCCAAAGCCATTGGTGTAGCTCATGCAATTCATGCAACATTAGTTGTATGTATGTCATAATTTTTGCTTGTAACCATGTTTGAGTGGCGTTTGATCGGCTCTTGACTGCTGTCAATCAAAATCGTCACTGTTGACTGCAGTTGTTCTCGCGAAAGTTTTTAGAATTTATCTCTTCTCAGGGTGACTTCCAAGGCTATATTTACATATTGGCCACACAGATGACTGATAACTGCTGTGATACGCGCGCAGCATAATTTTTTTTTGGATTAGAAGTATTTTCTCCTTTGAATTTACATACATATGTGTAAAATTTCTATTAGAAATCAAGGGCTAACTACAGCTCTTGCATTTTGATGAGGTCTTAAGGTGTGTCATAAACGTGGTGCTAAGTGTTTCTATTGGCAATTAAGGGCTAAGTACTACTCCTGCATTTTAATGAGGACTTGAGGTGTGTCATACACGTAGTGCTGGATATTTAAAGGAGCGTTGAAATGGAAATGTGAACTGATAAGGTGAGGTTAGTTGAGGCCATTCAACTTGTCGTAGCTCAATGGGAAACTCGCACGTGTCGGAACTGTGCTATGAAGACAATGTAAATCCTATAGAGTTCATTGCATTTTGTTTGGTGCAAAGTATTAGAAGTTTACGTACGTGCGAATCGGTATTAATATAGATTATATGTTCCTATGTTCTGTGTATTGAAATCTATGCAATTCTGAGAAGATGTGACCGCGGTTGACTTTTAAGAATTTAAGATTCGTTTTCAAGGCCTACTTTTCGTAATTTTTAAACATTCTATTGGACCTCATAACCTATGCTTAGCTTTATCTGTTCTTCTGCCTAAAAATAATTTATCACTATACTGTAGTTTATAAATTATACAACGTCTGGTCCGTAATGCTTTTGTCGGCATTATCTGTGTTCACATAAGCTTGTGTCAGCAATTAACCTCAAGAGATGTGGACTCTCAGACTCTCAACCCAAAATAATTTGTTTTAAATTAGGAGACAATCGCAATTATTTTAAGAATTCAAGGGTACGACAATACATTGTTCACCTACAAGCTTTCACCTTTTTTACGGTAACAAGCTTCTGAAACCTCGAAAGCCGAATTTATGGGTCGTCACGTCTGGAACTGTTTGTAAAATATATTATTGTGGATCTGCGACTAAATATAAAAGTTTGACACAGTTTGACTCTTGGTAATCAATATCTTGGAAAGCTAATAAGTTTCTCCCAAGCAGTAGCTCCAAAATAGAAAAAAACAATAGCAAATATTTCAGATTAGTCGATCTGAACTTATCCTAAAAATTCTTCTACAGATTGCTAGTAATCTTGATATACTACTTGTAATTTAGGCATGGAACATAGAGTTTTTACCAAAAATTATTTCAAAAATAATAATAATTACGGATTGTTTTTAACGATTTTCTGCGCAGATAATGAATAATTTTTTATAATAAATTAAAAATAATAATTTTTTATGAGCAGAAAAATAAAAATCATAGATAACGTTTAACTTCTTGAGCTTTGCCGTTATATTGCTAGGAGAGTCTTTGACACTTTAATTCGCCTCTCTTTTATTTTCGCTGGGCTTTATTATTGTATTTGCTATACCATTGGGTGCTCAAAATGATATTTGTGGGAAAATATATAATTTAACATTTTTTTGAAGGCTTAAAATCCTGTTTGAATGTTTAGTTAGCTCGCTTATGGAGGTTGAACCCGATTTTATATATTTTTAAACTCTTCTTCCTCCAAGTTGCTTTAGTGCCTAGTGGTTTGTTGTAGGTCCAACAAGAATATAAAAAATTTCTTCTTAATCTAAAAAATTACTTTTGCTCATTTTCTCTCCAATATCATTAAAATACGCAAATATACTTTAGCTACTCTCTTCCACAAAGTTCAGGCCAAATATGTCAGTAGTTGTGGAAAAACTACTTGAACTCACGTTAGCACCAAATAACCGCCTACAGCTAATTTCGCACTGCATATGCCGGCGTCAGAGTTTTGCATTGGCACTTTGACAATATTCGCTTGTGCGAAGACAAATGCGCTAACGAGCGCAATTTCCAACTGCTTTTAACCTGCGTACGCTCGTAAATTTTGTCATCCATTGAATAATTGCAATGTCATTAACATATTTTTTTAATTGCACTTTTTGCATTTGGACGTTTGTAATAATTTTTATATAAGGCAATAATGGTCTATTGAATGATTCAATAATAGTAAGCACATTGGTTAACTCCACAGGCGTAATAGTGAGGTTATGTTTGCAAAAAAAAAAGTTGGAAAATTTTACGCAAGTCTATTGTTGTTGTGTTAAACACAGTACGCAATGGCGTATTTTGCGTTTCAATGCTAGAAATGAGAGCTATTGTTATTCTCAGTATACTATAAGGGATGTTAGTAGTTTCGGAATAATTTTTGTGAGTTTAGAGATTCAAGAGCTTACAGTATACTACTTTTCAGAAATTCGAGTCTGAAGCTGCGCGTTTGAAAATTCGTTTAAAAATTGACATTTTACTCAATGGCATAATCTAAAAGAGACTAAAATTTCGAACATTTAATAAATTAAGGCTTTTAGAGCCGACCTCTATTATTGGAACTGCGAAAAAAATTTTGAAATAGTGGTAAAACTCAAGACTATTATTTTTAATATATTTGCAAATGGTTGGTTCTGGCTCCACAGTAGTACAACTGGCAGCGGTTTTGATCCATACCCATTTGGTGAGATCATCATTATCAAGCTTAAGTTCGGAGGCGGAATTCTCTTGATGCAAACTGTACAATTGAATGTGGTCGATATTTTCCCGATGCGAGTTAATTCCTTACAAATGTATACCGAAACGGACCGTCGTTAAAGTTAGAAGGTATTATACGACAGTGTTAGAAAATCGTTCTATTGTGATATGCGTTCTACGTGAGTAGTTGCAAAGTTCTAAGAAAAGGAATATTTTTCTCTAAAGCCGGTCGGCACAGCATAGTTTCAGAATTCACTCACAGGTAGTTAAAAAATGATCTCTCAATTAAAACCATAATGCAGTTCCTTGGAGTGGTTTTAAAAATAGACAACTCAATTTGCTTGCGTTCTTCCTAACAATGCAAGTGGATAAATCATATACTTGCATTTGTCGAAGAGAAAATTTCCATCAAAATAAGTTAACTAAGTGTAATGACAGCTCATTCATGTGACTGCAAGTCTATGAGTTAATAAATATGATTTGAAAGGCTTTCCTTTACACTGAGCTATTTTTAACACAACCAGGCCACTTGTGAATGAATCCAGGCATTTAATAATGCGCTAAATATATTTGAATGTGAATAGAAACCTATTAAGACGGTCGATCTACAAGTATTAGACTAGACTGTCTGCCTAAGCTAGCGAAAACGTTGTGAAAGCACGTGTATAAAGTGTGGGAATATATTCTGATTGATAGATATTAGAATGCTGCAAGATGGCGAGGAAGGAAAATAAGAGCGAATAGATCGAGCTAATTGTTGATTAGACCGGTAAGTGAATAGACTAGACTGCTGTATGCCGAAGGTTATTGTAATAAGCTACTGCTCAGAGAGCTTGTAAGTTAGTTGTAAGTCAAGTCCAATGGCAATGTGAGAAAGGGAATATTTCTCTTCTGCGAAGTATGAGGATTAATAACAATACAATTGATTTTTGAACTTCATTATAAAAAGATTTGAACAGATAGAATTCAAAGACTAAGTTTGGCTTAAGGCAAATAAGCTTTTGAACTCTATCTCCAAGATTTCATCGTAGGCGAACTCGTAACCGGAGGCAGATTGATCGAAATTGCGTTACTGCAACACTTCTTACACAGAATTCTCTCATTTGCGCACACCGAACGTTGGGTTTGTAACTTTTTAGCTTGGAGTAAGCTTGGAGAGTTCAGTTTTGACGCTTTAAGATTTTGATCGGTGATTACTCTACTTTTATTTTTATGGCATATTTTCTTAAAAACGGCTCACATGGGTTATGAAAAATTAAAGAACCTAGTTGAAACTAGTTTGAAACTAATTAGCTCGACACCTTAGCAAAGACAGCTTGTTATAACTACCCTCATATATTATATATATGTGTCGACATACTCACCAAGTAAGATCTCCACTGTTGCCTCGCTCATATAATCGTGACAATCAAAGGCTTTTCCACCCTCGGCACGCAATTTACGCACCACTAGCTGTGAGTTCTCGTTAAATAAATCAATGAAGCTCTTCAATACATTCAAATGAAATGTTGGAGCGATCAGCTTGCGGTGAGCGCGCCATTTCGCACCTGTTATTTGAGAGTAAATAAAAGATATAAAGGTGTTAATTGAATTTTTTACATTTTTATATATGTATTTACTTTTACTTTACACTTTTTATATATTATTTTATGCGAAATAAACAATATTTCTAAGAACACTTAAATGAAAATCATCACTTATATCAGAAGTTAATGACATTATGTGTATAAATATTTATTAACGGTTTATTTACTTATATATGATATATTATTTTATTCGAAATAAACAAAATATATATATTTGAAGTCTCCAAACACGGCAATGAAAATCATAGAGCTTGTATTAGTTCGACTTTTGTGGATATTCTGGGCTCAGATGTCCATAACTCAGAATTTACTAGCTATATCCATTTCTACTGAGAGGAATTTGGAATTGAAAATTGTCTTGAGATAAGTACTGTCTAAGAACAAATTTTAATACTACACTGTGAAAATTCATCGAACTTGTTACTAAAACCTTTAAAAATAAATTATATGACGATTCTAAATTCACCCTTCCTACCTCACCTAGACCATTGGTATTTCACAAATATTTTTTAATTTTTTGACTCTCCTTTAGGTACACATACATTTTATAGAGGAAGAAGTCATATTGAGATTAACGAAGAACTTCGAAAAAGAAACTGTATTTTTCAATCATATTTTACATGTTTTAAATTTTTAGCGAAATAGCTCATTGGCGCAAGATACTACACAACAAGTATCGGGGCTCAAGGTTCCGTAAGTCAGTATCCAAAATATCTATCTTCCAATATTTTTAGGTCGATATTATAACATCAAGAAAGGAATAATACATCGAATAACGGCATTAATTTTTTACTATTTTTATCAGCCGTCAGTTGATTTTGAAACAGCGAGTAAATTTGTCGTACAAAAAATGTGGGGTTAAAGGTTAAATAACTGTCTGGCTGTCATGTCATACATATACCTACAGGTCCTTTGCAATGTCAGATGGAAGTTCATTATTAATACGAGCCGACGTTTACGTCGTGCAGGACGTCAACGCCTTTTGCGAAGTTTAATGGAGACTTGATAACTAATTCTGATTGTTCATCAAGTCTATTGAACTGCGAAGTTCCTAGATATCCAAGTCGAGTTCTAGATAAGGTCGGACATAAGCAGGGGATGTGCTCCAGTGTCTCTCTCATGCCTACTTTCCTGCACTTTCTACATTTGTCGTCGTTAATAATACTCACATGATGCTTGTAAGTTGTGGCCTCTGAATAGGCCAACAACCGCCCTGCAGTCTTTTCAAGACTTCCTGCATGCCCCTAAGGCATTGCATCTCACCCTGATTCGTCTGTCAACTCTTTTGGAAATTTCAGTGTGTATCATTTTTATCGACTTGCGTATTTCCTGAAGTGGTCCGGTAGTCAAGCGGATGACACTTTTGGCAATCATATCGGCTTGTGGTCTTTACTTTTTACCTGCTTCTAAAGACAAGTGAGATTAAAAATTCTATCAAAATTTATTGTTTTAAGAGTTGTAAAGTCTTGAGGAACTGCCATTGGTTCTCTTAGCAAACCAAGTTGATAAGTATGTGATGAATATTATATCACATATAATAGATAGAGAGATTCGAGAAGATGACGTCTGTGTCTCGAAGTTTCACGAGCATATGTTTTACGTAGCGGACGGATGACAGATAAGGTCGGGTCTAATTGAAGGCTGGGGATCATAGCGAACTTTGTTAGTTACCTTCGGGCAACTGAGAAGGATTTCAAAAGTTCTTGGTACATTGAGATAAAAAAAATGAATTAGACAGCCTTCCAGACTCTTAAAGCGATTTTTCGACCAAAGCACTGAGAGCCTTAAAGTTAATATATCTCAGCAGATCGACAGAATTTAATTTAATTCTCAATTTAAAGTTCGAGAGTCATTGAATCTTAGATCACTCAAAGTCACGCTGTCGTGGAAAGTCATATGCTTGCCTTATTGATACACCCTTCGCTCTTACATACCGACACATACGTCAGTGGAGATCTCGCTAATAAATTTTGTTTATTCATGAAAAACGTGTGTATGTATGTGTAACTTAGCTTATAAGCAACAAAAATGTATCTGTGTGCATGTGCATGCTTATTAGAATAAATAATCTCTGCTAATACATACACACACACATACATACATACATATAAAAATGTATAATTCATAAAAACGCGGGCAACCCACGCATATTTCAGTATTTAGTGATGGCCATTGCAGCGGTTTTCAGCAAATCTCTCTCCAAAATGCCTGCATATGCATGTGTGTGTGTTTGTATACATGTATGTATGTGTGTGTGAATCGCACAAATTTACTATTTACGTACAAATTATAAGCACGTTTATATACATACTAATGCAAATATACCGTTATTCTTGAGCATGTGATGGCATTTTTATGAATAGACACAAATACACGCACACACACATATACATACACATGTATGGTTGTGCATGCGTGTGTGAGTATGTGTTTAGCATTTGCACACACTACTTTCCCCATTTCCTCATGTAGCGAAGCGCTGCGCTTTTAATTTGTTGCCGCTTCGGCTTATTTATTAGGTTATTATGTTGTCAAATGGCCGACGACGCCGCCGACGCAACGTCACACACATTCGCTAAGTATTAATAATTTGACTTTTAATTTGTTTATTTTGCTGCAAAACCATGACGAGCGTAAAAACAGAGCATTAAAATTTTCTTAGAAAAAAAAAATATCACGAAAAAAAAAGATTGTAATAAAAATTAAAAATTGCCGGAATATTTTGGCACACAAAATAATTGTTTAAGTGATTTACGCGGCGCCGAAAACGCGTAAATCTATTTAGAGAAAATTTAAAGAAATTCGTGTTGAGGTGAACCACCTGCGTGCAGAGCTCCACAATACAATATGAAAGCGAAATTGCTTACGCATAAGTGCTTGGAGCGTGTGCGAAAATGCATTTTGGAACTAGGAAATGTTGCGAATCTTCACCAAAAAATTTTAATTTAATATTTCTATAAAATAAAAAAAAAAAATTATTAAAAAAATAGTTTTAAAAATATTAAGTTTTGTTATAATACATGTTTTCTTAATAAAACAAACTGCAAAAATGTTTAAAAAATATTTTAAAATAAATTTTAAATAATTTAAAGAATAATACTATATACATAATTTATATAATATAATATTATATAATATATATTAAAATTTTTATATAAAAACTTTATATAAAGTTTTTGAATCTTTTAGTATTTTTAAACATTTTTAAAAATTTTAAAATATTTTTTACGCTTTTTATAAATTTTTTTTTTTAATATTTAAAATATTTTTCTAAATAATTTTTAGATATTTTTCAGGTTTATATATAAATGTATGCTACTTTGCATTGCTTGACATTTTTTTAAAGTATTTTTTCTAAGCACATAATTTATATAATATAATATTAATTATATTATATAAATTAAAATTTTTATATTCAATTTATATATAAAAACTTTATACAAATTTTTTTAATCTTTTAGTATTTTTTAAACACTTTTTAAAAATTTAAAAATATTTTTTACGATTTTTATAGCTTTTTTCTTAAGTTTTTAATTTTTAAAATTTTTTTCTAAATAATTTTTACATATTTTTTAGGTTTACTTATATTTATAAATAATAATGATATGAAAATTTTGCAATGCTTGACAGTTTTTAAAAATTTAATTTCTCTCAAAATTCTAAGTATTTTTTTAGTTTGTAATCTTTGTTAGTAAATTAATATTGAATAAACTGTGGTATTTTTTATTATAAATAATTTATTTTGATTAAATTGGAAGTTAAATTATTATATGGTTTAAAAAAATTTGCCAAAAGATTCATGATTATTTTGAAATTTTTACAAATACTTTTTTTTTTTAAATAAATATATTATAACTCAAATTCAGTACTGATGCTTTTATGTTCTAAACTTATGAAATAATATTTGAATTTTTTATTATACTTTCATGAAAGTTAATCTAAAAAAAATATATTGTTAAAATTTGTTTTGAAAGATGTTAAGGTTGCCTTTTTTAAATTTTAAATTATAAACAACTATTTTCTTTCAAAAAAAATTATAAATTAATTTACTATTTTCAAAGTACATATGTGCTTATGAGTTTGGGTGCATTAAAAATTAAAAAAAAAAAAATTTTTATACGAAACTGTAAAGTAATATTTTTAAAAATATATTTTTTTTAATTTTTAAAATTGAAATCAAAGTTTTTTAACTTTTTATGTTATACAATTTTTATTTTTAATTTATGCTGGTAATTTTTGTTTTAGATAAATATGTAGTTTTAATTTTTTATTGTTAATTTTTAAAAACTTATTTTGTTATAAATAACTTTTTGTTAATCATATAATAACATAAATTTTAAAATTCGTTAATTGTTTTGTTAGTACTGCTTTCCCTTAGCCTTAGTTATTTTGTTTAGCTTGGAAGATTTTTAGATTTTTTTATATATACAATTTTTAAACTTTGGAAACTCTAAGTTAGTTTTTTTTAAAAATAGCTTATTAAATTTTACTGGCTTATACATATTTCAAACAATTTTTTATAATTTTGTTCCCTTTTTATTTTAAATATATTTTATTTAAAATGTATTTATTAATTTATATTTGTGATTTGCTTATATTAAAAAAAATAGTTTGTTTTATAATTTTCTATATACTATATATATTATACATATTTATATTTTTTACATATTTTTTTTTATTTCGCGACTTTTTTTTAATAAATACATACATACACACACACCATATATATACATTAAATTTTCTTACCTGTGCTAATGAGCAATCCTTCACCGAGCCATGGCTTAAAGAATTTGTATTCCGATGATTTGTCAATGTAAACTTGGCTGCTCAGCAAAATTTCAACGTCACGTGGATCGTAAATGAAAACGACCAGCTGCGGACCGATCCACATTCTGGCGATATTTTCAAATTCGGCGCTTTTGCGAATGACGGTCTTGAAAACCGCTGCAGGCCAGATATAAAATGAAAAAATAAGAGAGAGAGAATATATATAATTATTTCGAGGCAATAAAAATGTCACAATTAAAAAGATTTATAACTGTAATATATTTTAAATTATATTTCGCAAATTTATAACAGACAAACAAAAGAGTTTAGAACTTTTAAATGCTCTGAGAACGAAATTTTTTGAAATTTAATTTTTCCTACAATTTTAGAAAAAATTATTTATTTTGCTTTTATAGTTTACTAACATAAAAGGAAAATTACAAAAATTGCTATTTTATGTATTATTTAGATATTTTTAATTACTTGAAATTGCCAAAGCAAAAGTAGATTAATATTTCGTCCATAAGTAATGTAATTATGAATAATCAAACATAGTATGAAATAAATTTGATAGAAGTAAATAAAATGTATTTGTCGTTGAAATCAAATGCTTGCGCAGTTAAAAAAAAAGTAATTATTAAAAAATGTGAATTATATGTAAAATTCAATAGAATCACAAAAAGTAATCTTTAATTATTTTCAGCGTTTATTTATTGTAATTAAAGCATATTTTAATTAAGAAGGTGGACTAAAATTATTTGAAAGCTTTATTCATCGTAATTAAATTACATTTCCAAGTCCCAGTAATCACTAGAAAGCCGAATCTATAGATGGCTTAATTAAAAAAATTTTCATTAAAAGTTTTATGTATTCATTACTTGATTAAATGCGGCAAAGTAAACAGAAAAGCAGCTATAAATATATTCTAATTTCATTATCATAAACCATTGCAAAGTAATTAAAGTATTTACAAGTAATAAACTGAAAAATAATTTCATTTCATTACAAAATGATGACACCCACTATTGCTTTGAATATTACAAATGCAATAGGTAAAAAACTATAAATTAATTACATATATTATATAAATATACACCTACCTACCTATTTGCTTTTAATTATAAAAACAATAAATAATTTATAGTTATTAATTATGAAAACTATAGACTATTAAAAAAATATTTGTAGGATAAATAAGTAAGTCATAATAATCGTAATCAGTAGAGGCATTATTTCCGTATGACAGTTAATGTACACATAATTTTTTTGCATAATCAAGTATTCTTTCTCTTTTTATTGAATAATATATTACTAAAATAATTACTTAGATGCAGTTTTAAACTGATTGTAATTAATAAGTATTTCGTTACAATAATATTGTAATTCATTACTATTTACTATTAATTATACAGGAAATTTTGTAATGATTCGCGATATAATGTAATTTTAAAATACTTATAGGATAAATAAGTGGATCATAAAGTAATTGAAATGTAATCATAATTAATAGCGCAATAATTTTAAGGTGATTTCTATGAATAATAATAAAGTGTATACTTAGTATACTTAATTTTAAGGAGATTGTAATTATTCAGTATTTCATTACAATATTTATGTAGTCTAGAGGTATTTTCTTAGTAATTATAAAATAAATGATGTAATGATTATCGATATAATGCATTCATAAAAATTTTTTGAATAAATAAGGTGATTGTAAAGTAATTAAAATGTAATCATAAACATTCGATACACTTTTAAGTGTACACAATGCAATTTTTCTGTATACCTGAATTCACTTCTGAGGTGAATGTAATTGATTCGTATATCATTGCAACATAATTGTAATTCAGCATTACTAACTAGTAAATCTACAGGAACTTATATAATGATCAGCAATATAACGCATTTATAAAATATTTTTGGATAAATAAGGTTTTCATAAAGTAATTCAAATGTAATCGAAATCAATTAAATCGAAATTTGCGTTTTATACCTACAAGTTTATTAAAAATATGCTTCTATAAGTATGCACTTACATGATGCCGGCCCGAATACATCTAACAGGTGACCAACAATGGGCAAACCCTTAGGTCCCGGCAAACGGTCGGCCAACTTGTAGAGATGACGTCGTGATAGACGCCAGTAAGTTAGCCATAGGAGAAAAGTGGGCAGCAGCAGAAAATAGAAAACGCTGCTGGGCGAAATCAGGACGTGATCCTTTAAAACTTCTAGTGACATATTGACGTACACTTTATTTTAACGCGGTAATCTTAATTTAACTACTTTTTTTTTTTAAATAATTTGTAGACTTATTTAAAAATTTTATTATATTTTTATCGTATTTTTATTTAATAAACTTTTTATTTCGTAATTGTGTATGTGTGTGTGTGTTTTTACACTTTCCGCATACGCTTTTCGTTCAAATCTCAGACAACGATTAATTAAGTCCTTTGGCCATTAAATAGTGCACAATTAATTAGTACACATACATAGACGTTTGCACACGACAATATTGTATAATATTGCATAAATTGTATGTAGAATAGGTTCGGGCACAAGCATTTGCAATAATATATTTTACTGTATGTATGTATGTATATAGGTACATATGCCACTTAATTAGTGCTTTCCACCCTCTTCATACCATATACATATCCATATATGTATGTAGTTAAGTATGTATGAATGCACACTTAGTAGTTCACTATGCTTGCTTTTAGTATTCACAAACACTACTTTTTACTATTTAGTTAATCCACAAGGCAGGCACTTCCTCTTCAGCAGCTACTATTATGTTTGCTATTGTTGTTACTGCCATTCAATAATAACGATTGTCGCCAAATGCCCGTTCGCGTTCAACTGGTGGCGTCCGTCCGCCTGTGGTGCGCTTTTATAGCTTTATACAGAGCTCTGAGCTAGGCTGAGCTGCGCTGAGCTGAGCTTCAACAAACGCACAAATCCTCAAATGTACAACAACAGCCTAGTGGAGAAAGAATTGAAACCGCGAACTTTGTGCCACAAGCCGATGTCCACTGAGCCGGTGCTCGGTCCAACTGTGATTGTGCTTGAGTCAAGTCGGTGTTGATCGGCATAGCTTTGTCCAGCTCACCGTCTTCATGTTGCTGTTGTACGGCATTGAGCGACTGTGTCATATCTGTATTTTGATAAGAGTACAGTTATTTGAAAATCTTCAACAGCGTATTTGATTTATCTTGCATTTCTCGCGAAACTCATTTGGGTCGGAAAATGAGCGGCGCTGAGTGAAAGTGAGGCTGCAATTTTGGCGCTCAAATGATCTCTCCGCTTGGTGGAGGTGGCGTTTGAAAAAAGTCTGCTGTTGAAAGTAAAAGTGGAATTGCTTTCATTGGCTATGAACTTAGTTAAGCTTTTCGTGGTTATGATCCAACTAATTTTTATATTATAATTACTATTAATGAATTAAATATAAATATGATTACTTGTAGTATATTAAATTTTTCTAAAAGTCTATTTGCTTTTACTTTCAAATTGATTTTCAAATCTATCAAATTAATATATAATTTTTTTTGAATATTAATTTTGTTAAAATAATTTTCTTAGGTCTAAGTAATAAAAATTTTTTGAACACTTCTGATTTTAGCAACCATAAAAAAGCTAATTTTCAAAGTAAAAACAATTATAAAAATAAATAATTAAAAATAAAAAATAAAAAAATTAAATAATTTTTTACTAACAATATTAAATTACTTTTATATTATTTTGTGTGGAAAAAATTAGTTGGTTTTTATTAAAGATAAAAGACATCAAATAATTTTTTATACTCAAAACAGGTTATAAAGAGTTTGCCACAAAGTTTTTTTCGTTGCCATCAAAGTTGACGTTTTTTCTGTTTTTAATAAAATACTGGTGGTGAAAAGAAATCATGCAAGTTATGCCTGATAGCAACCCTAGCATATAACTTGAATACAACCATTTTATTATATAATTTATTAGCTTCCACAACCGCGCCTCTTGACTTCTAAGCCGCTTTCACATTTGGAATTACGGATACGGCACAATCAATTGGTAGACACCTGCATTCTTTATACAAAGACTGTTGCTTCTGTAAAGCGATCAGAATGAACAACTTGATCAAAATTTATTTTAATTTGTCGGGAAACAGTACGTTTTGTGGTCTGTGGTCAATCACTATAACTACAAATAATATAATTTCTATGAGAGTTGCTACGCCTCTTTTCCACTGTGTGTGTGAATATTTGTTAGAAAAAAACTATTATTCAAAATTATGTATTATTTTTCTTTTGAAAAAAGGAAAGGTTATGAAAACTCTTTTATATTATTCTATGCACATGAAAGCTTACTCAAATACATTTTATTTGATACCAATACTGTAATGTTAAATTGCATTTATCAAATTATATGGCAACCCTTCATAAAATAATTTCAACTTTAAGCATTTTAAAATCTCTTTATGATTTAATACATATATTGCAAAATTTTGTTTATTTTATAACTATTTTTGACTACACATTTTAAACAGGTGGCAACCCTATTTTTTAAACCTTTTGGTTACAGTAATAATAATTTGAATCGAATTGTTTCATGCAAAAAGAAAGTAAAAATCAACATTGAATTTCTTGTGCACTCAGAGAGTTCAATGCGCATGCGCACCGAACTTACAACAGCCTTATAAACAACTCATACGAAAAAAATTCGTTTACATTAAATATTTATGTACTTATGTTAAAACTAAATTTGAAATAGGTTATGTATATATGTACATATATATATTTTGTTTAAATATACAAAAAAATTGTTGAAATCACTTGGAGGTAAATAACATAGAAGTAGATTGTAGATTTTTTATATTTCCATTCTGAAAAAATTGCACTTACGTATATCAACAATGAATGCGTCATATTCCTTCAACTTGCATTTCAGTGAATTTTTCTTTTGTCTTTGTGTTTTGAGCAAACAAATTCATTAGAAGCCATTTAAATTGCAAGCAGGTCGCCGTTCGGTTAGTTTTATAGTTTTTGAACTATATATGTTATGTCACTTATGTCTATATACATATCTTGTAAACAAAGTAAATGCATATACTTAGAAGCTTATATGTTTGTATATGTGTGTGCGTGTGTCTATGAAGGTGAAGCAAATTCAATCAGTAAGTTTTACAGACTTTGTATTTGACAGCAGAAAAATGATAGGTTGAGCATAAATTTCCCATGCAAGTTCGAATTCTTTAAAAAATAAATAATTTGAAAAAATGATAAATATTTGCTTCATACCCTAGATTTTACCTATTCCGTCTATTCCAGCGTCACATAATCCTCTGCTCATGCTCTGCATTCGGCCGCTTTTACTTTACCAAGTTTCTGAAGGTCGAACATTAGGGGTAGTTGTCCTCTATAATGTTAAAAGTATAAGCTTTTTAGTCTGTTCACCGTCCTTCCTCTCGAAGTAGCTGAACGATCTAAGGCAGCTTAAGAGAACTGAACGGACCAACTCGTCTGACTTTTCATTACCCTCTATACCTACATATATGACTGGGCACCCAAGATAGTCGATGAAAATTATTCTAAGTCCATCCCAAAATTTAGACGTAATTTTTTGCTTTTTATAAAAATATGGAGAATATGGATTTAATTGAAAAAATTTTGCCGATGTATCCTTCCATGGACTTGTCATAAATTACTTCATCTCTTAATTCATTTAATTTGATCTCGATTAAGTAATTTTTTTTTGCGAAAAGTTGGCAACCAATCTCCAAAATGTTTCTAATTGAAATCATTCCAATCCAGTTCATAATAATTCTTATGTTACCATATTTTTTTTATTTAATTAATTTTTAATTAATTTAATTGCTTAAAAAACATAAGGTTGGCAACATTTTTCACAAATATCTCTTCGACCGCTACATTTATTAAATCTTTTCGATTATTGTTTATTTTAAAATTTCAAACAGGTGGCAACCTTCTAACTTTTTTAAACTATCTAAGTATTGTATTCAAAAGTGTTAGTTAAATCTTAAAGTTGGCATTTTGCAACTACGATCGTGACGAAATTTTGTTACGCAACAGAATTTTGTTGCAAGCCCATCAATTTTAAAACCTAACCTTAAGAGTGTCACATTAAGAATGTCCATACTTCTCATACCATTATATTTCTATTTTCACATATATATGTACCTATTTTCCATGTATGTATGTATGTACCATATGTGTGAATCTCTAATAAGTACACGATATGTAATAACTCATTTTCTCCAAGCATTAAAAAACCAACCATTCACTTAATTATTGGCCCATATATTTGCCAACACAATTATTCAACATAAAATCAAAATATTTAAGCTTTTCTGGTTTGTTATGTTCAGACACGCGTATAATATGGAAGATCCTTCTTCAAACACGCTTTCTCTGTGACAACACTGTACAGCACACATAGGTATAAACACACACAGACAATTATTTGTTTTGTTTTACATTTGGGCGGCCTCTGTTTTTTTACCATTATCACGCAATTTTATGGGCGAAATGTGCTAAATGCCTGACATTTATGTTAATAATAAAAATCATAACTTGCTCGTGGGTTACGTGCGTGCAAAAAAATAGGAGAGTGTGAAAAATGGGGAGCATAAAAGGTTATTACTGTGAGTTTGAAGTTACATTGATTTATTCCGGCTGAAATATGCTAATGTGAATATACTTATATCATATATGTTAAGTAGGATGGAAACTAATTTCGTGTTATATTTATGTGTGTAAATATGTGAGTGGCAGACGGAGCTTTGCGCTGGTCGTAGGGTGGGGAAAATGGAGGATGAGCTTAGAATATTAACGTTTATAAATTTGTGTACGAATGTGTGTACGGAATTTATAAAAATATGGCAAACAATGTAGGGAGTAGCTAAGATTCGACCGGAACCGAGTTCTATATAACAGAAAAAAAATTATTTTATCGCATTTTATTAAGAATCTAGTCAGTTTGAGGGCCTATTTTTATAGCACTTATTTTCAAAAACATGTAACAAGCAACTAAAAAATCAATAGCATCGTTTTTGGAAATATAAAAATATATTTATTACATAAAAAAAAAATTAAAAAAAAATTTGAATTCACATAAAGTACTCTTTAATAAGTTTGATTTGAAGAACGAATTTTTAATAAGAAATGTGAGTTCCCTCGTTATTGACAAATACGCTTGTAAGTATTTTTTTTATTTTCATCACAGAATTTTTAAAAAGTATTGATAAAATGTTTTAAAAATATGAAATCGCTAATTTTCAAAAAAAAAATTATTTTATAAACTTTTCTTAATTTTTTTATCGAATTTTTTAAATTCATGTCTAAAAAGTTTTTAAAATCATTTCATAAAGCTCTTAGCACTTTTAGAAAAGAGAGTATTTTTTCAAAAACTGAACATCTTGGTTTTCTGAGAACTTTATTAACGCATTCTTAAGCACAAAATATGGGTTTCTACAAAATTATAATGAATTGTTGTACTTTTCAAATATTTTGTTTTACCTTTCAAGAAAATTTTAATTACATGAATTAAAAAAGTTATTCTGCAACATAACTTTCAACGAAAGTTTACAGATTTCTTAAAACAAGGTAACGAAGAAGAAGTTAAAAAATTAAAAATTTTCGGAGTTTCAAAAATCGGTTAACTCAAACTCATTATAGAAAAAAATAAAAAAATTGTAAATATATATTAAAGCGTATATTAACAAGCGGTTGCCGTGGTGCTGGGTTTGAGGTGGACGTTACCACTACTTAGAACCTGGGTTCGATCCTTGTTCTCGATAGTACCAAAAAGGATAATATTATGATCAAAAAGCAATGAGAATCTGCATATAAATTTATGCTGTGAATAAGTTTATTTAAAATATTTATTTAAAAACAAAAAAAATTATTTGACTTTCGACGTCAGTTTAGCATTTATAGATTCCTCCATTTATCCGATAACATCTACAAATACGAAGAGTAGCTGAGCAAAAATGTTGTGAAGTTTTATTCATAAATTATATATTGTAATTTATAGTCCCAATACTTGTTAAAATAATTTCAGCTTCTGAACGAAAACGGTTCTTAATTTCATTGTTCCGTAAACAATGGAAGTAGCTCACCAAAGCGAGGTTATACCCTACAAGTGTCCCATCAAAAGGCTGCTTTCAAATACTATGATTTATGTCTATGTATTACAGCGGCTTTAGAAAAATACCATTTATGCGTATTTTTATATATTTTTCTAATACATATATACCATACATATATGGTATATCTTTCTTACATTTATAAGTTTGCGTGAAAACAATTTGCGTGCTCGTTGATTGATACGTTTTGTATGGTTTTAATGCCTTTTTACGCGTCCTTAATTGTGCTTTGTACACGTTGGTTGGTTGATTGGTTGAAAGGGGAGGTGGAAGAATATGTAAGCGCAAGCGGCAAACTATTCCCTCAGTTTTTGAGATATCGAATTGAAATTTCGCACATGTGCTTTTCTACTCAAGAAACTGCTTATTTGTCGGAACGGCCGATATCGAACTAATATTCCATATAGCTGCCATACAAACTGACCGATCAAACTCAAGTCCTTGTATGGAAAACTTTCTTATTTGATAAGATATCTTCACGAAATTTAGATGCATAGACTATTGTCTAAGACAACGCCACAATATCTGATCAAATTGTTTAGATCGCAGCACTATAGCATATAGCTGTCATACAAACTGCTCAATCACATTCACGATAAAGATCTTTTCATACTAATTAAAATGCACCTGTGAAGGGTGTAATAGCTCGGTGCAGCTGAGAATAACGTTTTTGTTTTAATATATGTATGCACATATTTATTGTTAAAATTTATACATTTTTATATTCGAAAATAACTGTGATCGAACTTTAAACGCACCTCGAAATGATTATCTAAAAAATATTAATGTTTGATGCCTCAGTGACTTCTTCCGCTATTAGAAAAATGTTACAATATATTTCACAATAAGCAGCAGGAGCAACTTTTCGCTTAATTGTAAATTTTTTGCTAGTAAATACTTTCAAAAATTGCTTGATCCTAATTTTCAAAGGTTATGATTAGTGGCCTCTATGCCGTGTGTCATATGAAGAGCTTTAAACTATTCTGAGTATAACATAAATATTTGACTGCATTTTACATTTATGGAATCTCTCATCGATTCTGAAGCCTCGATTAAAACTATTGTAAGATTTGTGTTAAGAGTTTTTGAAATGGTGAAATAACACAATAACAATTTTTCGAAGAAATTTTTCATGGAAATGTCTTCAAATTAAAAATTGTTAAGCTAAATAATTATTTCTAAATCTGATAAATCTTACCAAGTGTCAGAACAAATATAATTAAAGTTTAATATTCATGAAAATATTCATACTGATCGTTTTATGAACATTTAAGGACCACCATCATCTCACACATTTTTGAAAAACGTAAAAGTTGGAAAACCTTACCTTCAATCCAAGTTCATTTCAAAGAATTTCTTTATTTTTATTCGAAAGCAAGTATTTTAGTATTGCTAGTGTATTAAACGCAAAACAATTTGTTGCTACTTCTTTGAATACAAAAAATTAATACCACAAACATTTATATTTAAGTCTTTTTTATTAAAAGTAACAAACATTATAAGTAAACCAATACAATATGCTTCTACTTAAGCTAAATAAATATTACGATTGCTACTTAATTACTGTTGCTTAACTGCCGTGACGTCCTTGTGAGCGCGCCTGCTGCTCACCATGGCGTATGAGTGATTTTTTTAACGCGCCAAGTCGCACTTTTTATGTTTTAAATTATAAAAAATTACAATTAAGTAATAACATATAAAATCAAGTCTATACTAAAAACCGAAAATATCGTTACAATAACTATTCAATACAATTACAACTACAACCACACTTAGTTAAAACTACTTACATTTACATTTATGGAAGCCTTACTCTACTAAGTTAGACTTAGATATGCTTACAAACGATTTCCAAGCTTTTGTTGTTGTTGTCTATAAACAAATCGAACACGCGTCCAACATGTTTGTTGCTCGCACCAACAAAGGCATTATACATACAGCTAAAACGCAGCTAACTACTTTGCTGCCGACGGCCTAAAAGTATGCTTGGAAATTATTGTTTTGTGTATTCGTGCTACTTAAACGTTTATTGGCGAGTTTTTCTTTCACTGCGGCTTGTAAAATTTGTGCGCTTCGTAATATTAACTTGAACTAAAGTGAAATTATATAATAAATATACTAATTTTCTATATTCCATGTATTTGCTATTATATTTTTTATAACTTAAACTTAATTATTTTGTAATTTTAATAAGTACCGTTGCTTAGCTTAGACCGATGTTTCATAAATGACGATTTTTAAGACTTTTGGTTTGTTCTCTTGTGCCTCTTTGACTTCTTTGAGCAGCGCATTGGTGATGGCTTCCAGCGCGGCGATGTCGGCATTGTCCTTCTTCGTGCCAGTATTCCATTTGGGCATTGAAACCTTTTTGTTGGCGATGTGAAAGTAATACAAATATTTAAATTTAATATAGCTAGATGTATGAAGTACATAATAAATATGTTGCTAAGTCTTATTGGTATACATAGTTTGAAGTAAAAGCTTAAGAATAGCAAGCTATAAAGTTCAGCGAACTGAGCTTTTTATGAAAGCTTTGATTATAAATTAAGCGTATGTAATACGAGATAGTACATAGGAGTATGTATTCATATATTTATAATTAAATTTTACTTAATTATAAGCATGCGCGTTTTTATAAAGCAAAATGTATATTTCAAGCTTAAAGCACCAGCAAGCAGCTGCTTTCAAATCACTAAATATTTTGATACGTTTTTTTAATACATTTCGTTTGTATAGACATATAATTTTTATAAATATTACTTGTCTTAAACATTTCAAAGCTTAGTGCTAAAAAGTTATCCAATAAAAAAATTAAATATTAATTTATGTTAAAGTGATAAATAAGTTCTGAGCTTCAAGAATAGTCATAAAAATTCTTTTTTTAAATGCTTGCATTTAGTATAGCGCGTATACAGTAAAAACTGTTTGGGATAAACATTTTGGAACACATTTTAACTGTATACGTAGTATGCTCGAAAATTTAGGAGAGCTTTCATTTTCATCAAAAGCTTTTCACTATATTCACATATACTGGTGAAAGTTCAGACTAACACAAAGACCAATTTAATTTAAAAGCTTTTGTCGAACGATTTTGAGATGAAACCGATCTCCGAAGAAGCTGGCATTTATAATTACATTTCTTTTCGAGCACACCTAGCATTATTTAATCCGATTTTATATTACTTTTTTTTAAGATTTATGTTTATTTTATAATCGTATATTGTTAAATATAATGCATTTCAAGGCAATATACGTCCAGATTTTATAAAAAAAAATTTTTTTCCATTATTAATTTTAAATATTAATTTATCTCAATCATTTTGCACTGCCTAACATAATTCTAAATAATATATGTACAGTTTTTAAAAAGTAAAATATGCTGGAAAGCTTACGGGTAGTAATTTCTTTAACTTTACATCATCTACAGAACGCTTTAGTATTTAAAAAATAATTAAAAATAGATTTCAAAATATTTGGTTAGTAGAAAAATTAGGTAACGACATTTATACCTATGAGGAAATATTTTAAACAGAAAAAAATATTAATACAGGCCTTAATACAAAAATATATTTATTTATGTAAAAAAATCGACATTATTATAATTATAATTTTTAACTATGTATATTTTAAAGTTTCAAGTAAAAAATATGCTCAAATAATATAAACTTTGTTTGTTTTAGTTCCGAAATCTCAAAATATTCATTTATTTTTAGTGCTATCTGTGGATATTGTAAAAAAAAATTTGACTCTCCCAAAGACTGTTCAAGATTTATGTCAAAAACACATACACAATGTTATAAAAATGTCTGCCGAAGCTCGACCGAAATAGAAAAACTTATTTAGGTAAATTTAGACGTTTTTGTGATTATATTTTAGCCGTAAACTCAGTCTCGAGTATTTAAAATCGCATTACTCTATTTAAACTATGAATTCGTGAAATCAAGGAGCAATTCCGTGGAAAGTTGTTCTAAGTGTTTCATTATCTATAGCGTTTCTAATGCAATTATTATTGTAGGCGAATTACAGAGTGTGGTATTAGCTGTATAAGAATATTAGCTTTTAAATTCAGCGTAAGATAAAGAAAAGACCAAGGCGTCGTTGAGGAAACACATCAAAACACTAAAACCACTTATGCGTTAATACTGAAGAAAAAGTGGGTTCTCATGAAATATAAAAATGATTTATGTATATTTCGTGCCGAAGAAGTTAAGGCCATAAATAAGCTCTAATGAGTAACTCTACCTGCCTTAACTCACAATTTAATGTCACGATTTTGTGAATTTTCTAGTTTTAAGTCTAAAGTATTTAATTAACAAATCTAAGTACACAGTTTTTATGGAAGTTAAGACTGTAAAGAACTGGCTTGCTTTTGCGTGAGATTTGATGACCAAGCCGTGTAAAATATTCTCTGTTGACCATATTAAAAGAGAAAAATTTTTATGAGTTATAACATATGCGGTATCGGGAATCATTTATTCAGCAAAAAGTTCTTATCAGAGGTGGGACTTAGAGCAAGCAGCAATGAAGATTGCATAAGATGACACGGTGAGTTTGGGAATTCATCTGAACTTTTTTAAAAGTAGTAAATTGGGTTTGGTTATGGTTTTGACAGTTGAAAGTGGTCGGTTTTTGAATATAAGACTCATAAACAAAGAATAAGTATGTGTAATATGACACTAATCCTCCACAATTGGCTAAGTTTGAGTTATAATAATCTTTTTATAGTATTCTATTTACATATTTACATACTACATATATTATTGTATTGATAATTATTTCTTTATCGTATGATTCATATTAAAAACTAACCAAAACTATTCACAATAGTTTTTGTTTTTCGAACAAAAGTCATTAAACTATCTACACAATTAAAACTTGCCGCTAACTTTCACTATGTGCGACTACACATACAAACATACATACCGTTAATACTTTCTGCAAGGCCATGTAGTCCAAACCATAGCCAGCAGTTTCGCCTAGACGCCGCAAAGTCTCCGCCATCGGACCGGAAAGTTCCTAGCAACAATAAAAAAGTAAAAAAAGAAAAACAAAAAAGCAGATGAAAAACGAATTGGAAAAAAAGCGCATACGCGTAAACAATAACAAAAGCGAATATAGAAGAAAAGTGATACAAAAGTTTCATAATTGATTTAGCGCAAACGCTTCGAGAATTTATTGCCATGCAGCTAATAATAACCGTTACGCAGCATGCAACACTCACTTGCAGCTTCGCCCAACTGGTGGCATATTGCCGACGCACCAGCTCGATAATGGTGGAAGTTAGCGCCAGACCGATGAGAATGTATAAAGTGCAGAGCAGCATGTAATTCGGTTTTTCTACGATAAAAAAAAAATTAAAATTAAATAAATAGTGTTAGTAAGAAGACGAAAAGTGAAGAGAATAAACACAACGAAGCTGCACATACTCGGCACCAGATCGCCAAAACCGATGGTTGTCATTGTGATGAAGCAAAAATAGAATCCGTCAAAGAATGTCCAGTCATCTTCCCACAGCAGCAGCAACCAAGCGCCCGCAGCCAAGTAGACGCCCAGGAAGCAAACGGCCAAAACGGCGTAAAACCATGTTTTGCCAATGAAATTCGTAAAGTTCGGAAATTCTGTGAAAACGATGTAATAAATGTAATAAAGATATAAGAAGAATATACAAAGGTTGTGCTCATATGTAATGCCCTAAGCAATGCGCATTTATATTTGACTACACTTATAGCCAAAGTAATAAGTACACTTGCTATTAAAATAATACATATAAGGAAAGTAAGGTGAGACTCTTGGAAACCTTTAAATGTTGCGCTGGTCACAGAAGATCCATATTTGTGACACTGATAAATGAGCCAGAGAAACTCAGGCCTCTGAAATATTAAATACTTATCGACAACACTGATCATGTATCCAGAAGTAATCTTACGACCTGTGCGACTGCGAGACTCTTCTGGGTTAGTGTAGACCGCATGTGAAAAATTTTATGTTGCCGCAAACGTAGAAGGGTAAGGTAAGGGTGGAAATCTATATCCGCCGTCTCAAAAAATGTGTGGCAGGCTCAAAGCGTTTTATCGATTTTTGAGAGTCTTTTCGAACAATACTTAAGAGTATTTATTTATTATGAGTGGGTTCCATTTTTAAGATTAACCTCTCAACTTAATCTAAGCTAGCCTACTATATTTTTTTCGTAGTGCAGGTCTATCGGTAGGCAAGGTCGAACTTTGGTGTGCATTTCTGTCAAAACAAGAGTATAAAAAAGCAAGGTAACTTCAAACTTCTGAATATTCTTCCAATTGTTGTAAAACGTTAATAATACCGACGAATGAGATAGGCGTTTAATGGGATATGACTTGATTAATTCGTCGTGAATGCAACAGAGATTTGACATAATGCTCGATCCAAAGTCTATCGATAAGACTCTTTAGTTCACCAAGGGGTATGGGATTTCTCGAAGTAGAAGTATATTTTCGGTTAGGAATCAGTGAAAGTAATTCTAAAAAAAGGTAGATAAGGTAGTTTTTGGGGGATCTAACGTGAATCTAATTGTGAAAAAACCTGTTCCGTAATATGGCATTAAATCAATAAATGTAGAAGTACCATATATTAATATAATATATAAGATTCTTCCTTCGAGGATAGAAACAATATTATTATTATTGATCTAAGCAATAATATCATTTGTCTGTACTTATTCTTTGGACAACAGCTGTATTATACCTGTAGAGTAATGTACACTACTTACTTGGCATATATTTGCCCAACACTGAGACGGCCGTCGCGAAGAGCCGACCCCAATCTGCGATGACGGTGAGCGTAAATGGAATGCCGATCAGGGCGAAGCAGATGCAGAAAGCACGTCCGCCCGTCGTTACGGGCACTATGTTGCCATAACCTAAAAATAACGATAAAATGTAAATAAATATTTTGTGCGCCTAAAGGATGAAAACAACAGCAACAACACACACATATGTATTTACATTAAAAAGGATGCTTGGAATGCCGAAAGGGCTAAAAGTAAAAGTTTTTCTTGTTCGCAGCATGATTTATTCCCTTTTTCACCCGAAGTGCAGATGATTATAATGTGCATGTGTTATATTTGTTTGCCTGTTTATTATTCACTTGTGCTTTTGTTTATATTTCTGACGAACATCTTTATGCAAAAATAATATTTCAAATTGCTTTTGTTTTCGAAGCTTCTAGACACAGTGGGAACTGTTGCTCTGAGCATTTATATATGAGTATGTGTGTGTGTGTTTCACAGGGTTGCCTTGGCACTTACCTATTGTCGTTAACACAGTCGATGAGAAGAACACAGCTTGTAAAATGCTCCAGCGCTCATAGGGCTCTGGAAAGTCTTTATCGGCCTCAATGAGTAGACCACCCTCGGCGGCTTCCTGCACGGCCTGTGTGTGGAATAATGAGATGTTGTTATTAATATTTACACATAAGGGTTTAGATATGGTCGTATGAGTGGGTTGCTAGGAAAATTTTAGTTGACATGATAGGCGTTTTAGTAATGGCTTTGTCTTGTTTGGGCGAATTTACATAAATTTATTGCTTGTGGTTTCATATATAAATACTGAGAAATTATTGAGAGGCGAATTGCTTAGAGTTGCCTTATTTCTTCTGAAGAAATTATATTCTTTTATCGTTACGTTTGTAATGTGAGGTCTTTTTTCAATAGTAAATATCTTTATTTTGGTTTTTATCGTTCAGTTTCTATGGCAGCTATATTTTCTTGATTTTGACTTTGACGATAGTCCATGCCGAATTTTCTGAAGATATCTCGTCAAATAAAAAGTTTTCCATACAATAACTTGATTCTGATCGTTCAGTTTGTATGGCAGTTATATGGTATTCCGATATCAGTGGTTCCGACAAATGAACAGCTCGGGGAGGAGATATATGTGCGCATATAAAACGTACGGATAGACGCACGGAAGGGAAACGACTCAGCTCATCACTCTGATCTAGGGTCTAGAACATTTCCTCCTGGATATTACAAACTTCGTGGCAAACCCAGTATGTTCGGGGTATAAAAATTCTGAAATACCTGAGTTAAATACTCACTTGAGAACACACTAAGCATAAATTAAATATTTCCGTACTTTGTCGAAGATTAGGAGCTCATGTGCCATAAAGAGCTCATAGCTTTCTTATCTCAAACAAATATAAAACTCAGCAAATTATCACATAGAACGTCAGGTAGCGCAAAAACTTTTGTTTTTAGCTTGGATTAAACTAAAAGAGCGTAAATCAAAGTGTGACTTGTATGGAAGGCATTTGAAGTGATTGCTGGTAACTGTAATATGTGGCGTTGGTGGTGTAATGGTCAGCATAGTTGCCTTCCAAGCAGTTGATCCGGGTTCGATTCCCGGCCAACGCACAAGACTTTTTTTTGAAGATTTTTGTTTCGGTATACAAGTTAAAAATAAAAAATAAAATAGTAATAATAAGCATTATAATAAGATTAGCAGTAAAAATATGAAAATATCAATTTAAATTCAGAAAAAAATTCCAATATGTTAAAGTTGTTTAAGTCAATTTAAGTTAATGGGGTTAAATGGTTAATGAACAATTTACCTTTTTCTGAAAAACCCAGCCCACACTCAACGCTATATTTAGTTTTGACCGACGACTTAGAATGGGAAGCATCAATAAATGATTAAGGGGTTATATGGGTTTTACGGCTTCAAAAAACAAAAAAAAAATGATTATCTTATTTAATTCTATAACATCTCTAGAATATTGTCCTAAATTCTCAAGTTGATACCAGTAATAGCTTTGGAGATACAGTTTTGAAAAGTTGCGTGCTCGAGGTCAGCTACGTACATATATGTTTATAGTCACTTAAAACTTTAAACGCGTTTCTCTCGAAACTGTGTTTTCAAAGTCGGTTGACAGGATTTCTCACGAACTACTCAACCGATCTTAATAAAATTTTAGACAGGTGTTCAAATATCCTTTACAAGGTTTTGAATTAATTTACAACTATCTTCTTTCAATTACAATTAGTCAGTTGGAAACGCTTAAAATTGAACGAAGACCACATTGACCAAGATTTTCTCACAATTTTTTTATTTTTATTTTTTATTATTATTATATATATTTTATAGAAATATGTTCATACTCTGAGTAGAAACCGATTTTCTGAACCGTTGTTGTTCTTCTGGCTGTACTTACCACCTCATATTTTGCTAGTTCCTTTGCTACTAGCTCGTTAAAATTTAACACGTCTGTATTATTTAATATGGTCGTAATGAATTTTTCGCGATGTGTCTTTACAACACCCTTTAAATACTGTAAACGTTCCAATTCCGCAGGACGCTCTAGTTGACGGAAGACCTGTAACGATAAAAACAGAACAACAATTATGAGTAAATTATTTAAAGAAAAACTTATAAATAGGTATATTTATAATAGACTATAGTTTCGTGAGCTATTTTCAGCATTTTATTTACCGTTGTGGACCACAAAGGAAAATTTCCTAAAAAAAACAAATAGAAGACAAAAAATCTACTGCAAATCATGAAGAATTCTTCTGTGTTGCATATTTGCATAATCTCTCGCTGGATCTGTTGTTTATCTCGCACTACTCGTGGACAGCTCGTTTAAGCAAAGTAGACAGCTATTTGCTCTGCAGCGCGAGGTGGGCGGGAACGCGAAAGAGTCTATTGTGCATTTGAATGGCTTGCCGCGAATTTGATGGATTGCTTGATCATTTAGGAAAACAGAGCTGATTTGCGCCGTCATGCTTCTGCTTTGTGCATCAAATTGAATTTTTATGAACTTATGAAACAGTATGTGTAGTTTCGACTAGCCCGTAAGTGAAAGCATGTGTGCGTATATTTGCTATTTTCGTTTATGGGTTTGTGTTCGTTTTGCGGTTTGCGGTAATTTTGTATTTAAAAAGTCTTTACTGATGTTTTATGCGAGTGCAGTTAGTCTGAGACGGCATTAAATAAATAATTAGGACAATGCATTTGTTTACACTTTTCGCTTTTATTCACATAAGTAGACTAAATGTAGTCATAAACACATATTTTATAACATATGAAAATTTTTAAAAAAATTGAATTGTTTTTTGGGTTATTTTTAGTATGGAAATTGATTACTAAATAAACCCTTTTTGATCAGATAATTCCCATATTCTCTGCCTACTAATCAAATACGAAAAAAAAGGGTTCAACTGTAGATGGCAATGTGTGGATGATTACTAGAATTGATACCTAAATAAGTTTGAACTCTGTTTTTAGAAATTGGAATTAGTTCTAGAGAAATCTTAAACAAAAATTTCATAAGAGCGATCAATGTCTTAGAGCCAAAAATTTCAATGGCTTTCTATGACTCTTTAAGAATTGTAAAATTATCGATAAAATTATGCACAAAATGTATTGATTAAAAAATTAAAATGATCGATACTGAAGCAGAAAATTCTTACTTTTTAAGAAGTTAAAGAAAGTAAAATATCTTAAAAAACAAAATGAAAATATTAAAAAAAAAAAACAAAAAAAGATTTTTGTACTGAGAAGGACGGTTTATTATACAAATTGAATTTTAAATTAATAGAGTTAGGTGTAGTCAGGGACATAAAAAATAACAATTTGAAATTTTTTGAAATTTGAAAAAAAAATTTATAACTTTAAAAGTAATAGCTGCTTATGTTGATCTAGTTCCAAACGAAACACCTTGCGCTGACAATCACATTTTATAAAAAAACGAAATTAAAAAACAAAAACCTTTCGATGAAACACGAGTTTTTCATGTTTTCAAAAAAAGGAACAGCTGTATAAATTTCATTGAAATCTATCGAGCGGTTTTCAAACTACAGTGATCACCATTTTAAAAAACATAGTTTTGAGAAATATGTATTTGAAGTTTAAAAGATTAAATTAAAAAAAAGCATGCAAAAAATCGAATTTTTGAAAATTCTGACTACTTATAACCCCTAATCAATCGAACGAAGGTTAATGTTCAGAAACAGTTATAGAAAATCGCAACGGTTATTTAAATGGTAATAATTTAAAATTTTAAAATGTTTTTCTAAGACTTTCTTAGTACCAGCAATGTGTACTTAATTTTTTTTTTATCAAAAAGTGCTATAATTATTGTATTGGAAATAAATTTGGTCTAAAATTGAGTATGAGCACTTCATTTCAATTATTTAGGACTCCAGACCAACGACGACTGCTGAATTCAACTTGTTAGTCCCAATAAATGTTCTTCGAATACGTGTTATGTTAATGCTTAGAGTTCGAAAATAATCGAAATTTATCGAAAATACCCCATTTGATTTTTTTAAAATTCATTTGATATCAAAGAGAATGGTTTCTATGGAAATTAAAATATACAGATTTGTCTCTCCTTACTAAATAAAAATAAGTTGATTAAAAGTGAATATATATCGATTAATAATTATCAAAACATATGTATATTGATAATATTATATTTAAATAAGCATAGTAATATATAGGAGCTACTGGTATGGTATAGGATTAATGTATTTGAAAATATAATTGAAAAATATAAATTTAAAACTTTTAAAGTAAAAGCGGCTATAAAAAATATCGAAAAAATAACGATCAATCAACGATAATCGGAATGGCAATGAGTCGGATCTCTATTATCAGCTTGCGTTGTATCACTGAACCAATAGACCTCACATGAGGTGAAAATATTTAGGCACTAGGCTGCAATAAGGGCTAGTCAGAACTTCAATGAAAGTGCGAGAGGCATAAATTTAGTAGAGTACCAAATCAAACTGAAATGACACCCAATATGCTGCGTCAAAACCTCTTTTCCATACTGGAAATCAAGAAAATTATTTCTAAAATTAAATTAAATCTCTTTTGCATTTGTGATGCAAAATTTTGCTGAAATTATTAATGGATCGAGGTATAACAAAAATTTTATAATTATTTCATCTACAAAATTTATAGCATATTTATAGTAATGTTTACGATATCTAATGATAGTGAGAACGGATATATAAAAATTCGGCAACAACGTCATCGAATCTAATTGCTTTGGTGATGACTGCGTTTGCCTGGCAACATTTGTCTTAATTATTGGGAAAGTGTGTGCGCAATGTGTTATACGAGTATTATATGGGTAAGCAGCAGAAATTATGCGCAGAGTAATTTATAATATTCAATTCATTAATCTTATTTCGTTTAGAGATAGTCTAAAATTTTGGATATAAGCAAAAGTGTAAAATATTCGAAAACTAATTTATGGAAAAGTAAAAATTTCTTCTTTTGTATAAAAATCGCATTCAAAAGCTGCGTTTATACGTTAAAGTAGCTTAAGTCGACTTAGGGAGACAGGCTTGAGTTATACTGACCCACGCAATTGATATTTGCCACTCTGAAGATAAAGGAACTACTGAGCAAAATATGCTTTATTTTAATTAACTCTTAAACTAACTTAATTTATATATATATATATTATATATAATATATTAATATATACTACTACAACTATGATTAAGCTTGTCAAGGGAAATATAATTCACTTGTTCTTCTTTTTTTTTGGTTTCGACTGAATTTTGGAACGCCATTAAATATATTACTGAACAGTTTCGACGTCATACCTTACATCGACTTTCACTGAATGCTTCGTGATAAAGTAGACTCCCCAAAACATTACTTCAACATTATTAACGATTCCGTAGCCGTGATTTCATTAGAAACACCAAATTTCCAGCAAACCCATCGTTCAATTTAATTTTCTATGGTAAAAATCGCCAGACAAACCTTTTACGTCGTAAACAAACTGCTGCCAAATATGAACTAATCGGTATATGGAGATCAAACTTTAGACGAACCGATAAAAAAAGATTGTACCAATCTAGGAAAAATAGTTGTATTTATATTGAGCAGTGCGGTTCAATTTTAATCCGATTATATAATTTCTTGATGTAGGTATGTACTCTATATCATATGGTTAAGAATTTGTTGTCGATAGTTTTCATGTATTTACTGAGCAGCCTGATTTTTCATATTTCTAGTGACGTGAGGACAGTTAGTGAAGCAGAGAAATCAATAATAAAGTCACGTTAACGCTTAGCACCACATAAGATCAACCATAAGCATATAAATGTGTATACTGCTTTGTAGGTATGCCATAAAAATATCCTAGTGGAAAGTGAAACTACGTGCGTCTTGTAATGACCCCGGTAAGAAGCATACATGTTCTTAGGTGGATGTAGTAATATATAAATATCTTTTATACATATTGGGTGAACTTATTATTGTAGAATTAATATGCGAGAAGCATTTTCTACGTATTTGGTTTTTTTAATTTCTTTCACAGTTTTTGGTTTTCCCGCACTCTTTCCATCGAAATACACAAAACTTTAAGTCTTTAAAGTATTCGAACCATTACGATAATGTATACAAAAATTAAATTCAATAGCAACCCTATGAGAGGAAGTGTATGCGGAAAATACATTTAACTAAATATCTGCCACTTACGGCTTTATAACCAGCTAGGTCGAGCTGCTCCTCCTTTCTAAGTAGTTCATCTGCTCACTTAAAGCTAAATAGTCTAATTTTTTATACATAGTTGGCAACTCTAATTAAAATTAATTTCAACTTAATTACAATATTTGTAAAAAAACTGTAGAAATTGCAATTAAAAATGTTTGTGGCAACTTTAATAAAGAATCAGTGCGTGCAACAGAGTTTTCACGTTCACTTCATATGAGCTCAGAGTTTTATCAGCTCAAACTGCAAATCAAAACCAGGAACGCAGAGCGCACTCAGTATACAGAGCGATGCGAAAGTAAAGGCAGAACCAATTGGAATTTTTTTTGAGGAGAGTTGTCAACACTTGTTGGTGAGATAAACGAAATTTTCCTTTAAAGAAGCTAACTGTTTTAAAATTTTAATTCAGTAAAATTGATAACGTAAATATAATACAACAATACTGTTATCGAAAAAACGCTTGTAGTAAATTGTTTTCTAAAAAGAGTTGCCACCTGTTTAAAACTTTAAACTTCAATAAAATTGATAACGAAAATGTAATATTGCAATATTGATGTCAAATCAAAGCGAATTAAAAAAGCTTGTAGTTAGAATTATTAATTTCTGAGAAGAATTTTTAAATTTAAAATTCAATAAAATTGGCAACGTAAATATATTGTGATAGTATGGTTATCAAACTAAAGTTGTGTAAGGGACCATGTAGCTGATTTTATTTTCTAAGAGTGGCCACCTGTTTAAAATTTAACTTCAATAAAATTGATTACGCAAACGTAACATTGCAATATGGCTATCAAACTTAACCAGTTTACAAAAGCTTAGATCAGAAAATATTTTAAGAACAAAGTTGCCACCTATTTT